GTCAATTACTGTATGTCCTAAAAGTTTTTTTATAAAATTCCTATTTGGCGTTAGTACATTATTAAACGAACATAAATCTATGATGTATCATTTGAAAGTACCATTCAATTGGTGAATTCATAAATCCATAAATAACGATCGACTATAAATTGTTTCTAGAGAATAAATGTTCTTTGGTACTAGTAGCAGTAACTGATCTATTAGAAATTGCGGTATTTTTTTAGTTTTCTGGGCAAATTATGCATGGTACTATAATCATGTATCGGGCTATCAGCTTGCAAAATTTATCACGAGCATTTTTTGCTTGGAAAAACATATGTAGATAAACAGTTCATTTTTCAACGAACCCGCGTAGTTGAATTTGCATCTCCACGCAGTATGTCCACACCTTCAATTCCCAAACTGCAGTTCGCGTGATCACAAAAAAAAAGTATACGGAGCTAGGGACGTACGTGTAGACGGACATTACATCACAACGTAGCCAAGTTTCATACTTCGTTGCCCTTTATCTATACAGGGTGACTTCGAAGTCGAGTCATTTATTTTAACAGTGAGTAGATCTGATCAAAAGAAATGTTTTTTTCCTTTACCATTTTTCTGGTAAAATTAAAGTAACAAAGTTATAGCCCTTTGGAAGTTTGAGTACCGCCCTGTCTCAACAATAATATCATGTGCTCGTGTTTGGCGACAACGGATATAATCCGCCTTATCGGTTCATCGCATCGGAAACAAAAAAGCAAAGAATTTGGAACGATGTTTTTACAATTATTTCATTCAGTTGTATACAGTCAGTGTCAGTCGGTAGTGAATAGTGGTGTCTGTTGCGTGGCTCAAACGAAATAAAAAATGGCACATGTTTATGCGGATCGGTTTCCCAATCGAGTGCAACCAACCACTCGTGCCTTTGTTAATGTAGTACAACGGGTTCGTGAATCATTTGACTGAAGACCTCACATATGGACGGCATGCCGGTGCTCCAAGACCTCACGATCAAATACAGGTCCGCACTGAAATACTTGTCGGGAGGATACTTTATAAAACAAGGTAAAAATTTTTTTTATTTTTTTTTTTTATTTTTACACGTATTTTGGTTTATCTTCCTTCTACAATCATTATCTGAAAATTAATGACTCAACTTCAAAGTCACCCTGTAGATACTATAAAGAATTTGTTCTTAACAAGAAGTGATGTGCACCTTGTTTCCACAGCCTACCATGCATTTATAAATTTGACCGCCACTATCGGGCAAGATCATACCGCGGCTCTTTTTTTAGATTAATTAAGGTCCTTAGTAACGCTTCTCTAAAGATGAGCGTTTTCGAGTTATAGGCGATTTAATGCCCGAAAAAGCCTAAAAATGGCTATCGTTAATGCTTAAAACTTGTCAAAAATTATCTTCGAGGTGGCAACGTGTTAGAAAACCAAACCTACAAGGCCTCAAGGTTATTTATAGGCGTAGTAGATTTCCAATCAATTTTCAACCTTATTTGGCAATTTGTTTTGCAGACTACTTTTTATTTAGCCTCAACTATTCTTTAATTCTACAAACTTATCCAACGAGCAAATCGATGTGTGTAAATTACTTTCGATCTAATGCTACCAGCAATATCAGCATCCTCTTACATCTTTGTACTCTGGCTTAGTTCTCATAGATGGTGTGTCAAATGCCGAAAAAACAGCTACTTCCCCTTTAGAATATTCTCTCTATAGTCGGCTTGCCTTTTTTGTGCTACGGATTCCTGCGTTCGTGCTCGTTTTCACCAGGTGCTTAACAATTTTAGTTTTTTCCCAATAAATGAACTAGCCGCTTTGTTAATAATTAACCCCGGATGTGGATTCAAGAAGCATTCCTGCGGCTGTACAGATTAACCTCAAACCAAAGGAAGAATTCAAAATTATTTTTTATCAACCTTCAGCGTGCATAGAGATGATGATACTTCTGGTAGATCTAGTAAAACCCTTCAAAAAAATTGTCTGACTACACCATTGTTTAATCCTGGCCTCCGATTTTCGAGCCTACTTGCCTATTTTCCAATTTTAAATAAAGAAATTAATTATAAATCACATGATTCGGTCGCAAAAGTTATTTGATATACGATCGAAATGGTGCGTTTTTGATTTGGTCGAATTTGATCAGGTTTATAAAATCGGGAATTGCGGCGGCAGGTTTGTGATTAGATCTCAAATAGACGTTACCATTTTTATACTAAACTGGATCGTAAATCTTGCGCATCGGGCACTAAAACATGATTAGCTAGGCGTCAAATTACATTTCGATTTTTTTGCGCTTACGTATTGCACTTTTTCTATTACGTATTTTCATTTTATTTTTGTTCAACATTCTCCACTCCACAGTACAAGACATTTTTGAACTCTGACAAGTTGAACTGCCTATAATACCTACCTTTAGCTTATACTACCCTCTAGCTCCGCCAATTCGAAGTTTCTCGCAAGTCACATCTCAATGGTGCCGTTTCACATTCAAGGATATCAAGTAACCAAGCAAGATAGAACATACCAATGTTGTGTCACTAACCCGCCTCTTCTGACCAGAACATTTGAAAGCAAACTCGAATTCATTTTTATATTACGAAACAATAAAATAATATCCGGATTCTTCGGCTAGAAGAGACTAGATAATGACTTTCTATAGATTTTCTATTTGGTGATACTAATGCTTTTTATACTGTGCCAAAGTTAGAAGTAATGAAAGAACTAAATCGATTCCTGTTATAACTCTGGTACCAATATGAAGATTACCTGAACATATCGTACGCCACTGTGAAGAGGTGTTAGTATTGGTGGGATATAAGCAAACGCCGCATTAGCAGTGGCGTACGATGTGTTATGCTACTCCCATTTTGGTATGCAACCATAACTGTTTCGCCTTTCAGGATAACATTTCTGGAATACTCGAAGCAACGTTTTGGAAATACCAATGTAATGTACTCTCCTTCAATGTAAAATTTACAATTTTGGAACGCCAAATGAGATTCTGAGAGAAGCTATTGGCCGAGTATATAACGGGTTACTTGAACAAAACACAGAATCAATTCAACTCTATATTACCCGCTCAACAAGTATGTACTTTTCATATAATAAGTGAAATTTCGAACCCAGATATTTTTTTATATGAATATGAACGATCATAACATTGACCATCTATCAACTGCCCAATAATTAGTCAAAACAGACAATTTTCGGATTCTCGTCAAAGTGACGATAAGATTGTTTCTTTAATGTTGAATTATTGGCTAGTTGAAATAAATGGATCGGAGAAGTTAGATCAGCTATCATGCATTTGTTTTTTTTTTCTCTTCTGGAAACCTTTTTTCTGCCTCGACTTCAAGAATTCTTTGAAAAACAGCTATCTCAAACCAGTCTCTTCAGAAATTAACATCACTCGCCCTCGAACAAATTGCGTCAGTTTACCTCAAATTTTAATGTGTAAGTCACTTCATTTTATAACTAAAATGCTGAACTAGATTAGATGAAAGACATGAATGTTGATGTATGAACAAAATGTATTGGAATTGACAGCTCAATACAAATATATACTTCGAAGTTGAGTCATTTATTTTAACAGTGAGTAGATCTGATCAAAATACCATTTTTCTGGTAAAATTAAAGTAACAAAGTTATAGCCCTTTGGAAGTTTGAGTACCGCCCTGTCTCAATAATAATATCATGTGCTCGTGTTTGGCAACAACGGATATAATCCGCCTTATCGGTTCATCGCATCGGAAACAAAAAAGCGAAAGAATTTGGAACGATGTTTTTACAATTATTTTATTCAGTTCAGTTATACATACAGTCAGTGTCAGTCGGTAAAGCGTGTGAATAGTGTCTGTTGCGTGGCTCAAACGAAATAAAAAATGGCACATGTTTATGCGGATCGGTTTCCCAATCGAGTGCAACCAACCCCTCGTGCCTTTGTTAATGTAGTACAACGGGCTCGTGAATCAGGTGACTTCACAGGGGACCTCACGATCAAATACAGGTCCGCACTGAAATACTTGTCGGGAGGATACTTTATAAAACAAGGTAACATTTTTTTTTAATTTTTTTTTTATTTTTACACACATTTTGGTTTATCTTCCTTCTAAAATCATTATCTGAAAATTAATGACTCAACTTCAAAGTCACCCTGTATATTAAACATCAATTTTCATCATCAAGAACAAGCTTTGAAAAGTGACAGTCTTAAATCAGATGAAATGCTAGGCTTCCTTTTCCTCAGACGTGGTTAATGTGGATTTCATACTTTCATCTAGCCTAGATATTATGCGGTACAGCTGGCATTCAATTTTGCAGGTACTTTATACTCTTATCTGAATATATCGACTTTGATCGAGAAATAATTATAAAGAACAAATCGTACAGAAGGAAATCCTATTCTGCACTTACCCTAAACCGATACTAAACTGCAGCTTCCTCGTGCGGTGATACTTTTGGATGTTCTCGCTTTTTTTCTTTTTACCTCAAAACGCCAATGAAAGCAAGCACACAGATTCATATAAACATGATCAAATATAAAATGAGCTTATCAATTTGAAAGACTAAAAATCTGAAAGTGTTTAAAATTCCATGATGTAACTAACATTATTTACATGATCAGTTTGTTTGTTACCCATGTGCTTGCGTCTCAAAATCGTATCTTTCACTACCCTGAGGGGTACTTTGTTTTTAGATATCCAGCGGTCAAAAAAGAATGAAAATCAGCTTCTACAATTTTCCTTTACAAAAGCTTTGCAATAGGAAGTTGAACAGTGAATGAAAAAATGAATGCAATACAAGGAAATGAAACTATAACACCCATTTCTGACCACCATTATTGATTTGAAAATAAAGAGTAATGGTTTATTTCCATATTTGTGTGAAGCCTATGTACATATACTTCAATTACGAAAATTTGAGATGTTTGCAATTTTACTCTTTATTTCCAAATCAGATTAGGAATAGATTTGTGAGAAGTGATGAAGTGTAATAAAGGAAAGTATTTTGTATTAGTATCATTTATTTTTTCTCAAAACAATTTGGCATCGTATTTGCAAAGGTCCATCTTCGACAAAGCAAAGGAATCCGCCAGGGCCCGCACCTCCAGGGAAAGCTCTTCTTTCTTGACGTCAATAATATTACAAGTACAAATTAAGAAGATTTGAAATTGACTATCAAATGAGTGATCACTCGAAACTAATTGAATAGAAGTGAATCTTTCAGATAAAAACTTGTTCCTACATAGATTACCACTGAAAGGGTTTGTAAAATACGCAGCCAAGATTGAGGCAACAGTGAAATCCTTTCGCAGATGAATAAAATAGCAGCATAGAGCCAAACTTCTCACAGCTGTTTTTTTTTTCTTTTACCAAAAAAATTTCAATGCAACCCCAACTTGGCGTAACGAGTATTTCAAAACCTTTTAGTTGTAACCTGTACATTTAAAAAAAAATTATTTTTTCCCTATGCTGGCCAGCAAGCAACTATCTAAAATTTGAAGATTTTGGGCATTGGCACTGATCAGAATAAACTATAATAATAACCTAAAGAGTATATTCAACTTTATATGAAGAACTGCCTTAGGCAAGAATTATAGTTTAAAGCAACCAATTACCAGCACAAAAGTTCCTTTGAATTCCCATACACTGAGAAATCAAAAGTTTTTTCAAGTGTTTTCCGGCATCAAAAGTAAAGAAATGATACATGAGAGCATCTTAAGATACAAATTTTTATGAGTATATTTGTACCTTAAATTCAATCATATATCATTTCATGTGAATTAAAATGTCGGAAAACTACCGATTTTTTTAACAACTTCCTTATAAAGAAAACAAAGTCGGAAGTCAGACATGTTTTACTTTATTAAGAGGTTGAAAAAGCATCCCAAAATTCCCACCGTAACACCCCCCTCCACTTTGAACTCGATTGTACCCCGACTCTGCTCCATGCTTAGAAAAATCACTAGCTCGCAGAATCTTTAGGATTCACATGTTCACGCGTGTAATCAATAATTAAACAAATGGCAAAAAGTTCAAATCAGTTTTTCCCATTTATAAACGTGCACGCACCATCAGTCTATTTCAATCACAACATTATTATTCAACTATAGACGATACTCATTAAATATTCTAAAATCAATTCATAATGAAAACAACTTCAGATGTTTTAACATAAATATCACGCATTCAGTAAAAATCAGACACATTCAATATGAACGAGTCTGAACAAAATCCGGGATTTTCAAGCAAACGGCACAATTCGGCAACACCGCGCCATAGAGATCGATAACCACTCCAACAACATGGCATCATCGCTAATCCCCCGACGCTAGAAACACTTGCCGCATAGCGCAGGCAATCGGCCCCGCTTGCAACGTTGCCAACTCACGGAACCGGTTTGAATAATCGTAGGTGGGGTAGTGTATTGATCCGTACACAAAGTGGCCTGAGAAACGTAACCGCGACGCTTCTCTCGAATGTTGTAAGCCAATGTACGCGTGATGATAAACTCGATACCTGCTTTTTTCTGAGGTCTCTTTCACTGGGTATTCGAGACATTGAACAAAGTAATTCAATGCGATGAAATACCAGTGGAAAATGACCTAAAAAGAATCATCGCAGGTTGCAAGGCTTTAAATCAATTACAATAAAAGGCAGAATATCGATGGAAGTAGTCGGTATTTTGCCAAATATTGTCACTGAAAATAAAACCGGCCTTTCTGATGTTTATGAAAAAAGGCGATTAATGGTGAAGGGACCATAGAGTAGTTTGAAGAATATGATAATAAAAATTATCTACCACAATGAAGATTTCACTAAACGCATCACTTGATAAGAAATATGCATTGCTTATATAGTGACTATACACTGTCAAGTTGCAATATACAGAACACCAAAAAACAAATTTGGATGTGAAATGAAGGACATCAAAAAAACATCCTTCTGAAAACAGCTAGAGAAGCACTCAAACATTATAAATTACTGGATGTCATATCAACTATATGTTGCTAAGATGCAACATACAAGTCAATTGAAGCATTTTAATAAATTCTGTTCTCTCAAAAGTAGCTCCACTTTGGAAATGTCCCAACGAGTGACATTTATAAAATTATAAATGCCAAATTTGAATGCCCTGTAGCTCAAAATGAAATGGTTTGAATATACCACTTCAAACTACAGGGAGCAGCTTCAAACACTAAAATTGAAGCAAAATTGTCTCAAAAACAAATTGTTTTCGAGATAAAATAAATCACAGATGATATAAAAAAGATCTGATATCAATAAATATCAGACAAAAAACAAAAAATATGACCAAAGGAGTAAAGTGACACAGTGTGTAGTGAAATAGTTTGACATGCTCCATTCCTCTTTCTTTATGCACTGCACCAAAAATATTACCAGAAAATTATCTGGTAAATGACAAAAATGCTAGTATGTCAAACTTCTCCACTACCAAAAATGCAACTATTGAATTTTAAAAAAGTGACAGCAGTAAAGGAAATAAAAAATCTAAAATACCCCCAGGTACCTTTTACAATTAAAAACAATATTTAGAGGATAGGATATAAATTATACAGTTTGTTTATACAAGCCAATCATTGTTCTTGTGTGATGATTCTGAATTACATTTGCTATAAAACAAGCAAACGTACTATCATAAGAGGCAGAAACAACGATTTTGAGACAATGATACAAATCAAGAGTACCTACCTCATTAGAATGTTCCGATGTTAAAGACTGTCTTAAAAGTATAAGACATTCAATAAACATTGGGGACATTCCAAGTGTCTGCACTTCTTGGGCACAGTAATGATTTCTCAGTTTCTCAAAAATTATCAAGAAACCATAAAGCTTTCTCTTACAATGATAAATAAATTCTTACAAAGCCTTTACAATGCAATCTGGAAAACGAGAAGTAATCATTTTCCTGCAAAATAAATGGCAATGCATACCATTGCTCAAGACAAGCTCAAATTGCATCACTAGTCCAAAAAAAAAAATGCAAAATGATACCCTTGAATGAGTAAACATTGAACTTGGCATTGTATAGACAAAATGATAGTTATAATTTTTGACTTCCCCACTTGCTGTCAAAAGCCTGAATGTACATGGATTGCGGAAAATCTATGAAATTCAATCCCTTGTTCATTATAAAATTCAAACAAAATCCACCAGTTAAATACTCCCAGCACCATTTTAATTATAGCACATTTCTATTCTCACCTATAAAAGTAGAATAGGCAACAAAAGAATATATGCATCAGGTGCAAAAGTACTTGCAATTTTGAGAATTTTAAAATGAGGGACTCATCATGATAGACAAATATATGAATCAAAAGCAAATATGCTGAATTATGAAACAGACTGGGTTAATTGGTAAAATAAATCCTGCAATATTTCGACGCAAAAACGCTAACAAAACTGTCAAGATAAGCGATTTTAGTTTTAAACTAGATTCCCTAAATGCAAACTGGAAAATATGACATGTATCTAATAGAAAAATTTTGTTAAAACGCAGAACGGTGAACACAAAAATGCTATATTCCCTAAACAAAAAACGTATTTTCGCGCAACTTAAATGAAACTAAAACCATAAGAGAAATTGAATGTGACCAAAAAACCCAGTTAACGCGAGTACATTCAGGTAAATAGGAAGGGTAGGTGAAATAAAACAAAAAACTACTCACGGTGCATCAGATCCATCTTTGCTCACACCAGAGGGGCCTGGTTGATCATCCGCACTTGTGGATGGTACATCCACAAATGTGGGTTCCCTGTCTTCACCATCAGTCTCATCGCTATCATCTTCCATCTGCAACAGAAGGAAAAAAATTAGGGCTACCTTAAATTACTTGCACAGAGTAACTAACTGTTTAATTCTACCTGAAGATTGCCAACCTAATGCTATATTTGCTAAGCAAAAAATTAGGAGTGAACAGCTGCTTCTGTATTTACGAGGCTTGTTCAATAAATACCCGTGTTTGACGACAGATGGCGTTCCTGAGGGAAGTTGGTGTTATTATCGTGTGCTGCCATCTATCAAACAACTGCACAACAAATTTCAGAGTGATCAATACTTTAGTTTGGATTAACATGTGTTTCGTGATTTTCGCTAACATGGTAACTCACTTATTGCTTTTGGATGGGAATAACTGCGAGGAGATAAAAGCAAAGTTGGATGCTGTTTATGGGGACACTTCGCCATCTATGGGCACAGTTAGGTATTGGTTCAACGTGGGCAAACATCCGTTTTTGATCAGGAACGACCAGGACGCCCGGCAAACCTGGTTATCGAGGAAATCATTCAAAAAAGTCCACGACACGATTCTCGCTGATCGAAGAACAAAAGCGCGCGAAGTAGCGGAGGCCCTAGGTGTGTCGACTGAAACGGCAATGAATATTTTGCAAAATTTGGAGATTTAAAAATGGTCGGTCCGATGGGTGCCGCGATTGCTCACGGTGGACAACAAGTGGATGTGGCTGTTAACTTTGAACCAGTATTTGGAGAAATTTAAGAGAAATCCGAAGGATTTTTGCGTAGAGTTGTCACTGTTGGTGAAACCTGGATTCAACATTACACACCAGAAACTAAGCAACAATCAAAACAATGGATTTCTCCTGGTGAATCCACTCCAAAGCAGGCGCAGACGGTCCCATCGGCCGGAAAGGTCATGGCGACAGTTTTTTTGGCGTCATCCTCATGGATTTTTTAGAAAAAGGAAGAATGATCACTGGACAATACTACAGTTTTATTGGACCGCTTCGACAAGAAATTGAAGGAGACACGACCACATTAAAATTTGACGAAAAAGAAGTGTTTTACCACGATAACGCACCAGCACGTTCAACCGGAGTTGTCGCCGCCAAACTGCATGAATTACAGTTACAAGATGGTGCATCACCCCGGGTATTAACTCAATCTGGCCCCCTGCAACTTGTTCCCTGACATGAAGAAATGGCTCGCGGGAAAAAAATTTAGCTCAAAATGAGGAAGGCATCGCCGATACAGAGGCGTCTTTTGGAGAGTTCAACAAACCCTACTTTTTGGAGTGGTTAAAAAATGGCAGAAAAGTTGGGAAAAGTGTATCTAAAAGGGGAAGAATGAAAAAAACCTTTGTAAAAATGGTGTCTTCATTTCTAGCACGGGTACTTGTTGAATCGCCCTCGTATTTCAAGAAAAAAATTGTATGATTTTTTTTTGAACATCTTACAAGATACAAAGTGATAAGAGTTTTCAGAAAATAATCTATTTTATAACTGCAATGATATTACAGATATCTTTATGAAATTTGGTACACTCAGATCTATGCAAAAAGCAAAAACCATGCATCAGATGAAAGAAAATCAAGAGGTCAATTTTGCTTAGAAATGAAGATTACAAAAATGGTTTTTATTTGGAGGGAAAGCAGCGTCAAACATTTTTTTCTGCAAAAAAATTTAGATGTATACCAAATTTCATAAAGATATCTAGAAAAATATCAAGTATAAAAAACAATTTCTCTGAAAATTTTATAGCAATTTATCTCAAAAGTTAAGGTGTTTCAAAAATACTTTATATGAATTTTTATTCCAAAAATGGATTCAACAATCACTTCATTAGAAATATTAGTGCATCATTAAGGAACAACCTGTATAATAAATAGAGTCATAAGTCATGCTTATATTATAGCACCTCATCTCAGATAAATCTTATTTCTTGTTTGGCTTCTTTCAGTAACTAACATTTAAAAGGCATCCAAATTTTCTCAAAGTACTTTAAAAATCAAAGAATGAAAGCCAGGATTGATATTTTAAAAATCTAAACCAGATATTTTAAGCATAAAACTGGAATTTTACTATAGACATGTCAAATCTTCAAAATGGTACTTTACAAAAATACTGACATGAAAATATGATGATGCACTTGAAATGTGTTGGTAAAATTCTTAAATGTGTAACAAACCAAAAAATCCATATTTCCAAAGTTGAAGAGACTCATTCAATAATTATCAGAATACACAGTATTAAAAGAGACATTCAAAATTTGAACATTCTTCATAAACTGCATACTATTTTAATGGTGGGCTTCAAAGACCCCATAGAAAAATATCTAAGGAGTTTTAGCAAGCGGTTTAAGGCCTCTAGCCACTATCAAGGAAAATGAGAAATGTCATATTCCCTAAAATAAAGTGACTAGATGACTCAAAACCAAGGTGTATAAAAATGAATTTCCCACCATTTCAAGGAAAATTATGTGAATGTTCTTCCCAAAAATGGAATAATATAGATTATAATATGAATGCATACAAAGTGATGAACACCTATGAACATTTTTCTATTATCACTCATAAAAGTAGTATGAATGATAGCAGAAATATGCAACATGATTGCTATCTATCAATGTAGAACAGATAGCACTACAATAGGTGTAAATCACAACTTAAAAAGGTTACAACACATTCTGGTACATCAATATAATTGACTGAATTATGTTATCTTTTGAAGCTGGTTTAAAGCTCTCGTAACTTTAGAAGCGTTTTTTTTATCTTTACAAAGCTTATTAATTGAAATATGTTATTGATGCAAAGTTTAAAAAACCCAAAACCTTTGGAATAACTTGTAAATAATCAAGGTAAAGTTTGACAATCAGTGTATTATGAAACATGTTAACACATTAAAATTTGAACCTTCACAAACTAAATCTTTTTTCAATAATAAAAAATTGAATTATATTCATGAAATGAAAAATCAAATGCAAACTGGAAAAAATGTCTCCTATGTACCCAACAGAAAAATTAAATGCAGAACAGTGAACAAAAAATGTATTTCCTAAATCAACAAAAATCGTATTTTCGCGCAAGTTAAATGAAACTAACTAAAACCTCAAAAAAAAATTGAATGTGACCACAAAAATTTTAAACCGTTTTCAATAAAAAATGAAATGTCATGAAATGAAAATCAAATTATTATACCTTCGTGATCGGCTCGCCAGAGTCTCCATCGTCGTCGGAATTTTGGTCCATGGCGATGGCTGCTTTGACTGCCGCTGTCCTCCTCGGTCGTTTTGATGGAGGAGGCTCATCATTGACCTGAACAGGAGGTCCCTGCAACAAAATACACAAATCATCACATACCCTGACAAACACTTTCAAATATAATAACATCCATCTACTTGAGCCACAAATATATGTTGCAACAGTGATCTTACCTCTTCAACCTTCTGTTCAAACATGTAGCTTTTATTATCTTCATCATCATTCTTAGAAATATCACTAGCTAGAGGTTCATCAAAGTTTTCTTCTTTGACGTTCACCTGTGCGGCATCTTTTCCTGTAGCACCGAGCCATGCCAGCAACTGTTTCTCTGACTCGGCGCTCGTCCGCCAGAAATCGTAAAAGTTATCGAGTTTGTTTGAACAGCCATCGCAGATTTTCTTAGGAAGGTGATCCTCTCGCGCTACCTGTAACAACAGAAAACAAGCTTCAAAAAATGCTGTAGCTGACAAGTAATGTGAAATACTTTCAACAGCCAGTTGATTAGTAGATGCATTTTCCAGTGGAGGACAATAAGATGCATTCAAAAATACAGGGTGACTTCGAAGTTGAGTCATTTATTTTAACAGGGAGTAGATCTGATCAAAAGAAATGTTTTTTTCCTTTAACATTTTACTGATAAAATTAAAGTAACAAAGTTATAGCCCTTTAGAAGTTTGAGTACCGCCCTGTCTGAATAATATTATGTGCTCGTGTTTGGCAACAACGGATATAATCCGCCTTATCCGTTCATCGCATCGGAAACAAAAAAGCGAAAGAATTTGAAACGATGTTTTTACTACAATGTACAATCTTATTCAGTTATATTCAGTCGATGTGTCAGTCGGTAACGCGTGAGTGAATAGTGAATAAAAAATGGCACATGTTTACGAAAATGCTGAATGTAGTACAAAGGGCTCGTGAATCAGGTGACTTAAGACCTCACAGGGGAGGGCATGCCGGTGCTCCAAGACCGCACGATCGAATACAGGTCCGCACTGAAATACTTGTCGGGAGGATACTTTATAAAACAAGGTAACATTTTTTTTTTAATTTTACACATATTTTGGTTTATCTTCCTTCTACAATCATTATCTGAAAATTAATGACTCAACTTCAAAGTCACCCTGTATAGTGGAAGCACTTTGGAAGAGTTGGGGATTAATTTAATGAAAAGTGGATCAATTTAAAAATATGAAGTCAATCTGGAGACACAGTAGATGCGACTTATGAATATGATGAATAAAATGGATTCGTTTAAAAATAAAGTTTAGAAACAATGAATGTGTTTTGAAAGTGATTGGTGAATGAATTCTAAAAAAATGGTAAATGAGACTTGAAAAAGGGGTGAATTAGACTTGAAAAAATGGTGAATGATACTTGAAAAATGGTGAATGAGACTTGAAAAAATCGTGAATGAGACTTGAAAAAATCGTGAATGAGACTTAAAAAAATCGTGAATGAGACTTGAAAAAATCGTGAATGTGTTTTGAAAAATTGTGAATGCATCATGAAAAATGGTGGATAAATTTAGAAAAACTGTGGATGCTTTTAAAAAGATAGGAATAAAAAAAAGGCAGATTCATTTAAAATACTGAATACTTCAAAAACATGGTGAACCAATTTACAAATGTGACCTTAAGATAAAATCTGGATGAGATGGGTAATATTCTGATGTGTGGAGATATGGGCTACAGAATTATTCAAAAAAACGAAAAAATTCTGCGAAAAACTCCTTTGTTTCTATACGCCCAACTGAAAACAATCACAAACACTTGGCTATTTGAGCTGTCAAGCAAAATGGGCGATTGAAAACCTAAATTTCATAATCATCTATCGAAACAGTAAACAATGATCAAAGAAAAGCGATAAACGCCATAAAACGAAAACAAAAACTCCCTTGCCGGCTACGCCACTGGTAGGCAAGCGTCGGAAACTTTTGTCGCACCTGTACCGACTCCACAATGCCTTTATTCCACGAAATTGGAGGGGATAAGCTAGGGGAACAAGGAATAACGAACGTTGAAGACTGGTTTCAAAGTAATCTAATTGTATGAAAAACTTAGAATCATACACAAGTTTCAAGAATGGCTTCCCAGTTCAATGATATAAAATTATTTTCTTCTGCCTTGAATCGCATAAAAGACTTCAGAAAGTTCCCCGAATAAACGACATAATTCCACGTAACAACAGCTACATAAAATACATTGTAGATAACGAGTCCGGTATAATAGTACAGTCGTGTAAAGAAACTGCGAACATAAATCAAGGACGCCGTGGCGTCAGCACGCTTCCCCACCACCGAGCTCCACCCTGTATATTGATTTTTCGCTGGATCGACCTACCCTGGACATCTAGCCATTCAAAGTGCTTTATATGAACCTTCATACGCCCAAACATAATCAATACCCCTGTTCGATTGAAAAATTTACTCTAAAATCTCTGAAACATTTTGAAATGAAGTCTGTGAACACGCAATCAACCTCTGGAAAAATAAAGTCCGATTTCGAGAAAATCGCGAAAGCTCTAGCGATGAAAATATTTAAAAACAATTCCCGATTAAAAAAAGTTTTCGAACGAGTTGTTTGTAAACAGGGAAACGATGTCAAAAATAAAAATCTGTCGAATTTCAATTTTCAAGAACGCAAAATTCAACATGGCGGGCGACGCTAACTTACCTTCACCGGCAGACACGAACTGATTTTGAGATATATTTGCCTAATATCACCTTGTTCATCGAAAATTGGAATATTAACACCGTCTTTTACTAAACACAGTCTACAGAATTGCAAAATATTCGCGGTACTATCCATCTTTACTGCTAGTATTTGAAAAAGTCATTGGAGCTAACACAACACTACCTACTAGCCGGACGCCTGATGACGAAATGGGAGGAGGACGGATGTGAAGCTTGCCTTTCTGGCTGGACGCCGGCCTAAAGTAGTGGGGAGCTTCCGGCGAATCTCGCGCGAAATTCAAATATGCCGACTGGTTTCGTCAAGAAAATGCACAAATTATGATTAAACTGAAGCAGAATTTGAGGAGATAATACGTGTTCCTTAGTACTTAAATGTCAGTTATTTCCAAAATAAGCATTGGCGGTTTAAATTGCGTTTTATTTCGGATACAGATACCATTTTCGAAATAGCTGCTTTTATCACACAATGAATATAAGGAGATTCATAGAAGAAATTGATATGCAAGCTTGATAAATGGGTCTATAAGATTTCTCATAATTTACTGTGTATCTGTGCATAGTTAAATTTTTGGCAACGCTTTAGGAACAACGAAAATTGCATGGTTTGTGGACTAAAAATTTATATTCACCGTCTTCAACGTTATGCAACCCGAAATGCAGAGGTGTGGATCAATGAGCAAAATTCAGATATCCAGATGTATTTATTGATTTTAAACTAATACAATAGAGAATTAGTAACTGATTTATGTAAAACACGATTTTTGTGGTCTAATTACTGTTTTCAATATAAGCTTTTGAGGCACAAACTACCCTTTTTTCTTACAGTGTAGGTAGTTGATTACTTCAACACTCCTGGATGATTGACGATACTCATCAGAAAAAATTGGATGAATGCAGTGAATGCGTCTACGATATCGACATCATCAAATGCTTCTAACGTTTGAGGAACAAAGGCCTTGTAACATTTAACTCATTCTGTGGTTTTCATGCAGATAATGATTCTCTGTGCCGTCTGGCGATTAAGTGAAACTACTTATGTAGACTTGATTTTTTACTAGTGTTTCATCCACCTCAGTTTCGCTTCCCGGTCAGAAAACCTAGAAGAATCAACAAAAACCTTGCCAAGTTCATGGACTAAAATTATAAATTACAATTTCTTATCATCACCTTTATGCAACCCGAAATACTGCAGTGTGTATTGACAGTTGTCCGATTCGAAAATTCCTGTGGACACTGTTGTCATGCTTAAATAAAATATCATGAATTACCAGCAAAATGTTTCAACATTCAGGATCAAAGATAATTAGTTTTAGGATTTTTTATTATTAAATACACACGTTTTATTGATTCTAGTGTATTTTCTGCAGTAATTTTTGCACAAATCAAAGAACTACTGAGACTTTTTGCTTCTCTTTTGAAAAATTGTTTTTCAATTTTTTTTAGGTCTGACAACGCAGATTTTGAGATGCTATCAAAACAAATTAACCTAAAAATGGCGTTTTAGGTTAGAACCAGGAAAACTGTTTTTCAAGCGCTATTTTATACATTCCTAAGTGTTAACTCGTCATTGCCAGATTTTGTCTATGCTTCTGGCCCTTAATTTTCTTAAGCGAATTAGTAGAAACATGAGTGTCTTTGTCCAAAGGCTAAACGCCATGTCAGGTGTAAACGACTGGGTTGTGCAAAGCGAAGATTATGATTTTCACCAAGAAGTAGCGAGATCTGCCTTTGCAGACATGCTGCACGACACTGAGAGGAACCAGTTATACGAGGCTGCGCTAAAATCTGCAATCAAAATAATACATTCGAAAGGTGCGAAAGCCAATGTCTTGGACATTGGAACCGGCACGGGGCTTCTGTCCATGATGGCAGCCAGAAACGGAGCCGATACAGTAACAGCTTGTGAAGCATTTAAACCCATGAGCGACTGTGCGTTGAAAATCATTGCTCGAAATGGCTTTAAGGATAAAATCAAGGTGATACCCAAGCGATCAACTGAACTCATAGTCGGCAAAGATCTTCAGCATAAATGTAATATTTTAGTCACTGAAGTGTTTGATACTGAACTTATAGGAGAAGGTGCCCTATCAACGTTCAAGCACGCTCATCAAGAACTCTTAGAGAAAGATTGTATCGTCATACCTCAGTCAGCCACAATCTACGCACAGGTCGTAGAATCTCCTTTGACACAAAATTGGAACAAGCTAAAACATATCTTCAGTGATGACGGTGAAGTTTTGATCAAAGTACCTGATTTGATCAAAAACTGTGTTGGCTCTGCTGCTGTCCATGACATGCAACTCAGTCAATTGCCTGCAAGCTCTATTAATACCATTATATCACCGACACCTGTGTTGAAGTTTGATTGGTCAGGGAACACACCTTTTATATTTGAGCGATCCACAATAAGTACCACGAAAGCTGAGAGGGATGGTTTAGCACAGCTGGTTTTCATGTGGTGGGATCTTCAAATGGATACAGATGGCAAGCATATCCTTAGTTGCGCCCCAGACTGGGCTCATCCACTCAAAAAAATTGATAAAAACGCTAAGATACCTTGGAGAGATCATTGGATGCAAGCTGTGTATTACTTACCTAAAGAACTGCCTGTAAACAAGGGTCAGGAAATAAGCTTGATAAGTTGCCATGATGAATTTTCTCTATGGTTTAATCTAGTTGATAATTTGAGGATAACAGACGAGCACTATTTGACCCCTTTCTGTGAATGTGGGGCACACGTGGCATCTTCAAGGACTAGAATAGGTCAGTTGAATGATATGACGAGAAATAAAAAATATCTTGCCTTATTAGAAAAATATGTCAATAAGGAAAGCACTATATTAGTCCTCAGTGATTGCTTCTACTGTAGCTTAGCTGCTGTAAAGTTAGGAGCTAACAAAATGTACGTATTGGAAACCAATAGTCTGTCTAGAAGAGTCCTTGAAAACTATATAGCTTTCAATAAGTTAGACAATGTTGAAATAATACCAAGCTTAGAGGAACTAAGTAAAATAAACTTCAAAGATATTAGCATGGTCTTAGGGGAACCATACTTCCTAAGTAGTATCTTACCTTGGGATAATCTGCTCTTCATATACCTCATGAAGGGAGTTCGAAATTATTTATCGAATGACGTTCAAATTTTTCCAAAGAGAGCTAGTATCAAAGCTGTAGCAATGCATTTTTCTGATCTCCATAAAATCAGATCACCCCTGAGTGTCGGTGAAGGATTTTTGATGAAAGACTTTGATGAGCTCATTGAGGTAACAAGTTTATGATTCCTGTTAAAATCCATTTACGAATTGATCGATAACTTTATAGGCATCAAGAAATCTCAGTGATGAAAACGTCGAACCCCAACCCTTGTGGGAGTATCCTGGTGTGGCTCTCAGTGGGATAGAAGAGATGATCGATTTGGATCTGATGAATGTCCCGACAAAGACGTATCTTAAAAATGGAACATTTGAACTGCAAGGGTATGAAGCAGCAGAATTTTTCTTTTTAATAATAGTGTTTTACAATGCTTAGGACTGTATTTCCACAAAAAATGTCTAAATTTCTTAAAACTCAAATGTTCTCATAATACGAGTTTTTTCAAAGATAAGGTTCCCATCTTTTTTTCAGACACAAGGATTTTTTTATTTTATTGGACATGTTGATCTTCAAGCTATATTTCTACATAGTCGGCATTTTTTTCTACGCATTTTTTTAGACGTGAAATCCACCCCCCTCTATTTTTGTGTTCCGTTGTACTATATCTAACTATTACTTAGGGATTCGATACAGTTTTCATTAGATTTCGCATTGAAATCGGTTGTTCGGTAGAATCAGACTAAAATCGGTAGATCTACCGGAAAATATGTAGACCTGGCAACACTGCTGTTGCGCTGCTGAATCTGGCGTGTCTTGTGGTGACGGGCGACGTTGCCAGATCGACGGCAGGGAAAGTATGCTTTATGAACTGATGACGTGTTGCATGAAAAGTGCAGAGTCAACCTACTTGACGCCATTTTTTTATATCACAACCCCGCTCTGAACGTATAGTATAGTTTGGCTTTCTCCAAATTCTTCATGAGCTATCTGTCATGGTGAACCTTGATCTGCAAAACTCTGTTTTATTCCAGGACTAAAATCGGTAGATCTACCGATAAATATGTAGACCTGGCAACACTGCTGTTGCGCTGCTGAGTCTGGCGCGTCGTGCGTTGAGGGGCGACGTTGCCAGATCAACGGTACTATCGACGGCAGGGAAAGTATGCTTTATGAACTGATGACGTGTTGCATGAAAAGTGCAGAGTCAACCTACTTGACGTCATTTTTTGATTTCACAACCCCACTCTCAACGTATAGTGTAGTTTGGCTTTCTCCAAATGCTTCATTAGCTATCTGTCATGGTGAACCTTGATCTGCAAAACTATTTTATTCCAGGACTAAAATCGCTAGATCTACCGAAAAATATGTATATCTGGCAACGCTGCTGAATCTAGCGCGTCGTGCGGTGAGGGGCGACGTTGCCAGATCAACGGTACTATCGACGGCAGGGAAAGTATGCTTTATGAACTGATGACGTGTTGCACGAAAAGTGCAGAGTCAACCTATTTTCCGTCATATTTTGATTTCACAACCCCACTCTCAGCGTATAGTATAGTTTGTCTTTCTCCAAATTCTTCATGAGCTATCTGTCATGGTGAACCTTGATCTGCAAAACTCTGTTTTATTCCAGGACTAAAATCGGTAGATCTGCCGATAAATATGTATACCTGGCAACACTGCTGTTGCGCTGCTGAATCTGGCGCATCGTGCGGTGAGGGGCAACGTTGCCAGATCGACGGCAGGGAAAGTATGCTTTATGAGCTCATGACGTGTTGCATGAAAAGTGCAGAGTCAACCTACTTGACGTCATTTTTTGATTTCACAACCCCACTCTCAACGTATAGAATAGTTTGGCTTTCTCCAAATTCTTCATGATCTATCTGTCATGGTGAACCTTGATCTGCAAAACTATTTTATTCCAGGACTAAAATCGCTAGATCTACCGAAAAATATGTATACCTGGCAACGCTGCTGTTGCGCTGCTGAGTCTGGCGCGTCGTGCGTTGAGGGGCGACGTTGCCAGATCAACGGTACTATCGACGGCAGGGAAAGTATGCTTTATGAACTGATGACGTGTTGCATGAAAAGTGCAGAGTCAACCTACTTGACGTCATTTTTTGATTTCACAACCCCACTCTCAACGTATAGTGTAGTTTGGCTTTCTCCAAATGCTTCATTAGCTATCTGTCATGGTGAACCTTGATCTGCAAAACTATTTTATTCCAGGACTAAAATCGCTAGATCTACCGAAAAATATGTATATCTGGCAACGCTGCTGAATCTAGCGCGTCGTGCGGTGAGGGGCGACGTTGCCAGATCAACGGTACTATCGACGGCAGGGAAAGTATGCTTTATGAACTGATGACGTGTTGCACGAAAAGTGCAGAGTCAACCTATTTTCCGTCATATTTTGATTTCACAACCCCACTCTCAGCGTATAGTATAGTTTGTCTTTCTCCAAATTCTTCATGAGCTATCTGTCATGGTGAACCTTGATCTGCAAAACTCTGTTTTATTCCAGGACTAAAATCGGTAGATCTGCCGATAAATATGTATACCTGGCAACACTGCTGTTGCGCTGCTGAATCTGGCGCATCGTGCGGTGAGGGGCAACGTTGCCAGATCGACGGCAGGGAAAGTATGCTTTATGAGCTCATGACGTGTTGCATGAAAAGTGCAGAGTCAACCTACTTGACGTCATTTTTTGATTTCACAACCCCACTCTCAACGTATAGAATAGTTTGGCTTTCTCCAAATTCTTCATGATCTATCTGTCATGGTGAACCTTGATCTGCAAAACTATTTTATTCCAGGACTAAAATCGCTAGATCTACCGAAAAATATGTATACCTGGCAACGCTGCTGAATCTGGCGCGTCGTGCGGTGAGGGGCGACGTTACCAGATCGACTGTACTATCGACGGCAGAGAAAGTATGCTGTATGAACTGATCACGTGTTGCATGAAAAGTGCAGAGTCAACCTACTTGACGTCATTTTTTGATTTCACAACCCCACTCTCAACGTATAGTGTAGTTTGGCTTTCTCCAAATGCTTCATTAGCTATCTGTCATGGTGAACCTTGATCTGCAAAACTATTTTATTCCAGGACTAAAATCGCTAGATCTACCGAAAAATATGTATATCTGGCAACGCTGCTGAATCTAGCGCGTCGTGCGGTGAGGGGCGACGTTGCCAGATCAACGGTACTATCGACGGCAGGGAAAGTATGCTTTATGAACTGATGACGTGTTGCACGAAAAGTGCAGAGTCAACCTATTTTGCATCATATTTTGATTTCACAACCCCACTCTCAGCGTATAGTATAGTTTGTCTTTCTCCAAATTCTTCATGAGCTATCTGTCATGGTGAACCTTGATCTGCAAAACTCTGTTTTATTCCAGGACTAAAATCGGTAGATCTGCCGATAAATATGTATACCTGGCAACACTGCTGTTGCGCTGCTGAATCTGGCGCATCGTGCGGTGAGGGGCAACGTTGCCAGATCGACGGCAGGGAAAGTATGCTTTATGAGCTCATGACGTGTTGCATGAAAAGTGCAGAGTCAACCTACTTGACGTCATTTTTTGATTTCACAACCCCACTCTCAACGTATAGAATAGTTTGGCTTTCTCCAAATTCTTCATGATCTATCTGTCATGGTGAACCTTGATCTGCAAAACTATTTTATTCCAGGACTAAAATCGCTAGATCTACCGAAAAATATGTATACCTGGCAACGCTGCTGAATCTGGCGCGTCGTGCGGTGAGGGGCGACGTTACCAGATCGACTGTACTATCGACGGCAGAGAAAGTATGCTGTATGAACTGATCACGTGTTGCATGAAAAGTGCAGAGTCAACCTACTTGACGTCATTTTTTGATTTCACAACCCCACTCTCAACGTATAGTGTAGTTTGGCTTTCTCCAAATGCTTCATTAGCTATCTGTCATGGTGAACCTTGATCTGCAAAACTATTTTATTCCAGGACTAAAATCGCTAGATCTACCGAAAAATATGTATATCTGGCAACGCTGCTGAATCTAGCGCGTCGTGCGGTGAGGGGCGACGTTGCCAGATCAACGGTACTATCGACGGCAGGGAAAGTATGCTTTATGAACTGATGACGTGTTGCACGAAAAGTGCAGAGTCAACCTATTTTGCATCATATTTTGATTTCACAACCCCACTCTCAGCGTATAGTATAGTTTGTCTTTCTCCAAATTCTTCATGAGCTATCTGTCATGGTGAACCTTGATCTGCAAAACTCTGTTTTATTCCAGGACTAAAATCGGTAGATCTGCCGATAAATATGTATACCTGGCAACACTGCTGTTGCGCTGCTGAATCTGGCGCATCGTGCGGTGAGGGGCAACGTTGCCAGATCGACGGCAGGGAAAGTATGCTTTATGAGCTCATGACGTGTTGCATGAAAAGTGCAGAGTCAACCTACTTGACGTCATTTTTTGATTTCACAACCCCACTCTCAACGTATAGAATAGTTTGGCTTTCTCCAAATTCTTCATGATCTATCTGTCATGGTGAACCTTGATCTGCAAAACTATTTTATTCCAGGACTAAAATCGCTAGATCTACCGAAAAATATGTATACCTGGCAACGCTGCTGAATCTGGCGCGTCGTGCGGTGAGGGGCGACGTTACCAGATCGACTGTACTATCGACGGCAGAGAAAGTATGCTGTATGAACTGATCACGTGTTGCATGAAAAGTGCAGAGTCAACCTACTTGACGTCATTTTTTGATTTCACAACCCCACTCTCAACGTATAGAATAGTTTGGCTTTCTCCAAATTCTTCATGATCTATCTGTCATGGTGAACCTTGATCTGCAAAACTATTTTATTCCAGGACTAAAATCGCTAGATCTGTCGAAAAATATGTATACCTGGCAACGCTGCTGAATCTAGCGCGTTGTACGGTGAGGGGCGACGTTGCCAGATCGACTGTACTATCGACGGCAGTGAAAGTATGCCTTATGAACTGATGACGTGTTGCATGAAAAGTGCAGAGTCAACCTACTTGACGTCATTTTTTGATTTCACAACCCCACTCGCAACGTATAGTATAGTTTGGCTTTCTCCAAATTCTTCATGAGCTATCTGTCATGGTGAACCTTGATCTGCAAAACTCTGTTTTATTCCAGGACTAAAATCGGTAGATCTGCCGATAAATATGTATACCTGGCAACACTGCTGTTGCGCTGCTGAATCTGGCGCATCGTGCGGTGAGGGGCAACGTTGCCAGATCGACGGCAGGGAAAGTATGCTTTATGAGCTCATGACGTGTTGCATGAAAAGTGCAGAGTCAACCTACTTGACGTCATTTTTTGATTTCACAACCCCACTCTCAACGTATAGAATAGTTTGGCTTTCTCCAAATTCTTCATGATCTATCTGTCATGGTGAACCTTGATCTGCAAAACTATTTTATTCCAGGACTAAAATCGCTAGATCTACCGAAAAATATGTATACCTGGCAACGCTGCTGTTGCGCTGCTGAGTCTGGCGCGTCGTGCGTTGAGGGGCGACGTTGCCAGATCAACGGTACTATCGACGGCAGGGAAAGTATGCTTTATGAACTGATGACGTGTTGCATGAAAAGTGCAGAGTCAACCTACTTGACGTCATTTTTTGATTTCACAACCCCACTCTCAACGTATAGTGTAGTTTGGCTTTCTCCAAATGCTTCATTAGCTATCTGTCATGGTGAACCTTGATCTGCAAAACTATTTTATTCCAGGACTAAAATCGCTAGATCTACCGAAAAATATGTATATCTGGCAACGCTGCTGAATCTAGCGCGTCGTGCGGTGAGGGGCGACGTTGCCAGATCAACGGTACTATCGACGGCAGGGAAAGTATGCTTTATGAACTGATGACGTGTTGCACGAAAAGTGCAGAGTCAACCTATTTTCCGTCATATTTTGATTTCACAACCCCACTCTCAGCGTATAGTATAGTTTGTCTTTCTCCAAATTCTTCATGAGCTATCTGTCATGGTGAACCTTGATCTGCAAAACTCTGTTTTATTCCAGGACTAAAATCGGTAGATCTGCCGATAAATATGTATACCTGGCAACACTGCTGTTGCGCTGCTGAATCTGGCGCATCGTGCGGTGAGGGGCAACGTTGCCAGATCGACGGCAGGGAAAGTATGCTTTATGAGCTCATGACGTGTTGCATGAAAAGTGCAGAGTCAACCTACTTGACGTCATTTTTTGATTTCACAACCCCACTCTCAACGTATAGAATAGTTTGGCTTTCTCCAAATTCTTCATGATCTATCTGTCATGGTGAACCTTGATCTGCAAAACTATTTTATTCCAGGACTAAAATCGCTAGATCTACCGAAAAATATGTATACCTGGCAACGCTGCTGAATCTGGCGCGTCGTGCGGTGAGGGGCGACGTTACCAGATCGACTGTACTATCGACGGCAGAGAAAGTATGCTGTATGAACTGATCACGTGTTGCATGAAAAGTGCAGAGTCAACCTACTTGACGTCATTTTTTGATTTCACAACCCCACTCTCAACGTATAGTGTAGTTTGGCTTTCTCCAAATGCTTCATTAGCTATCTGTCATGGTGAACCTTGATCTGCAAAACTATTTTATTCCAGGACTAAAATCGCTAGATCTACCGAAAAATATGTATATCTGGCAACGCTGCTGAATCTAGCGCGTCGTGCGGTGAGGGGCGACGTTGCCAGATCAACGGTACTATCGACGGCAGGGAAAGTATGCTTTATGAACTGATGACGTGTTGCACGAAAAGTGCAGAGTCAACCTATTTTGCATCATATTTTGATTTCACAACCCCACTCTCAGCGTATAGTATAGTTTGTCTTTCTCCAAATTCTTCATGAGCTATCTGTCATGGTGAACCTTGATCTGCAAAACTCTGTTTTATTCCAGGACTAAAATCGGTAGATCTGCCGATAAATATGTATACCTGGCAACACTGCTGTTGCGCTGCTGAATCTGGCGCATCGTGCGGTGAGGGGCAACGTTGCCAGATCGACGGCAGGGAAAGTATGCTTTATGAGCTCATGACGTGTTGCATGAAAAGTGCAGAGTCAACCTACTTGACGTCATTTTTTGATTTCACAACCCCACTCTCAACGTATAGAATAGTTTGGCTTTCTCCAAATTCTTCATGATCTATCTGTCATGGTGAACCTTGATCTGCAAAACTATTTTATTCCAGGACTAAAATCGCTAGATCTACCGAAAAATATGTATACCTGGCAACGCTGCTGAATCTGGCGCGTCGTGCGGTGAGGGGCGACGTTACCAGATCGACTGTACTATCGACGGCAGAGAAAGTATGCTGTATGAACTGATCACGTGTTGCATGAAAAGTGCAGAGTCAACCTACTTGACGTAATTTTTTGATTTCACAACCCCACTCTCAACGTATAGAATAGTTTGGCTTTCTCCAAATTCTTCATGATCTATCTGTCATGGTGAACCTTGATCTGCAAAACTATTTTATTCCAGGACTAAAATCGCTAGATCTGTCGAAAAATATGTATACCTGGCAACGCTGCTGAATCTAGCGCGTTGTACGGTGAGGGGCGACGTTGCCAGATCGACTGTACTATCGACGGCAGTGAAAGTATGCCTTATGAACTGATGACGTGTTGCATGAAAAGTGCAGAGTCAACCTACTTGACGTCATTTTTTGATTTCACAACCCCACTCGCAACGTATAGTATAGTTTGGCTTTCTCCAAATTCTTCATGAGCTATCTGTCATGGTGAACCTTGATCTGCAAAACTCTGTTTTATTCCAGGACTAAAATCGGTAGATCTACCGATAAATATGTAGACTTGGCAACACTACTGTTGCGCTGCTGAGTCTGGCGCGTAGTGCGGTGACGGGCGACGTTGCCAGATCGACGGAAGGGAAAGTATGCTTTATGAACTGATGACGTGTTGCATAAAAAGTGCAGAGTCAACCTACTTGACGTCATTTTTTGATTTCACAACCCCACTCTAAACGTATAGTATAGTTTGGCTTTCTCCAAATTCTTCATGAGCTATCTATCATGGTGAACCATGATCTGCAAAACTCTGCTTTATTCCATGACTAAAATCGGTAGATCTACCGAAAAATATGTAGACCTGGCAACATTGCTGTTGCGCTGCTGAATCTGGCGCGTCGTGCGGTGAGGGGCGACGTTGCCAGATCGACGGAAGGGAAAGTATGCTTTATGAACTGATGACGTGTTGCATGAAAAGTGCAGAGTCAATGTACTTGACGTCATTTTTTTAATTTCACAACCCCACTCTCAACGTATAGTATAGTTTGGCTTTCTCCAAATTCTTCATGAGCTATCTGTTATGGTGAACCTTGATCGGCAAAACTATTTTATTCCAGGACTAGATCATGGTGAACCTTGATCTGCAAAACTGTTTTATTCCAGGACTAAAATCGCTAGATCTACCGAAAAATATGTATACCTGGCAACGCTGCTGAATCTGGCGCGTCGTGCGGTGAGGGGCGACGTTGCCAGATCGACTGTACTATCGACGGCAGGGAAAGTATGCTTTATGAACTGATGACGTGTTGCATGAAAGGTGCACAGTCAACCTACTTGACGCCATTTTTTTGATATCACAACCCCGCTCTCAACGTATAGTATAGTTTAGCTTTCTCCAAATTCTTCATGAGCTATCTGTCATGGTGAACCTTGATCTGCAAAACTCTGTTTTATTCCAGGACTAAAATCGGTAGATCTACCGATAAATATGTAGGCCTGGCAACACTGCTGTTGCGCTGCTGAGTCTGGCGCGTCGTGCGTTGAGGGGCGACGTTGCCAGATCAACGGTACTATCGACGGCAGGGAAAGTATGCTTTATGAACTGATGACGTGTTGCATGAAAAGTGCAGAGTCAACCTACTTGACGTCATTTTTTGATTTCACAACCCCACTCTCAGCGTATAATATAGTTTGGCTTTCTCCAAATTCTTCATGAGCTTCTGTCATGGTGTACCTTGATCTGCAAAACTGTGTTTTATTCCAGGAATTTGGATTGCAACGGTATAGCCATTTGGGTGGATTGGAATCTGGATGGGACAGAAAGAGGTATCATCACAACTGGACCAACATCTCCAATAAAAATTGGGGAAAATGTGCAGTGGGACATGTATACACGACAAGGAGTGTGTCTGTTTCCGGATAGGAACACGAAGTGTATAAACTACAAATTTGAGTTTGACTTTGATGATGGCAATGTCTCGTTTAATTGTTCATAGTACGTTTTGTATTTTTTGTAAATATATGTCCAAACGTACAAATGTGTTTCTTTATCTAATAATTATAATAATCAATGAATTGACTGTACCGGATAAGTTAGAGATTCATTTTCAAAAGAATGAAACCAGTAAAATTACATACATGGTTTTTGATACTCGCAAGTGAATGTTAGACTATGGCTTCAATTTTTTTATTTTTCTAGTTACGCCACTGGTCTTTCATGAATTGGAAACTGTCATTTCATTAAACAACACAAAATACAGTGTTTAAATATTTTTTCAAAATCTACGACCACCTAAACGAAATATTAAACTCGCGGTGATACTCGAACTTCGGTTCACAAGTTTTCTGGTTTCTAAAGATATCTGCATCAACAGAGCCGTCCTTAGCAGATGCGAGGCCTGAAGCAAAACATTTTTGCGAGGTCTTTTTTTAAAGAAAGTGGTCTAGTCCGAAAATTCCTCAGCGCGAGGCCTGAAAAGCGGCCGCTCCGCCCTAAAGACGGCCCTGTGCATCACTCAAGTCCATGCCAGTTGTATATCAATGCGTCAAAAGTACTGAATCAATCTACTTGACAGAATATTCGGAGAACCGTCATAGACCGTGTAACACACAATTAAAAGTTAGGCGAAATTAGTGGTACATTTAGGAATCATAAAATCCAGAAAAAGATTTGTATAGATGTAAAAACAACGGATCGCAGAACGCTAAAGTGGTGTGTACTACTGATATCCAAATATTGCTAAAACATATATTTAGATCGGACGTTTATCGGTCATTGTTACCATTTTAGCCGGGATCAGAAGCTTCCTAATGATAAAACGTCTGTAACTAATACTAAAGACGTTACATTTATAGTCTTTTTCACGAGTATCCATTACGGTAGAATGACAGCTGATTATCCAGTAATATTTCAAAATTCCCCAAAGGAATACAGAATTCTGAGGGGTTCATCAGAGTCAGGTAGACAGAGCTGTATTTTGTTTTGATTTTTTGTATGCTACAGATTCATTTTGTACTTACGAAAATCTCTTTTATCCCGAAAAGTTCATTTGCATACAAAAAACAAAACGCTACAAACAAGATTTACACCCGATTCATTATTGCCAACTTTGCAAACTAACACGAAAATGTCACTTGTTAATCAGCTGTTAGGCGTCAAAGCGTGATGGATACTCGTGAAATAGGGTATTCACAAGCCATAAGTAGTATAGTCGAAATCACGAAACATGATGATTACGTCATCATTTTAGTCTGTAGTAAAGACAAACGACAGCGATTTGTGAATATTTTTAATGAAGTTTCATATATGTTAGGCAGAGACAAACAGATTTTTATTGTCTAGACAAACTGTATTGCTAATTTGCATGCACCCGACAAAGATAGACGATGTTTTCATGTTGTATGATCTATCATATTTGAAAGATGAATAGTTGGGTTATGTTAAAGCAGGTTAGGTTGTTTTCGAATAATACGACTTTGGTCTTTGGTGTTGATGTCTTAAGGTGTATTCTACTCATAACTGTTCTTTCAAAACAAAAACACCACACTTAAATTATTATTAAGGTATCACTTGAATGAAAATAAAAATAATTTGTGAAATAACCTAACTTCGCAAAATAATATAAATTCATGACATTTTATCATCGACGTACGTCCATTGATTACGTCAGTACATTTTATGGTATGAAGTGTGAAGTAATAGTCATCTTTCGTGATTTTGACTATAGATACCTCAAGATGGAAACGATCATCTGATTAGGAGTAATTCCAGACATGTTTCTGAAAGCATCGTGGAGGTCAGGCAAATTATTTTTTTTTCAACAGTTGGAGTTTTGATAAATTATACGTAAGTAACCATATGAGACATGAAACAAAAAAAGTTGTGATAAATGTATCATTACTTGGTTTTCTTTTTCCTATGTCATTCAGTATAATGTGGCTCTAGTCTGTATTCAAAACATATACATCGGGGTTTGGTAATTATCATTTTAAAATCGAAAATTACATAATTTACTAAAAAAAATGCTGGATATGGTATACGAGAAAGGCGATGCAGTGTTATAAAATCGTGTATTGTCCTGAAGCATCACTCAGTATAGTGTTAGATCAATAAAACATACACCCTGCTCAACTAACCAGTTTTGTCAATATTCTTTGATAGATCTGCTTAATATACGTTTGATCCATATCATCAGCAGCAGGTAAGTCCAAGTTCATTCATTTTATGTTAAATTAATCTGTATCTGTAATATACAATATACCTAGGGACTCGGTGCACTGGGGTAATTTGGGACGCTGCGCTGATTTCAAATATGGCAAAGTGCCGCAAAAGTATTTAGGACTTTCTCAATGTAGAACTAACATCAGATTTGTAATTCACGCAGCCGATTTACTTACTCAAGAAACCAATTTAGGTCAGTAAGGATTTTGTACGACTGCCGATTACTTGGAAATTTTGTTCCGCTTAAATCTTCTTTTAAATGTGGAAATGGTTTGAAATCAGTGGGTGTCAGGTGTGGTAGGGTAAATATGCCAGTTGTCGGAGAGTTTAGACAAAAATTAATACAAAGTGAAATTAAGAATTTTATGTTCAACACAACTAACGTTTTTGGAGGTGATCATATATGTTGTTAACTCTTCGTCGACAACAAATAGGTACCTACTTATAGATATTCCCGTAATTTGATTGACAAGTTTTAGACTGTCTTTAAGCATTTCTGTTGGTAGAATAGAAATTTCAAATCAGTTGTAAAACTTTGAGAAAAAGGATTAAACACACTCATACTGAACCCATTTAATATAGATATTTTTATCAAAAATACACACAAACTACATAAAAGTGAACAATAAGCTTATTTTTTTCCTTTACTCCGGTGCTGCACTGCCCACTCTGCACTACCATGTTTACAAATTTCAAGCAATTTCTCACAGCTTCGACTGTCTTCTCTAACCTGCATTCACTATATATCATGGGCGTACCCAGGGGGCGGGGCTCATTATGGAGGTAACCTACCAATTCAAAGCATGCTTTATGTACGGTACCGAAACGAATGCAGGAGGTGTGGCAGGCAGATAAAACATTCGACAGCTTGTTACCTTCCCTAGACATTTTTCTTTGAGAGCAAATCGCAATTTTGAGATCAAGTTTGCATGATAGATGTCTATAATCCTACGTGCCCGTCTTGTAACACCATATCATCCACTTTTGTGTTGGCCTTTAGGAGTGGCGTATCTGGAAAAAAGTTCCAGGGGGTTCAAACGCGGATTCAACCTTTGAGTGAGAGGGGGGGGGTCACTTAGCCCCAGTGATGGATCTGGGAAGTTATTTAGTCGGGGCATGATTTATGTTCCGAAAAAAACTGAAGAACTCGGGGGACAAACGTCTGTATCCCTGCTTCTGAGAACGAATACCCTTGTGTTGTAACTTGTGCCAATCGAAAATAGGAAGAAGTAACGGCTTGACCACCACCATGTTCTTTACAATCCTTCCACACTTAAGATCTCGACACTGACATGTGATTATATCACAAGAAACTGTCTACCATTCAACAGCCTTCAAAATGCTTTGATGAATCTGAGTAACTGCCATACCATTTTTTGCTGACGATTAAGGCTCTTTGGTTAATTATGGCGAATTTGTGTTAGATGTATTGTCACACATAAACCAAAAAGCAAATAATGTTAAAACAGTTTGATAAGCTTAGAGAGATTCTCGGCTCCCTTATTATCTACTTTATTTCGATTTTGCGCAGTAAGAAAGCTCCGTTATGGAGAATATGGAAGGGCCTATTCCGTAAGGTTATTTTTTCCTTAACTTAAGGTAATTTCAAGTTATAAATAATTGCTTAATACCTAATAAAAATGTGATTTTCAGTTCATAGACAAAAATAAATGCAAGGAAAATTGAATGCCTTAAATAAATCGAATTGTCATTTTTTTGGTTATTCAGTACTTCATTGTATGTAATTCTGCTGGCGTTGTGGTGACTTGTCGTGCTGTGGTTCAATGATTCTAAATTTATTCATTTGACATGGACATGACCTCTACGACCCCCTAGATCCGCGCTTGCTTACGAAATAAGCCCTCGCCTATTCTCCTATTCCGGACTGCGCAAAATCGAAGAAAGATCATGACGAAACAGCAAAACAAGAACAGTAACTCTGTAATAACGGAAAGTTTAACGATTCGTCATTTTTGTTGCACTAAAAACTCTCTAAACTTTTGTTAACGAAGCCTACCAACGTATGTCACTTTCATACACGTCAAATACGCAGCGCGGCAGACAGGTCAGGGACGGAGCATAGGGATCGACCCTCGCAATATCTTTTGTATCAGCTTGTTCTATATTTTCTAGCCAGAAATGTCTGTAGTAACGTTCGAGAAGCCCATTACGCACATTGGTCTAGCAGACTGGTACGCCAAGCAATGGCAGAACCAACAGACAAACGATACCCGAAGGAGTGATGCATTCAACCTGCGTCATGAGGCTAGGCAGCTCAGAAACGAGACCAAGGTCAAAACGGAATGGGACACTTACCATAACAATGTCAGATTGGCAGATAGGGTCACTGAGCTGGACAGATGGAAGGAGGTATGTATTAGCAGGGAGCGAACTGCATAGTGAGAGGCTAAGTCGATCGACGCGCACCCGGTGGTCAAAAAGGGAAACATCATCGGACACAGTGGAATATAGGTGAAATCTGTCATGAGTAATCAACTGTGAGACCCGCAAAATGTCATCTTGCAGACTGGGAAGTTTTTAGGGTGCAAATAAAATAGTTCATTCCACGTTTGTTCGCTATGATCGCTGTGTGAGTGAGTGTCCATCTATGAAGGAAGGACTCAACTGCACGCATTGTTGGTTGCAGAAAGCAAGGATATGTTTTGTGAAGCCGTGTAGTCTGTAGACAAGATGTGAAAGAAAGAAAGTTGGTTGGATAGCAAGGTCGCATCTGTAGTATAGTAGCCGTTTTCTGGGCACCTGGGCGTCATCGAAAACCGACGTGCGACCATGTTGAAACTCGTTAACAAGGTTGCCAATCCTACAGGTCCAACTGTAGATTTACAGTTTTTCAGTTCGGGCTTCAAATCTACAGTTTTTCGTTTGAGATGGTCGCACCATCTTGGCAACGCATCTTCAAACATAAGGAAACTCAAATTTCTTTGAGGGGGTTAAAAGTCCCCTAATTTTTCGTTGAAAAGATTATTTTGTTTTCGGATTTTAGCAGCCCCTCGTAGTCATTCAAAAAATGGTGGGTTCTGTGCTGGCGTCCGATGTGGTGTGCCATCTATTGAAGAGTTGCCGAGTAAAAATAAATTCGTCCATATACCTACCTACCTACCACAACCGCTGAAAAAGAATTTGCTTAAACAATGCAAAACCGTCGCTTTTTACACTTGGCCTGCGATATATACTCGTGAAAAATACTGTAAATGGAAGGTTGTAGCTTTGCTGTGCGATTTCCCTGCCGTCCGATTCGCCTGAAATTTTGACACCTGCCATGTTCAGGAATGACCTACACGATAGTAAATTTCTTTTGCGATAGTAGCGCCATCAAGAGCGATGCTAAATACTTATCGGATCGCCCTCGTATACGCACAGAAAAGCCATTGTCTATAACTATCTAAAACTGTAATGACTCATCGATGTTCACGTGAACATCACTTAACTACCAGTAGTCGGCTGTTCATAGGCGGGGTATGAATGTTTAACATGGGTGAACTAGATTTGTCACATGCTTAATAAAGAGTGGTTTGAAACATATTGTATGTCAAAAATTTGGGAATTACCTTTATTCATCGTCGCTTCCACTTACATCTGACAGTAATAAACTGTCGCTATCGCTTTCATCGTTGAAATTGACTATAACTGGCTCTATGATGGTGTCGATGTGATGGTCAAGCTGCCACATTTTTGTTTCTTCCTTCACAGCATGACGGATAGCATTCTGCCAAGCCTCGGGCGTTACTAGCTGTATGGAAGTCTCAAGTAAAACCTTAACGTCTGGTAATTTGAAGGTTGTGTTATGGCGCGCAATATAACCCTTCACTTGAGCCCAGATGAGCTCTATTGGGTTCAGTTCACAGTGGTAGGGCGGTAACCGCAGCACAGTGACAATACATTGACGGGCCATCTCATCAGTCACGTAACTAATGTTCGCAGGTTTGTGCTGTTTAATTTTTTCATACAATTCCGCTTTCACACATGAATCGTCAAACGGGAATTCCTTTTTCGTGCAACCATTGCTGCATGTCACTTTTTCGAGATCCCATAGTCGGTACACGTTCGGCTCGACGACTATGGTAGGAAGCATTATCCATGACGATCACAGAGTTGGGCTCAACTCGCTGAAGCACCCCTTGAAACCAGTCTCCTTTCTTAGAGACGAAAATCAAGTCACACTCTTCTAAAAAGCCACTGTCGCTACCAATATGAGTTACGATCAATCTTTGACCTTTCCCTGACGGTCCACGGAGACCTGTTGACAAACCTTCAATGCTTGCTTGTCGGTTACTCACTACGTTTTTGTCTATCCAGGTTTTTTTAACTGTGTGACCTGCATTTACCCATGTCTGGTCCAAATAATAGATTTTTCTGCTTTGTCGCCTATATTCAATCATTTCGCTTAGGTATTTTCGACGCCAGGCGACTATTTCAGGTCTCTCTATCAATACTGACTTCCGATTACGCGTTTCGTAACGAAAATTAATTTCGTGCAGGGATTTCCTCATTACCTCGACGCTCATTTGGGGTATAATTTCATTTTCCTTGATCGCTGCATGTACAGCCTTGAGGGTTGGTATATCATTCCTAAAGAAGAATGAATGTACGGTTCGCCTTAACGCCATTTTGCTATCGTCATCCAATTTAACGGCCTTTCGTCCCTTCAAATTAAACTTTGGATCAGTAGTAGCTCCAGTTTTCTTCTTTTCATGCACCACCCTGCGAATGGTCCACTCTGGAACGCCTGTCATACTTTCACAACGCGCGAGTGCATCTCCCTGCGACATAGTTCTGTTCAGATAATTGATCACGTTGAGCACGATTTCTTTCGCGTCCCTCTTCAGTGCTTTACGAAGCCGTCTACTTATTCCCTGGCTTTCAGTACTTCCACTCGTGCCATTTGTGCAACCACAACAATAACAATCACACAACAATTCTTATAAAAACACACAATATGCGATCGCTCAACGAAACACGTTCCAATGCGTTGCCGACGCCTATGAGTCTGCCGGTCGAGGCGCGTCTTTGATTTCATTGGTTCTACCGGCGGAGAACAATCAGCCATTATTTCCATCTCTGTCTGTGCTGTTGACCACCGCAAAGACACAGAAACGACATATGTCGTACGCTATACGGCTGTACTGGAAAGGAAGCCGGGATCGAGCTCTGATCACGTGTTGATCACGCGTATGAGTCATTACAGTTTTAAATAGTTGTAGTATAGTAGCTGACGATTGTCAGATTCCCATCTACTTGCGCTCAATAGGTCGGAAACATCGAACTAGTTCAACAATAATGCCGGAATCATGTTAAAAATGTTGCTGTACCTACTTAACTTTTTAGAAGCACCATAACCAGAATAACCTTCGTACTCCCCTATAGGTGTTGATATCATGTTTGGACAGAATCAACCGAGAGCTGGTCTCCCTTAAAGACGAAAAGTTCGGCACAGAACGAGAACTGGACGCGTTGGGGATTCCCTTAGGCGTGATTTCGGAATGCATCTCGATGAGAGACTGCAGACAGGGCACTGAACTCACCTATGACGATGGAGATGTTGAGTTGAAGAAAGAGCTGTGCGTCGTCGAGCAGGTTAAGAAATTGTTGGCGGAAAGGTGCCAGTCTGCCTGGGAAAAGCTGAACAAGCTGGAAGAGGTAGGTGTTAAAGATGCTTCTTTAAACAATTCAAAATCAATAAAGCATGAAGACCTAGTTTTACATGACACCTCGCCATGTCCAGGTGAAATTCAAGCTGAACCTTGAGATAAACGACAAGAACGAGGCTAGCGAGAACGACAAAGACCAATTGACACTGGACAAGAACTGCGCCAACATCACCTTCAAGATCGACCCTCTGCGCGCGTGCAAGGGATCGATCACCTACGAAGAATGGCTGGAGCACTCGCAGCAAGTCAAGCAACTAGCGGACAACGAGTTGCTGGACACGCTGAAGCTGCGCGAATCCTTGTTCGTCGTCCGCGAGAGGGCGCGCAACGACATGCTCGCGCAAAGGGATCGGGTGGATTTTACGTTGAGGAAGAGGATATACGAGACGCAGCGTGCCAGGTGAAAGATGATTTTAGAGTCTTGTGGGGTTTTCCAATTAGACGAAACAAAAACCTTGCATTTATAGGAGTTCAACTTGATTTTTTCTACATAATTGCGAGTGTTGCCGATCCGAAAAAGACGAATAACGAATAAATTCAAGTTTAAAATCGGTCGCAGAAAAAAAGACAGGTGCCGTTCTTATTGTAAAATCCGTTCACATGAATCTGAGAGGCCATTAGATATTTTTTTGAGATACTCCGTATATTTTATCTTTACAAGTTTCATTGTATATTCCAGAAATGAAATAGAGTGGCAAGAACTGAAAATGAGAGAAGAAATGCAGAAGGTCCTAGCGGAAATCCGCACTTTGGAAGATGCCGTATTGCCCAAATCGGACGCTCTGAAACTGGCAGAGACACGACTGGAAAACAGATCATACAGGTAACAATATTATGAAAATACTTGACAACATCAAAAACATGTATTTTTTTAGGCCTGGCTTTGAGTTGGCTAGAGACGAGGTTGAACAAGGGCTGAAGGAAGAAGTGTTAACGCTTCGTAAGACACGACAAGATCTACAGGACAAAATTAACTGTGCTAAAGCAACATATAATGCGTTGGAAGACCAACAAGTGCTTATAACTAGAGACTTGGATGACAAGATGCAATCTTTGATGACTGATATCAGGTAATGGCGGTAAAATGTCCAAGTTTGCTCCCAGTAGATGGTGCTAGTGTGGTTGGAGGTAAAACAGTTAAATGTTGATGAGAAAAAGCCCGATTTGATAGAAAGGTAACCTATTTTTTAAAATGTATTACAGAACAGCTCATTAGCAATTGAGATCTTTGTCTGTTTAACTGTTTATAACCTCAAACATGACCCCTTATTTCACGAGTATTGTCGATGCGAGTATCCATCATGTTTTGACGTCTACTGAGATAAACAGCTGATCAGGAAGTGACATCTTTGTATTAGTTTGTAACATTGATAATAATGAATCGGGTGTAAATATAGGCAAAACTTGCTTTTAGCGTTTTTTTTTTTGTATGCAAATGAATAAAAGAGTTGTTAGCAAGTACAAAACGAATCTATAGCGTGCAAAAAATTAAAACAAAATACGGCTCTGTCTGCATTTGTCTATATAGATAATCAGCTATAATCAAAATCACGAAAGATGACTTTTACGTCATACCCTAAATTGTTCCGAAGTAATCAATGGACGTACGTCGATGATAAAATCACGATGTCAGGAACACAATGAAAACAAATGTATATTATGATTTTGGGAAGTTACCTTAATAATAACTTTAGCCCCGTATCGTCAGTCGTCCCTACAATTGTAGGGCGCCTTTATGGCCTCCTTGATTGTCATAGTTTTCTACTTCTCCGTGTCAGAACTCTATTTTGAGGTTATGTCACAAACATCTATTTGCATCAAATTGTGCTTGCTTTTGAGTTATATCATGTTTTATCAGCCTGAAATTACCTACAATTTAAAAAGAAAACATATCTTCACAATAGGAGAGCGTTGACGCTGACACGGGACAGGTGTAATCTAGAAATTTTTGAAGGAGAGAAAGCAGTATGACAATCAAGGAGGCCATAAACGCGCCCTACAATTGTAGGAACGACTGACGATACGGGCCTTAGTGGCGAGTTTTTATTTTGAAAAAAACAACTATGAGTAGAATACCTTAAGACATTAACACCAAAGACCAAAGTATTATTCGAAAACAACATAATCTGCTGTAACATAACCTAACTATTCATCTTTCAAATATGATCGATCATGCAACATGAAAACATCGTCTATCTTTGTCGGATACGTGCAAATTAGCAATACAAAAATCAACTAGGTATTTAGCTCATTTGAAATGGATTAAATCAAAAGGCTTGAATTTTGACTATTTTTCTGACTAACAGAACTTACAGTGTATCTTCTGAGAAATAGGTTTATGTTTTGCTAAGATTTTGTATTCTGTAGCCAGCAGTTAACGTTTCAAGCAGGGTTTTTCAATTTATTCTTAATTTCAGATGTTTAGACCTGAGAGTAAGATTAAGAACTGGAGAATTATCTGGCCCAGCTAGTGACACTGACAGAAACATTGTGCTAACAAGAATGGAAAAGGAAATCCCACCAACATAAACACAGATATCATTAACAGTATTGACATTTTGTATCCCAAATTTATCTTGTGGTAAATGCTACTCAAACTGTGCACTTGTGCGATTTTTTACACTGTCTTTCGACTATTTTTATTGCAATATCTACTGTAGCCGAGTGCATGTATTAAAAATAAAATATATACTCTACTATAAATAGTCATCATATTGCTTGCTTGTAATTTGGAAATATCAAAATGATAGAGAAATAGCTATGTAACTCAAGCAAAAATGATTGCGGGTTTACATACTAAACAAATTTATTTGAAGTTCAACATTTTCTACACACATTTGAGGTCTTTGTTTATTTATCTAAGAGGGAAAGCCTTAACCTGCAAAATTTTGATTTTTGCTACAGTGTGTTTCACTATGCTCACACCAATTGCAAAACATTTTAACTGTTACCTGGGTTTATTGTGTTCTATACTAGTATTCAAAAATGAAATAAAAATTCCTCTTTCCTGCATCCTTGTCAAAAACACTTGTTCATGTAGTAACAGCTTCAGTAACTTTATCAAAAAGCAATGATAGAATAATTTATGCATTTTCAATTTAAAGCATATGATACATAATTTTGTCATATTTCAAAACAATGTCTGTCTTTGTGGTTGATTATTGTTTATTCCAACTCCATTGTATAAAATTATTAAACTTCCTTGATATATGTAAGCACTGTAATGGATTGACATGGATAAACAGAGTATTGCGTGTGGATAGCTCAAATAAAATATTTAGGAAATAAAAACAATTATATAAAATTCTTAAATCCTATTTATTTCACATTAAACAACAATCTAAACAAAAATCTAAGCTGTTTTAAGGCCAGGTAGGCTTTTCACCTTCCTTAAGAACCCTACCGTACAAAGCACTCTTGTCTCTGAACAGCGTCATCCTCTCAGTTTCTTTTCGGTCTAACCACCAACCGATGGCATAGCCTATAGCAGGGAAGATCGCCCAGTGGATGTCTTTACGAATCATAGGATACATTGTCCCTTTTTAATTTTGCCTTGTACAGCTGGGTGCGAGAATAGTCTGCGTATATTGTGGTCGCCACAAATGCAGGCAGAAGAGTTACTAAACAGTATCGTTTAATCAAACGACCGATACCCAATGACATCTGAAAGGCAGAACACTTCATTAAGGAACATTTTAAATAGAAAAATTGAATATTTACCTAAATTTATGCCATAAATCGCCTCAAGTCTAGGTTTCTTCAAAGTTTACGTAATTTTTGACAATTGAACATAACCTATTTTCTGCACTAGGGTGCAAGCTGTGTTGCCAAACCGAATAAGTCAAAATCGGTAGATAGTGTCATGGAATCCCATAGAATGAATGACAAAATCGATAGGAGGAAAAAGCAGTGCCGATCAGCTTTTCTGTTTTACCCCTGAACTTGAAACCTCATCACCTGATATTGTATTATCAAGGTCATGCGAGCTTATTACTTGTTCGGCGATGAGATAATGACAGTGATCTACCAGTCTGTACCTCTTCCTCTTGTACGCACAAAAACCAGTACAGAAAATGCAGAGTAAGAGTTATGGGTTCATAATTACAGGCAACCCAAACCTACGTTCCTTGTGTGTCTAACAGCTCAACGGTATGGGCCATAAACTTACATAGACTGAGACATAACATTTATCTTTTCAGCTTTATTTTTAGTTCTTGCTCTTTTAAGGTAAAAAATCCGAAAATATCTGAATTATTTTAACAAATTGTGGAAAAAGACGTTTCAGGAATTACGCACGGGTATCACTTATGCCAATTTTTTTTACATTATGCTGTTTTTTTTTTTTTGACATTATGTAGGTTTTTCTACAAGATGTTAACTTAGCAATTAGTTGTACGTGTTGCCTAAACGTCTTGAGGCTTGTTATCAATCTTTGGCTCTGATTTGATGTAAAATCTGCTTCTGCGATGGCATTCCTGGAGGTCTAAGCTGTAAGTTGTATGTGTTGATGATAATTACATTGGGTTCTTGTCTTAAATACACTTAATTGAGATTCAAAGCTAGAAATTAGTTGCGCATAGACTTTTTCTTATCCATTCTGGAAGTTACATACACAAATTTGTTGAATTAAAAAAATGAGAGAGATAAAAAATAAATATATTCACTGTACACTGTCGAATTACAAGCCTTATACATGCTAACAGTAATTACACACAACGTGGGCGCGGTGATGATTTCCCGTAATTCTCAGTTTTTCGTAATTTGTAACTTTGAACATAACCTCTCTTTAAAAAAGCACAACATAAAAATATAATACACACAATCATGCAGATGCGATCTTGTTATTCAACCAACTTTCTTTTCAGATATAAAAACTACAAACTAGGACAACTCGGCCCCATAAAACACCTGCAACCAATAATGCGTGTAGTTTAGTTGAGTGATTCCTCTATAGAGGGACGTTCACAACGATCATAGTGAGCAAACATGGAACGACTGTTTGCGCCCTAAAAACTACCTAGTTTGCAAGATGACATCTTATAGGTTTTTTTGACGGTCTCATTTAGGTAGAAATACCGAAAATAAGTAGGTTTGGCAACACTGGGTGCAACAGCATATAAAGCTAGTCTATTTCGGGGTAAGCCGCGCCATTCCTCAAACAAATGCGCCCAATAATGACAGTGTTGTCAAAGTTCAACTTCTATCACAATAATTGCTACGTACGAGGGTACGTCAAATATTTCTTTCAATGCTATATGATGAGATCCGTTGGCGACAATCGTTTTGATTTTCCCGAGTCAAGCTGCTTGAAACTATCTGCTAGTGGGGAGTAATAAAAAACCAATAAGTTTCATAAACTTTATTTGCAAAGGTAAAGCAATAAATAAAAAGTATTTAACTTCATAATCAAATACAGGTAGTACAAAAAATGGCTTGTAAACCACCTATTTGCCGGCGTCTTCCTTCAGACTGACAGTTTGGTTGATCACCAGCTGAAAAAGATGAAATGGCATTAGTACCTACCATAAATATCTTTACTATTATTTCTCTACCTTCTTATCAGTGGTATCCAGGTCAATAGAGAAAAACCCAACTCTCTCAAACTGGAACTTGTCGTATACCTTGGCGCCTTTTATCGACTTGTCGGCAAAACTTCTCAACAATTTCAACGAATCTGAGCTACAATCTGATATGAAACCACCAGGTACTTCATTGGGATCTTCTGGATTTTTATGCTTGAAACTGGAAACAATAAGGAATATTATGTCACCACCATGACCCCTCAAAAATGCGTCAACAGCATCTTACTTCGAGACAAAAAAAAATTATGGACTTGAAATACATAGAAGCATCAGAGTATTCAAGAGCCATACTTACAGAGGAGAATAGAGTCGAATTTCGACTTCCATAGGGTCGCTGACCCAATGTATGAATGCTTTGGGCTTGGATGCAGCCTTGTCCACATCAGTGCATTTACAAACAACTTCAGTAACATTATCCCCGGATTTCTTCATGTCCACTACTTCTAGGACATAGCCCGCATGCCTGAGACCTACTGGTTGAGTTTTTGTTAGGCGGCGGTATCCTTTTTCTCCAATCTAAAAATAAATGCATATTTTTGTCCTTATTCTGTAAAATTTAGTTTATCATTGGCACTAACCTCCATAAAATCGCTTTTTTCGATGTAGATAACACTGTCAAAAGTAACGATGTGGCCTCCTAGTTCTGGCTTGCTAGGAAAGTCGGGAACTGGAATTTCTACTGGATTCTCAAAGGGAAAGTTCTCTATCACCACTTTAAGGGGTTCCAAGACAACCATACGTCTGTAATATAATTCAAGATGAGTTTTCCAGCATGAAAAATATCCAGACAGGAAGCAATGGAAAAATTAGAAAATATATACCTTGGTGCAGCATTATTAAGGAAATCCCTAACAAATGCCTCTAACATGGAAGGATCAACTGTGCTCTGTGCTCCGGTTACTCCCAACTGAGCACAGAAATTATTTATCGCTTCCGGAGGAAAACCGCGCCTTCTTAGAGCTGTTAAAGTGAACAGTCTTGGATCATCCCAGTCTGGAATCAATGATATATTCAGTATTCTTTGATACTAAAATAAAGTAAAATACTTTACCATTAACAATTTTTTCGTCTATCAGTTTGGCAATTTTTCTTTTTGAAACAACTGTATAGTTGATGTTCAATCTGCCATACTCCCACTGCACTGGGCAATATATATCCAGAGCATTACACAACCAGTAATAACTTGATCTCCTGCGAATAATTCGTTGATAAACGTAAGTTTTTCAGCACCAACAAAAATCTTACCTAGACTGAAACTCCTTGGTACACAGTGAGTGAGTGATATGTTCAATGCTATCGCACAAACAGTGCGTGAAATCATAAGTGGGATAGATACACCACTTGTTTCCAGTACGATGATGTGGTGTAAATCTTACTCTATAAGCTACTGGATCTAACTTGCCCTCTTCTAAAGTTATCTTCATCCTAAGGGTAGCTGCACCCTCATCAATCTTGCCGTTTTTCATATCCTACAAACGTTATTTCGAAAGAAAACACGTCAAGTAAGTTGACTCTGGACTTAGAAGAACGTAGATCATTGTGTATGATGATAAGGTGAAAAGTTCTCTGCCTGACATAGAAATGGTCCTGCAATCAGGATAAATTCATAACCTCTGCATGTTGTTCATAAGACTAGTTTCATCTTGTTCTCTCAAGTGGTTTCTCTACATATGAATTCTCGTAGCGCACGTCTCTCGTGGTTTTGCGAAACATATTGCATCAAGAATTGATAATATGGACCTTAAAATTTGCAAATTTTGATTTTTGTGTAGAATTTTTAGGACCTCGCGCACCCTGGGAAAAAAGTATTTGGGGTAGGTACACTTTCACAAAAAGTAATCTCTGGCCAATAATCGGACCCTCCTGAGAAAAATACCTGAAAGGACATGCTCAGTGTGAATTAGATTTTGAAAAGCTGTCAAAAGCAGATAGCAAAAAGATAGATTTGATAGAAAGGTAACCTACTGTTAACATTTAGACGTAACAGCTGATCAGCAATTGTCATTTTCATAACCTTAAATAAATAAAATCATTTGTTCACTAAAAATATTTCTCTGTCAGGTATAGAACTGTTCACTTTGACCAAGTAACAAAAAATTACCTCAAATAATTGCAGGTTTTCTGATATGGGTCTGTCCCTCCAAGGTGAAGGTTGGGGATTGAAACCTTTCATTTCATCAGCAGTTTGATGGCAAACATATGCCAAACCTTTCTCTATCAGCTTGACAGCCCACTTATACAGCTGATCAAAATAATCGGAAGAGTGAGTAATTTTATATGGAGTATATCCTGTTGGAACAAGCATCAGATCACCAGTGGTTTTAGATTGCAAGAGATATATAGAATATATTGCAAAATATTGCTATATCACAGTTCAGAAATTGACTATTTGCATCTAGCACAGTCTACAAAGCATGAAAAATCTTAGGTCAACAGGTTTTAACCTTGAACATGATGGAAGGTCATTTGAAAGTCAACATAAACAATTGATATGAGACTCCATACTCTGAAGATAAAGTAACCCAGCAACATCCAAGGTCATATTTCAAGGTCATTATACCCTATATATCATGACCTCAAGTATTTTCAAAGTCATCTCAATAAATTCGTGAAGAAATTGTAAGTACATATTAGAGGTCAATCTGAGTTACTTAATCATCCTTCAGGTCTCAAAAAAAGGTCATTCATTCAGTTGAACTTGAACTGGAAACAACTCCTGATAAGAAATATGTCTTTACCTAGAAAGGTGACCATATCCTTGATCCCAGTAAAGAATTTCTCTTCCTCCTTCTCAGGATTTGTATCATCATACCTCAAAAAACAAATACCATCATGAGCTGCTGCATATCCAAAATTGATATTGATAGCTTTAGCATGTCCGATATGGAGGATACCATTTGGCTCTGGTGGAAACCTAGTTCTCACTTTTCCTCCAGTTATTTTCAAATGTTCCTCTAACAGTTTATGAGTATTTTCAGTTACAACATAGCCATCTGTTTTGTAATTCTCTCCTGGTTTGTGAAAGTTTACTTTTTTCATTACATCTGATATGGTTACTCCTTGTGGAGAACTGGAATCTAAGATAAGGTATCTTTAGGGGAAAGAATGCAATTATTAGAAATACATACCAGCCTCTAGTTGGGATGATTTTTTAATTGCTTCTTTAGGTTCTGCTTTGATAGGTTTTACTGCTTTTTTAGCAGTTTTTGCTGCAGGATTCATATCAGCTTCTGTTTTAGGCCCTAAGAGAGCAAACACCTGAGTATCTATTTCATTTTTCACATTTTTCCCATCAGCCCATGGCAAATCTGCCCTAACTTTCTGCATTAATGGACCTGTGTTGAAAGTATACCTTTTCTCAATTATTTCTTGCTTATGAGTGTCTATCTGCTTAGCAACAGCTTTTTTAATATCCTCAAGAGAAACTACAACTCCTACACCGCAAAACCTTTCTAACTCATCAGTTTTCAAGTTGTTGATATGTGAGAGGGCAAATTCTATGGCCTTATCAACCCTCAAGGTTGAATCTAGCTTATGAGATACAATGTATTTCACTAACAGAGGCAAATGGTGGTGTATCTGTGGCTTGATTTTTGTACCAAGTTGATAAAGTAGCATTCCCATTCCATCATCTAACTTTACTCCTCTTGTCTACAAAAATAATAAAACGACAATCATGGGCATATGCTAGGATATACATATTTATAAACTCACTTCAGTTAAAATGGTCAGCAAAGTCTTTGTAACAGTAGGATTCTTCACCGTTTCTTTCGCTTTTTGCTCACTCAAACCCAAGCTCATAAGAGCTCTAACAGTCTTTTCAACATTGCCCTCCATAATTCTTGAAGAAAAAATGGGAGCCAAAGGTATTGTCTTTAGTTATGAAATGAACTTTTATCAGTTTGCAAGATTGTTCCCTTTTGTTCTCCAAATTGGGTTAGGTTTTTTGATTTCGTGTCACTGTCAAATTGCAGCCCACGTGGCCAAAGGAGAACAAGATTCGAGGGAATGAACCTACTATTTGTTATCCAAGATGCCATTTTCTAGGTCATTCTACCAGAGCTAGAGATTTTCCTTGAGGTCATCTAATTTCATTGGTAAGTGCAACATAGAAGAAGGATACCTTTAATATTCGCCTACCTCTCATATACTTTTGAGTTTTTTTCTAGTTCACACTATGTGCCTATGATTTGACATTTGACACGATTGCGTCACCGTGATTTATTGTTCTATGTCGTACACTTGGCACTTCGACGGGTCAGAAAGTACGTGAAATTCTTAATTTGTTGCATAACACCGCGCAGATTTCCAAAAAATACAAAAATGCTGAAGCCTACGAACCCTTCCGGCTACTTTAAAGCTGTGAGCCAGGTGGTAAGCAACCAATTAAACGTAGGCAAACAGATTGCAGTGCTGCCAAAGCAGACCAAGTCCTTTGCACCCCCTCCGAACAACAGCTTTATAGCCCTAAGCAGAGCCCTACCAAATGGCAACGTCACAATCTCCGTTGGCCCCGCAGTGACCAGCCAAGTTAGGTGGGCGCACACAGATATCCAAGTACCATCATGGGACAACTACCGCAGGGATAGCACCAAAAAAACGGACGTAAAAAATGCCGAAACCGAAGAATCAAGGAAGAATTTCACGTATCTTATGGCCGGAGCCCTTGGTGTAGGATCAGCATATGCTGCAAAGTCTGTAGTCACTCATTTTGTCAGCTCAATGAGTGCATCCGCTGATGTACTGGCTCTTGCTAAGATTGAAGTTAAGCTGTCCGATATCCCAGCAGGAAAGTCTGTTACCTTCAAATGGAGAGGTGAGAAAATATTTGTATTCAATAATCCACTATCGTAAAATGTTATTGGTTGTTCAACATGATTAATTTCAACTGTGTAAAAAGATATTGGTGGCTCCTAAATGGCATGTTTCAACATTTTATTTCATTATTATTATTACATATTTTTACTAATAGCACTACAACAGTAGGTGGAAAAGTCCTATGATACTGTTGTGTAACGTCTTTTTTCATACTGGATAAAGCATGCTGCCTTGTCTTTTAGTTCTTCATCCAGCTTATTCTTGAATGAATTGACAGTTGCAGTCACTGTTTCTTCATTAAGAGAGTTTCACAAGTATACAACATAATTAACTCTTTCTCTTTTTTAAATTTTTTGTAATTTCCTTAGAGATAAAGATGACTCATATTTTGATTTGAAAGATACATAAGTAGTATCTACTGATGATCTTGCATGTCTAAATTAGGTCCCTTGTAATCTTCACTCAGCAAATGCTGTCAAATTCATAGCCCTTGAATGTTGTTCATGTCAAATCTCTTTCCAGTACTTGGATGCCTTTAATAAAATAGGGACTTGATGTCCTGTGTGCATAAGCATGAACAGCTGTTTTGTGCTTTGTGCCAACTCATCAGCATGGTATAGGCTTGGTTTTTTTCAGCTGTGTAACATTCTATATGGAATTCCACAAGAAACAATATTTGCATCCCTTCTTTTTAATATAAATCTCAACGCCTTGTTTGAACTATTAACAAAAAGTGAAAAATAAGGTTTGCAGATGACACAACCATCATACATAAAGCCAGAACTTGGACAAGATTAAAAGAAGAAATTGGGAACAATTAAGTACAGATAAAAACTGATTCAGTAATCAATTATTAACTATTAATTTCTAAAGTGCATATATACAATAATCATAAATGACTTATTTCAGGCAAATTGCTTATATATCACATAAACTAAATCATAAGAAGAAATTTAGATTTCTGTTATATAAATTTAGATATTCCAGACAAATTTTCATTGAAACTCAATTAAAATTTTCATCAAACATTAGTTTCACCTATGGAATTCTCTGGGGATCTATGAAACCATCTTAATTCTTTACAAATAATCCAAAAATTATTCATAAAAACAAAGTACAACCTTTATCATATTTATCAAATATGATACTAGAAATAAAACTGAACAAATAATTATTGCAACAGTAAAAAATGAAATAACATTGGAGTCATTCATATACTTACTTACAAAGTTTATGTATTACATTTATATTATATAGATTTTGTTCTAGTTCTTATCAATTTGTTGTAACTGCTTTGTTATGTGTGTTAGAATAAGAATATTTCCCTTTTGTGGCATATGAATTTATTCACAATTCATAATTGATGTGAATAAATATTGTTATTATCTCACATGTTACTTTAACTACAACACAACTATCTTTGCTCTAGGTAAACCCCTTTTTATCCGTCATCGCACAGCAGACGAAATTTCGGCCGAACAGTCGGTAGCCGTTGCCTCGCTGCGTGACCCTCAGCACGATAACGAACGTGTCCAGAAACCCGAATGGCTGGTAGTCCTAGGCGTATGCACACATTTGGGTTGTGTGCCCATCGCCAACGCAGGCGACTTTGGAGGGTACTATTGCCCCTGCCACGGGTCCCATTACGACGCCTCTGGTAGGATCAGGAAGGGACCTGCTCCTCTTAACCTTGAAGTGCCCCACTACGAGTTCCCCAGCGATGAACTCCTCGTCGTTGGTTAAGCGATTTTTATGATTTATGTTAAGTTGTAAGCGTAAGCTACTGACATAGGATATTGTAACATCTTTGTTTATGTTCAGTGTATAATTTGTAAATTATGTGATTCCAAAATAAAGTTACTCAAAGGAGTTTTTTTTTTCATTTCATCTTTAAGATCCATCCTCCAGGAACCTAGATACTAAAAACGAAATTTGAGCATTTTTATCTACAGAGTGATTCAGAGAAATGTGGTAATATTTCTGGACTAGAAGTACATCTAAAAAACAAAAAAAAGATTGTAATAATACTAATAATAATCATATTTTAGTATTTAATAAGGTTTCTATCTTCGAAGTGGAAAAGATATGGACTTAAAATTTTGTACATAATGATATTTATCTATATATTATATAAATGTGAGTATCTCAAATTTGTACACTCACTAATTGAAACCTGATGAAGGTTATAGGTATGACTTTGTCCGCTGAGATATACAGGGTGAGGGTGTTCAAAAGGTATGGATGGATCAGAATATCTCGAACAATATGTTTCTTAGAGAAACGTGCAGAACAAAGATTCGTGCGTTCTTGAACGTGACCTCGACTGACCGTCAAGGTCATTTGACGGTCAAGATGTTTTTTTCAAACAACGAAAATAAAAAGAGCAAGAAACTTATGTTCAGGTATGATCTTGAATATGGCCGACAGTCATTTGAATCACCTTCAAGGTCATATCAAGATCAGATAAGAATGGAACCGCCTTAATTTTTGTCGAGGACTTAAAAAGGCGAAACATTGAAATTTAATGTATTGTTGCAATAGAACCGTTGGATAAAAAAAATATTGTCTATCCCCTGTCTTTTTTTGAAACAATATTAATTTTACATGAAATTTTGAATGAATATTTGAACTAAAATCTATATCTTGATAATGCGATAAGTGGCAATGAATTTCTATGGGTGGTATATTATTTCTGAATCACCGTGTAAACTTCAAATTGTTTTAGCCTTGACACTGGTACTCCTATTATAATAGATCACAATGAGATCCGTAGTTTCAGCATTTTTTTTGAACCTTTCAAGTGTCAAGTAGTAGTCTCTAAACAACTTGTGAATGCACTTTTAAACTTTATTTGGTAAAATACAAAACACCAGGCTAAAACACTTTCTGCTTAAAATTTATTAAAAATGTACATATAAAATTACATCCACCAAAAACTGACAGAAAAACTCTTGTCTATAGCAACAACATGGTGCCACCATTTGACTGGTATGAACAACATTTCTCCTGGTTCCAACAGACATTTGTACATTTTTGCTTTGTGAAACTCTGGAAAACGACTTAGGTCTGGTTTCAATGGATCAACTTGAGCAGTGTTACTCAGCAATTTTCCTTCATGGGGATACAAATGTGGTGAATCATCTGGCGAGTATAAGAGAACCTGCTTTCTTCCAAACACCTGAAAAACAATGGAAGGTACTAAAATAAGTGTTTGATCTAGGGTAATCAGTAATTTGAGAATATTTTACCTGACTAAGTATATTATTTTTTGGGTCTTGATGCAAAGGTGACACAGTTCCAGCTGGACCAAACCAAGCATTTATATCAGGTTCTGCCTCTGTATTGTTTTCATAATCTAGGCTTAAGCAACAGTACTCAGGTATTCTAATATCTTCTTTCAATTCTGCAATCTGATAAGAAACTGGGTTAATTTGGCACCATTTTTTTAGAAAGTTATTGTTACCTGATCAAATAGATTGTGTTGTGCCAAATAACCAATATCACCACTCTCTGAAACATAGTACTTCAATATAAAATCTTTCAGTTTCATAAGTTTCTGTGACCATTCTTCATCTGCATAGTGAGCTCCTATTTCAACTGGCACTGTACGTTCACCAGCTATATTTAAGAGGTAGTCCACATTTTGCCATTTTTTCATTGCTGGCCAGTGTCGCATGCAATCTAGAAAAAAATAAAAAATTGTCTAATGAACATTCCATTCAGAATATTAAATGCCTGCCTTATAAATAACAAGTAGATATGGGCACAATGCTTCTGATTACCTTTGATTTTGACTGGCACCTGGGTACACAAATATGTCTTGTTGAATAATTCTAAAGATGGACATTCAACAATATCTACTTCTTTAGCAACTATTTTATCAAAACTTGGTAAATCTTCAACTTTTCTTTTGACTGGGAAACTACTAACTGATTCCTTGCAGCTGTTATCAGGTTCTATTTTGTTTATTTCTATATTCAGTATTTTTGCACTATTTGTTAATAACTCTTTATTATCTAAAGGGCATCCTAAAAGCAACCCCATATCAATGCATTCTAAACACTTTGTTAAAAGCTGTTGTGAACAATGTGTTGCATGTTTCAGAATAATAATGCATTTTATGAACTGTGAAGCTGTGTAGTATTGTCTCATATAAATTGGTACTTCACACCAATGGCCTGTGTTTATCTCTTCATATATGAAGTCCACAACACTGTCTATTTCTATGAATTTATTCTTGTCTAGAGGACATTCACTATCACTGTCTGATAAAGCATAACTGCAGCACTCTAAAAATGTTTTTCTAACAGATATGTTCAGCTCTCCTTTAGGATCAAGATCATCTGATTTCAACAAAAGATTTTTCATCTGTCTCATAAGCGAGATGCTTTCCATTTTAAGAAAAGCCAAAGAGAAAAAACAACAAATGTATGCACTTGTACGTTACTGTTGTTCATGATGAGGGACTTCAGGTGTGATCATTTTTTGTGTGCATTTTCTTGTATAATATAAATTTGTAATAAACATTTGAATTCAAATTTTTGACAACTAACCTAAAAGTACAAAAACAGATACAGCATAGATAGGTGTGACTCAGATGATGAAATCCTTCTACAGTTATAGGGTGTGACGTAAGCCGCCATCTTCAAGGTAAAATTATACATACAAGGGATAATTGATATTTACTCGGTTTTTCTTATGAAGATTTGAATATTTGGTTGATATCGGTTTGAAAAACTTCAATAAAATGATGTATTAGCCCCAATAATTGCGGTCCCATATAAATTTAGATCAAGTTACGATACGATATGGCCTTAGACTGGAGTTTGTATTTTTCGTTGTTAAAATCATTTGTGCACTTCCTAACTAAACTAAATTAAATTTCAGACGCTTTAGTTTGTACTTCGAAAAGGGTAAGGGGAGGTACTGTTTAAATAATGAAAATATTTAAAAACAAAAGTGGTGCCGTAACTGGAGAAACAGCTTATTTTATAAAATCTCCCATCTCTATTAGTTTATTTGAACTACTGTCAGCTTGTGTTGTCAGCTGTCACTGTTGTCAGCTTCGTCTTATAAACTTATCAAACATATTTTTGCTATGACGCTATGAGATTAGAAATTAGAAGCCAAATTGCCTTCATATTCAATATTTTTCTGTAATTCTCTTTTACTGAAACTGAAAATAATTTAAAGATAAATCTAGCGGCAAGGCTTTACACCCTGAATATTTAAACACCTGATCTGTGATACAGTGATAAACGTTCCATCGACAAATACATGAAATGAATCCAGTTTATGATTTCATCCAGAGAAATAGAGTACTGGCTATCGTAGAAAAAGCACAATCATCAAATGCGAGGAACATAGCATTAGAGGACTTTGATCTTACACAATTTCCGTCAGTGATTTTAAATTGCCAGTATTTATACCACCTAAACATTAGTCATAACAATATCTCGGATCTTCCCAATGATATTGTGCAGTTGAAGAATTTGCAACACCTGAGCTTAGAGTACAATAATTTCACATCATTCCCCACTGTCTTCAAAAACTTAACACAACTTGTTTCACTGAACTTGAGCCACAACCCTATCAAAGTTTTATCACGTGATGTGGGGCACTTAGCATCCCTGGAAACTTTGTGGTGCAATAGTTGCTGTCTAACGGAACTGCCAAATGAAATAGGAAACTTGACAAAACTGGAAACATTGGGTAGCAGGCATAATAAAATTTGCAAGATACCAGATACTATTAGTTCTTTGAAAAATCTAACGTAAGTAATCAACTATGGTAGCTGTACTATTTGTTGCTAGTTTAAATATTTCCATATAATTTTATTATTCTTTGTTACAGGTGGTTAACACTTGAAGATAATAGTTTACACACAGTTCCACCAGACTTTGGTGATCTAGAATCTCTCACCCATTTGAATCTAAACAAAAATAACTTCAGTTATATTCCATTTGCAATATCAAAGATAAAAACGTTGAGATATCTACATATGCAAAATAATGAGCTGTTTTCTGTGCCAGAAAGAGTTGTTTTAGCAATGCCACAAGCTAAAATTAATCTTCAGAATAATCCATTGCAGCTTGATAATGAAAAGGTAAAGTAACTTAATATATCGATGCATTTTTGCCAAAGTAACGTAAGTGACATTTTTGGTGAAAATCATGTTTTTCCATTAACATAAGGCTTTTATTGTTGAGAAGGTACTGCCAAAGTGTAGGAAGCCTAGATTTTACTTTAAACATTTGTTTTTAACTTTTTTTGCTGTCCAGAATTTTTTAAATCATATCCGTAAAAGAAACGGAACTTTAACACTATTTCCATCATAGTGCTGCAAGCTAACGTTTTTTACCGCCATAATAACGTAAGTCCCTGTCGGTTTCTGCGACTTACGTCAGATTTTCGCAGTCAGTGTTTGGCTTACGACAGTGTTAGGTTCGTGCCTCCATCGACTAATTATTGATTTTAGGTAAGTAAATGACATTTTTTTATAGTTAGAATTCAAAAATATTACAATCTTAACTGATATTATGTAGGAACATACCTATAAAATTCCATTTCGTTCATTTATTACAAATGATCCTGTGATAACCTCAAGGTTTGTGAGGAATTTGCAGGAATGAATCGGTTGAAGTTAAAAAAACGGTTTTTTGTAGTTAGAATTTAAGAATATTAAAACCTTAACTAATATTATGTACCTACCTATAAAACTCCCATTTCATATTTAATTTCGTTTATTTATTAGAAGTAACCTTGAAGACTGTGAGAAATTTACAGGAATGAATCGGTTGAAGTTAGAGAAAGACTGTTGTATTTGTTTCTATTCTAATTTTTATAGAAACTATGAAACATTGTAAACATAAATGCTCGGTTACTTTCAGATTATGTCTATGGTCAGTTCACGAACAAAAAGGATTTTGGCGGCTCTTAGCCAAAATGATGAATCGAATGTTTATGGAAGAAATCGGGTCTATGCCGATATCCATTATTTCAAGTGACAATATTTTTGATCTCGATAATTCCGAAAAAAATTTAAAAACTACTTTAGTAAATGAAGATGTAATCGAAATAGATCATAAATGAAGATGTAATCGAAATAGATCAATCAATTTTATTGTGTTCTAACAATTCGAGTCCTTATGAAAATGATGGTAACCATACTATGCAAGAAGAAATAAATGTACCAATAAGTACTGATAGCTCAAATGGGACAGTGGGTGTTCAATTTGAACAGGAATGCGATGTACAAGAATATTTTCAGCCGTTAGTTAATTACATGTCATACCAGGTTTCACGATGAATTCTTTAAATTAAAATGTAAGTCTTCTCTTCCAGATGAGTTAGCAGAAACTGATGCAGAGGATGATAATGAAGTTGAAAGCTCCAAAACTTAAAAAAATATATATTTTTTACTAGTAAGAATTTCATATTTTCTTTTGTAACGTTATTTTGTGTTTTTTTTTATAATAAACGATAGTTTTTAATTCTTTCCAAAATACTTTAAGTGCTACAATTTGCCGCCAAACTGACGTATCTGTGTACCTACGTTACATTTTTGATCAAGACTTCGAGATTTCTGAACCCGTAAAGTAACGAAAGTATCTAACCACTAAAACTATAGAAAAACTTCAAAAATCATTTTTCTTAATTAAATATAGACCTCAGAGAAACACCCTGGTAAATATTGCACAATTTAAAAAAGTTAAACCAGGTTAAATTAAAAACACGTTTTTTCTCCGAAATCGTTTTTGGTGACATATGTTACTTTGGCAAATACCTATCGATATTTGACTTGGTCAAGTATTTATTCGAAAACCTTGATCAAAAAAAAAATTCTTTTAGCTTTTCCCTAATGTGATAATAACTGGCCAAGAAGATAATATACAAGATTTGGTAGAGGATGATTCAGATTCCAGTTCAGATGATTGGGACAACAGTGTGGATAGTTCTGATTTGAATTATTCTGGATCTGATTCATCTGAAAGCGATATAGAGGAAGTGCTTTCATACATACCTAAGTTATCAAAATATGTAACACCTAGTTGATATTTTCCTTTATTTTTATTTTATTTATGTGATACCAAGTCTCTGAATGTTATGTGATTATCTAAAATAATAGATAAACTATTAACCAGAGGCAACAAGTTTATTTTAATTGTACAGAAATGCATATATTATAAATATATTAGTTTTCATACATCAGTGTTTGATGGTTTTAATTCAACTTTATCCTTATCACTACCATTTATCTCGGAAACATCCTCACTCTTTTTTTCAACATCTTCTAAAGTACTTTCTTTCTTGGGACCTTTTTCTGCACCTTCTAGAAAATTATCCCATTTGTTTATCCTTTGAGATATTTCTGAATCTGTTTCTGCTATTTTGAATTTTGTCCTACCATCCCAGATTTCTGCCTTGAGTTGCCTCTTCATAAACCATCTTCCATTCAAAAGAATGACTACTTCATCGGCCTCCTCCGGTGTTCCCATGTTGATCTGTGCAATACCTTCAGGGTGTCTATCAAAAACAGTTACTTTATTGACCTTCCCATGCTTTGAACACTCTTCTCGCAGATCTTGTTGAAATTCCAATATAAGACCCACATCTTTATCAAATATAGTCGGGTCAAAGAGGTTCCTGACAATCACAACCCTTTCATGTTTAGAACGTTCCCCTAGCTTCTTTTCAGGTCTCCAGTCGAACAATTTTTCTTGGGCCTTTTTCATTTTTAACTTATCTTTTTTCTTTTTCATTTTTGGCTTAAGCTTTGGGTCAAAATTTCCCTTCATTTGGAACTTTGCTCTTTCCACTTTGATCTTATGGCCTTTATATTCATATCCATCAAGCAAATTCATGGCTAAATCTACCGATTCTACTTTTATGTAAGTACACAGTGCATCTCCTTTTAAAATATCTGTTCCTGGTTCTTTATACAACTTTACTTTAAATTTGCCCGACTGTATATCTTTCATTACCAATCCACATTTTTGCATCAAATCTACAAATTCTTGTTCTTCAATATCAACTGGTAAATTTGATACATAGACACTGGTATTTTGTGATTCTTCCAACTCAAACCATTGTGGTTCAGATGCTTTTCTTTTTTCACCTTTAACTTTTTTGGGTTTAGGTTCTGGTTTAGGCATCTCCTCTGTTTTCACCTCTACCTAAAAATAAAGAAAATTCTCATGTAACAAGGTACCAAAACAGTATTGTAAAAATGTTACCTTGGTGTTATCCACAAATCCATAATTCATCTGATACATAGCCATGAACTCTTCATCTACTTTAGGAAACCAAGCAGACTTTTCCTTATCCCAAAAGTATTTTACACCATCAGAGTCTGTATACACATGGGTATCATCTTCAAAACCATATGTAACATTTTTCAGAACCCACTCATCCTTATCTTTGTCCCACTGATATTGGGTGCCAGAATCGGGGTCAGTGTACACTGCTATATCACCTTCATAATGGATATTCTTAGGGTCATATGAAGTCTCTCCAATAGACCCGCAGACTTCATCAATTGGTTGCTCCAAATCTTTTTTGTCATTGTTTTCTCCGATATGATCCGCCTTAGTGCTTTCATCTTCAGACTGCAGTTTTTCATCACGGACATTTGGACTTCTAGCAGGATTTTCGATTGCTTGGCTATCTGTTTTACCAGTTTTTTTGTTTGGTCCTAGATTATGCGTAGTTTCATCACTGGATGTGTTAATATTTGCAACTGCAAAACATATATTTAGGTTGTTTCATAATCTTTTACGTATACGTATATTACCTGCAAGGCTTTCTGGGCATTCATTCATCGTTCAAAAAGTTCATCGGTTTAATCAAAAATCAAACATACAAACTGTTGACAACACAAAGTTGACAACCCTACATAACCTCCAAATCACGTATAGAATCACATAGAATCTGCTTCACAGGAGGAAATGTGAACTAGATTGAGATACCTGCTGCTACTAAATGGTCCGAGTAAAGATAACAAGCCCACGCAAGACAACTGTTAAAATGTATTCTACTAGATGCTAGAAGACCAACTGTAGCGAGATTTTTCCCGAAATCGTTGCATAACACTTAAAAAAATGCAAATCAAAACTGGCGAATTACCGCTTTGACGTTCTAAGTGACTCCATCGGTATCCCGGGACAGCATACGTTTTGACAATTCATTTTGTCATTCTTGTCACTTGGATTGCGGTGCTGCCAGCTCATCGGACGATTTTGCTACCTCTGCTATTTTGCTAGAATGTTTAAAAAAATACATTTTAAATAAAATATCGAGGAATACCAATGGAGATACACAAGATTTAAGGCGTAATGTGTGACAAAAAGCTGAAGGTGATGCCATTAAATATTCCCATTATACGTTCAAGAGCAAGAAAAATGATGACTGGTGGTGTTTATGCTAGAAGTCTGGTGAGCTGACAACAGCGCAATCCAGACGACAAGAGTAACAAGGTCAGTTGTCAAAACGTATGTCTATCTCGAATTTGGTTCTGGGTCACACGTGCTTTATGCCTTTACTTTATCGTTCTGTGATCTGTTGTTTTTTGAATGCTTGTTATCCTGGTATATTTACATTTTGCTTTTCGATCTGAAAACTTGCACGGTTTTGTAATTTTCCTTGATTTCCATCGTTGCGCTGTGGGCCAGGAAATCCTAAAAAGGCATTGAGTAGACTTTTTGATCGTTTCACAATAACATATTTATATCAAAAAATATTACATACAGGGTGACTTTGAAGTTGAGTCATTAATTTTCAGATAATGATTGTAGAAGGAAGATAAACCAAAATATGTGTGTAAAAATAAAAAAAAATGTTTACCTTGTTTTATAAAGTATCCTCCCGACAAGTATTTCAGTGCGGACCTGTATTTGATCGTGAGGTCCCCTGTGAGGTCTTAAGTCACCTGATTCACGAGCCCGTTGTACTACAGAAACAAAGGCACGAGGTGTTGGTTGCACTCGATTGGGAAACCGATCCGCATAAACATGTGCCATTTTTTATTTCGTTTGAGCCACGCAACAGACACAACTACTCACATGCGTTACCGACTGACACTGACTGTATGTATACAACTGAATAAAATAATTGTAAAAACATCGTTCCAAATTCTTTCGCTTTTTTGTTTCCGATGCGATGAACCGATAAGGCGGATTATATCCGTTGTTGCCAAACACGAGCACATGATATTATTATTACTATTGAGACAGGGCGGTACTCAAACTTCCAAAGGGCTATAACTTTGTTACTTTAATTTTACCAGAAAAATGGTAAAGGAAAAAAACATTTCTTTTGATCAGATCTACTCACTGTTAAAATAAATGACTCAACTTAGAAGTATATTGACACAAATCATAATTATATCCGAATATCAAAAATTTGAATATCACTGAATGCAGCATAATTATCTTTAGTATTGAAACCGTAATTGAATACTTGATTCATTTTCAGGTACCTTTATAACCACACATTTATAACATAAAGACCTCTTAAGCCCTTGAAATTTCCCCAAAACATAATTTCTGTACCTGCAAACTCTGATAATGATAGGTAATACTTTTATAAATATGGTTTTATGGGGGCTTTTCGGATTACCTGGCCCTTGCCTTGTGATTTGTAAAAAGTAGTTAATACTTTTGCAATTACTGGAAATATCTACCTGTGCCTTTCAGCTGATGAAGGAATCCCAGCATAACCATTTTATAAGTTGAGGAGAAAGCATCCTTATAAGAAGTGAAGCAGTATCAGATTATTTCTTCAGAGTCATTGATTATTGGCGTCATGAACAAAAAGATCAGTTTTGGTAAAATCAGCGCCAATTTTGGCGAGAACTCTAAAAAAATTGAGGCCACAGGAACTATAGGTACCTTCGGCCCACCAAAAGCGATAGAGGTACTGGAAGATGATACTGAAGCCCAAAAAATGAAAGAGGTTATGGGTATATCGACGTTTGGCAAAAAAGCAAAGACCTTTGATGTAGCAGAAATGGTAAAGCAAGTTAAAGAAACAGCAAAACAAGTGACAAAGAAACCTGAAGAGGACAAACCGCTTGATAGTTCAGAAGACAGTGAAGATGATGATTTAATTGGACCTCCAGTACCTCAAAATTTACTGCCAGCAGTGAAAGAAGACACACAGAAAAAAGAAAGTGACGATGAAGAATCTGACGGTAATAACGAAGATGATGTATCATTATTCATACCTTGTTCGCATGAGGTTCAGATGGTCCATGGTACAAAAGCAGTAACTGCAATAAGCGTCGACCCGAGTGGTGCAAGACTTGCATCAGGATCTGTAGATTATGATGTCAGCTTTTGGGACTTTGCTGGAATGGACTGTAGCATGAGAAGCTTCCGAACATTACAACCAGCTGATAACCACCCTATCAGAGGACTGCATTATTCCAATACGGGAGATTTGCTTTTGGTTATATCAGGAGCTAGCCAGGCAAAAGTTATTGATAGGGATGGATTTGAGAAGCTGGAGACAGTTAAAGGAGACATGTATATTACAGATCAGGCAAGGACTAAAGGACACACTGCTGGGTTACTTGCAGGTATTTATTTAATATCAGTAGTTCCATTGATATTTCTCGAAAAATATCTGAATTAAAAATATTATTTTTTGTGATAACCATCAGTCAATCTGGTTACATTGGACATTAAAGATTCTTTCTGTAATTTGGACCTTAATTTTCATCCGTTCCACAACTTTAAGGAGTTTTTATTGTGTTTAAAAATCTAAATTTTTGATCATTTTTTATAATCTCCAGTAGACTAAAAATAATATGTAAACTTGAGTGCCCACAGAAATATTTCTCAGGGAGGGCCGACAATTGGCAAGAGATAACTTTTTGTGAAAGTGTACTTTTTAAGGGTACCAAATTTTACCAGGGTGAAGAAATCCGCAAAATTGTAGACAATATTATGCAAATGTTAAACTCTAACCAGATTCCAAGGAGTCCATGGTTCTAAAATAAATATATAAATTTTGTCTGAAACATTAATTAATGATAAATATGAATTTGTAGGTACATGGAATCCAGTGACTAAAGAAGAATTTTTAACTACTAGTGCAGATGGAACCTGCAGAACATGGAATTTCTATGATGGTGGAAAACACCATAAACAATTGATCAAATGCAGAGCTCAAAACGGCCTGAAAGTTTCACCTTCCGCAGTCAACTATAGCTATGATGGCAAGGTAGGTGGCCTAAGATTTTTTTTCGTTTTTCTAAAGATTCTGAGGCTTATTTACTAAAAGATAGTCTCAACCCTATTTTTTTCATGTTTCTTTTGCTTTTATAGGTGATTTGTTGCGGGTGTGCAGATGGATCAATACAACTTTGGGACTTGAGAAAGAGTTCAGTGGCGCCATCGATGCTAATTCGCAAGGCACATCAACCAGTCGAAGTTACCAGCATATGTTTTTCCCATATGGGAAATCAACTTTTGACGAGGAGCTGCGACGAAACTATGAAATTATGGGATATTCGGCAGTTTAAAGAAGCATTGAGTAGTGTTGATGGGCTGTTCACAAGATACGATACCACTGATGCTATTTTCAGTCCTAACGATGCTATGGTGGTTACTGGAATGTCGCTCAAAAAAGGTACGTCAAATCAACTGGTAAAGAATCAAAAAAAATTTTTTTTCTACATAGTCATTTATTTACGCATTTTGTAGACGTGGAATCCACTTTTTCACTCTCGCCTCCACTCCACTTGGAAGCTTGGTAACTGCTCCTTGCATCTCCAACTGTTGACCGCCTGATGCTCCTTGTAACATATTTTTTAACAGAAAAGACCGTAAAATTGACACCGTTCTCACCAATCAAATGGCACCAGACGTTAAATGTTTCGTTTTTTGAATCCTGATTTGTTTGAGTCCATTTATTCCTACACATAAACCTTATTTTCAGGAGAAACAAATGGTATGGCGCTATTCTACAGAACCCCAGATTTGACGCCGATTCGGAAAATGGAAGTTTGTGAGTCGCATACAATCAAGTTCTCTTGGCACCCTAAGCTTAACCAGATTTTTGTTGGCACTGGAAATGGAACCGTTAAGTGTTACTACGATGAAAAACGTAGCTTGAGAGGCGCGACACTTTGTGCTGTCAAAGTGCATAGGAGGGCACAACATTCTGAAATCGTCAGCACCCAACAGGTATTTTGTTACTATGGACTAGATTTTTATTTCATGGTCGTTGACAGTATCCTAAAAACAATGTCAGGAACGACTTACTTGATGTCAAACTTAGAAGTAGGTTGGGAGATTGGGAAGAAAACAAGTTCTAAAAATTTATTTTTTTTTGCTCTGCTCACTGTTTTTAGGTTTTCTGTGACATTCTGAGCAAAAAAGTGCTTTAGAAGTTCTCTCTAAATATGCCATTTTTGATCCAATAAAGGTTTTTATTCTATCAACGAATATTTAACACCTGTTCGTGAAGTGAACGACGATTCTGAAATAATTTTGGGTGTCAGTCTTTGACTACGTGTCATACTTGGTTAAAGTCTTATTTGAAGGAGGATTTTCATAATATGTTGATTGTAGCTAATAGTTGATGGTATTTTGCAGGTAATTACGCCTCATGCGTTGCCGCTGTTCAGACAAGAACGTCGCAAAACAAGCCGAAAACAAATGGAAAAAGATCGTTTGGATCCTGTGAAATCGCGACGTCCAGATTTACCGATCACTTCCGGTCAAGGAGGTCGTGTTGCTTCTAGCGGAGGTACACTTAGCAGCTATGTCATTAGGTAAGTTTTATTCTTTTTTCCATTTCGTGCGATTTTTTGCCTTACAATTCACGAATTTTCATTACGTTTTGGACCTTATTAAATTTTGTCGAGTGATTTCTAAACGCTCCCTAAAATATTATCTTCTCTCCAGCTTCTGCCTCCTTCTCTGTTTCTTCTCTTGTTTTCTTTAACATAGAAAATGGTGACTTAACTATTTGAGCTCTATTTGTAAGAAATGTCTTGTAATTATTTACTTTTCAGGAACCTGGGGTTGAGCAAACGAGTTGAAGATGACCAAGATCCCAGAGAGGCGATTTTGAAGTATGCCAAAGACGCTGAAGAAAATCCATACTGGATCACGCCTGCGTATAAAAATACGCAACCTCAGTCGTGTACAAGCAAATATCAAGAGAAACAGGAGGAAGATGAACCAGAGAAGAAGAAGGCAAAGACTGAATAATCAAAGGGTTGGAGAAAATCCATACTGTATCACACATGTGTATAAAAATACGCAACCTCAGTCGTGCACAAGCAGATATCAAGAGAGGCAGAACCAGAGAAGAAGAAGGCAAAGACTGAATAATCAAAGCAGTATAGTGTTTGTTGTATTTATGTTATGTAAATAATTCTATCAAAATAAAGACATTAGTTGTTACTCGAATGTTTTCTTTGTTCATTTATACAATGAGAGACCAAATAGACTTGTCAAGCTAATTACACCAGACTATTTTCTTTAATACACCCGGCGACCCTTGACTTCGGAAGTTATTTTTAGCAGACTATACAGGGTGTTTTCTAATTGAATGTCAATATTTGAGGGGGCGATGTTTGGGTCCATTTTAAGAAGAATGCTTCATTTGAATGTATCTCCTAAACGCCTTAAATTTTGAGACAGGAGGTGGTAAAGTTTTCACAAGTATATAAATCATTTGTCACAAGTCTCCCTTGGCGGTGCGAGAAGTTTTTTTTTTTTTTATATTCCAACTACCACGAAGGCCTAAGGCCTAAGCACCCATTGGGTACCGTGGGGCTATGGGGAATACATGGGAAAGTGAAGTTTTTCTGAAGTATTTGTGTTTGTTCATCATCAGATCAGTCAGACGCGCCTGATCCTGTACCAGTGGATAATCCAGTAATAAAGACACAATGAAAACTATACAATAGAAAAAGCACTTAACTTTAATGGCAATGTGATGGAGGGGTTACAAAGAACAGAATATAGGAATAAAACTCGGTTAAAAAAATATACTCATTTTAATAAATAAATGTCAAAATTTTGAAATAAAAAATAGTTTCATATCATAGTGGGTACAGCTGCTCCAACATTTATTCACTGTATACCCACGAGTCCTTTTCGTAACCTTCGTGCACGTGATCCAGCAGTGCCATGCGCCTGCCGTCACAGTATCTGTATTTGTCTTGAACCTGAAGCGAACAAAAATATGTGGCAATCCTTCTAACAAGAACAAATATCACGAAATGCTTGGCCATACCAAAGCTATATTACTAGTTTAAAGAGCACATTATTTTTAGCTGCCAGGATATTGCAAAAGTAAAATCTACTATTTCTTCAAAAATATATTATTTCCAATATTGGACAGTATTAGCTTAAGGTCGATTTCTAGAGACCTTTAAAGAGATGCACATACACTACAAATGCCAAAATGCCGGAATTTCTTGTCCACCGATTCACAATTTTGACGTCAAACAGAAAAAATTACATGGAAAAAAATAGTAGAATCCCAATGATTTCCAATGCCATCCTTTAGAGGTATATAGTAGGAGCGCCGTAGGAAGTTTGTTTATTATTTTTATATGCATTCAACAAGATTGACATCTTATTTCAAGGATACTTACTTTTTGTTTAATATCGACGAGATTCTCCTGCGTGATGTCCCTCTCCAAATATTCACTGAGGAATTCAGTGGCGTGTTCCAGATCCTTCTGGTTATCTTCAAATATCACAGACTGGTTGTTTTTCTTTAAATAATATGCGAAGACGTACGTATACATCAATGTCTGCCGACATTGGCACAATATATCGACAGCTTTCTTCAGGAACTACAACAATCATAAAAAGCTCAATAGAACCACGAAAATAACATCTATAGATAGATAGAGATGCTTAATTGACAAAGCTAAAACTAAACTATAACATAATTACATATGTGGATCCTAAAGTAACTGAATTGTAGAACTATAATATGTCACATAAGCCACAATAATTGCTTAAGGTTGTGCTCTTCCTTACGTAGTAACTAACTGTTCTAAAGGAAACTTTTTGTAGTTGAGTAAGCATTGGTCTACATGATTGCTAAATCTAATTTATGATCAATGACCAGTCTCAAAAATGTAATAGTGTCTGTTTATTATTAATTCAGTATTTGAATTTATAAAATTAAGGAAGCAGATCTAGTGTCTTATTCAAATGACGTTTACATCACATAAAAACAAGCACGGCTACTCGATCTAGCAACTCTTGGCCAACTGAAGCGCCATAATTTGACGCGGTGTAAATATCATCCGATTGGGAATAGGCAAGAAAGTTCTGAAAATTGAGTTTCTATTCAAATTGTACACACCTGAACTTCAATCCAGCTCATGTTATGCTGTTGCATCTCCTCCATTTTATCTTTGACAGAAGCATACAACTTATGCTCAAACCTGAGAGACTGCATATGGTTCATGTACCGATTGCAGTAAAACAGGTATCTCTGCAAGGCAGCTCGAGATTTTTCTTGGGAGTCTCTAGCTGCCTTTGCCTCATCTTCGTCATATCTGAAAGAACAACTACAATGTTTAATTTATTACAAATGTATGACTATATCGACTGGACTATCGCGTCTCGCGTACGAGGGTATCTCACAAAGTGCTATTTACGAGGGCGTTACAAATGTTTCGGCCAGTAGGAATGTTGTTCACTGTTTTCAAATTTGGCCTTCCACATACATAAATGGATATATATTTGAGAAAATAACAATTTGACAATCAGGTCAATTATAAACTCAAATCATGGAGTTTTTGTATCTTACTTCAAACCAGGCTTCTAAAGTGAACGCCCATGTAGCAAATACCAAAAATATCGATATGCATATTTTAAATGCGACTCACCTATTGCAATTGTACCATGAGCTACCATGTGGCTCCCAAGGCCCAAGGCAAACCCAACAGAAGTCCGCCTTGCAACTTTGGTTTTTGCAAATCATATGATTGCAACCGCCATCTTTCTCGATGGTAGCATTGCACTTTGGACACTCCTTCGTGTTTGCTGCTATCCAGTTTGAGGTTTCCGAATCGTCGTCGCATTTTTTCTGCCACCTTTTGAGGAGGGCGCATCGAACTGGATCGTGCCAGTTCTCGCCGCAAGCAAAGCAGAAAACGTGGCCGCATCGGCAACCGACCGGTTTGGCCTCAACGTATGTAACCTAAAAAAACAATTTTTTCCAGTAATATAAAACAAGTTAAATTCACTATGATCAAGTACCAAAAAGGAAGAGAACAGCGGAACACGTCGCACGCCACTGACGATAAATAAAGATAAATACAAAACTTCCATTTCAGACATTATTGTTATTTTACACTGGTGCTATCATTCACAGGTGAAAAACTGAACAAATGTATATATATATATATATATATATATATATATATATATATATATATATATATATATATATATATACAGCAGATGCTCGATAACGTAAACACGGGATAATGAAAACTTGCGCTAATGTAAACACAAACTTCGTTCTATAGGATCAAACGGAACGCGCGATAACGTAAACAATGTGTACGCTCGATAACGTAAACAACTCTCGGCGCAGGGAAACAGCGCGACGGTAAAATGCTGAAGCCTCGATGATTTATGTCGGGCGTCGGGGAGTCCCCGATTTATGATGTAGAGTGTAGGGGATTCACCTCTGCGATAAAATACGACAAACTCGGTCAGTCGTATGATCGTTTAGGATACGTTTATACGTACGTATGTATTTCATTTTTGAACTTGAGTGAATACATTGCACGCGTTAATATATTTTACGACTATGGCATCCACATCCTATAAAAGAAAGTGTTTATAGTTGAGTGAAAAAGTGAAAATCATAGACGAAGTTGCACTAGGTGCGGGAGTGACACAGTTAGCAAAAAAATATGGAGTATCGAAAGCAACAATCTGTAAAATTAAGCGTATGAAAACTCAAATTTTACAAAGAACGTGCAATACATTTGGAGGTCCGGGAAAAAGAAAAACTTAAAAAAATGCGAAGGCACCTAAAATGAAAAATTCCCTGTATAAGTGGTTTTTAAAACAACGGGAAAATCATGTCCCAGTTAGTGGCGAAGTACCTAAACAGAGAGCGAGACTGGTAAATAAAAAACTGAAAGAAACTGAAAATTTCGTAGCTAGTGATGGCTGGCTAGAACGATTCAAAACAAGATATGGAATTCGACTGCTGTCTATATCTGGTGAAAAATTATCAGCACAACCACAATTAGTGCAACCATTCAAAGAAAAATTGATGAAAACAATTACCGAGCTAGATTTAAGAATTGAACAAATTTACAACGCAGATGAAAGTGGCGCCTTTATTGGAAAATGTTACCAGAGAAAACCTATGCTGCATCATTTGAAAAATCTGCCCCGGGAAGAAAGCCGGAGAAACAACGAATAACGTTTCTAGCCTGCACTAATGCTAATGGTTCACACAAAATAAAGCCACTGGTAATTGGGAAAGCAAAAAATCCGCGCTCATTTAAAAATGTTAATATCCCTGTTGATTATGACTGTTCAAAAACCGCTTGGATGACTAGCAGAATATTCCTGAAATGGTTCCACAGGTGCTTTGTCCCTCAGGTATGACAATCATCACAAATGCTCTATTCATAATTTGAAGATGTGTTTTCAATTTGTAGGTAAAAGGTTTCCTAAAACAACAGAAGCTTCCAATAAAAGCGTTGTTACTATTGGATAATGCACCAAGTCATCCTCCCGAGCAACAACTAAGGAGCAGGGATGGGTCAATTCTCGTCATGTACATGCCGCCCAACGTAACACCGTTAATTCAACCGATGGACCAGAATATAATAAGACTCACCAAACTATACTATAGGAAGTTTCTACTTTCGTCTGTCTTATCAAAGAATCCTGAAAACTTATCTGAGGCTTTAAAAAAGTAACATTACGAGAAGCTGTTTTAGATTTACATATGGCCTGGAATGAACTTAACCAGCAAACTATTAAAAAATGTTGGAACAATCTCTTTTGTACCAATAATGAAGATGGTGAAGAAGACGATGTCCCCTTAAGCGTAATTAGAGAACGTTTGCGATCCAATAATGATAATGTGTCATTGGATGTTGTTGATTTATTGAAAACAGTGAATCCCAACATTGTTTGTACTCCTGCTGATATTAATTTATGGAACGAAGATAAGCAGACGAATGATGCTGATAAGGAGGAGGATATGGACAGTGAGGATGATGAGAACGATCCCATTGAAGTCAGAAGTGTACTGACTGACGCGCAAGCTATACAAGTTTTTAACCAAGCTTTAGATTGGGCTGAAAGAAAAGAAGTTTCATACACGGATATTTTAGTTCTTCGTAAATTACGGGCGCAGGCATTGGAAGACAATGCTAACCGCAAATTTACGCAGACAAAAATTATTAATTATTTTTCTTCTAATTAAAAAAATACTTATCGCTGTTAGAATATTTGTTTATTTTGTTATAAATAGTATGTATTAAACGTTTCTTTTAATAAATCTAATATTATATAAATCCCGTTCGCTAATGCAAACATTTCGATAATGTGAACCACACTTGGATTAAATTAGTTTACATTATCGAGCGTCTGCTGTATATATATATATATATATATATGATATCTGACCAATTTTACAAGAAAGTTTAAATCATAATTTGCCTCTGTTGTATGTGTGCATTGTTTGGGAGGTCAGTAGCCTGAAGCAGAAATATTTTGTTTGCACCATTAAGTAAAATAAAAAAATTGATGTTGGGAATTCCTGTGGCATTTACTTAAAATATGTATTTTAAGGTCAACTTTACATTCAAAGCACATTTGCTGAACCTTAGCGATTAGTGAGTCTAAAAAGGGAATGAAGATAATAGTGTTATCTATGGGACAATAGCAGAACCAAACACTCTAACTGTTTTAAACATGATTTCTAAATCCATTTTTATGCTCTGCTACTCTCTTACAGACAATACTAGTATCTTTCAGGTTCCTTTACGGTTTCCTATCTTCAGGTTACATTCATTACCTGATGCTGACTAATCCCCATGTCATTCTGTTGAGGATGCCAAATTTTACAAGGATTAATTTACATTTCAATTCATCTGTTACCTTGATAGCAAAACTGCAATCAGGACTAGGACACCATCTAAGTAGTCTATTGCACTCTACAAAACTATTGGTGATCAGGTGTTGATATTTCAGTTTGACCCTTGGATCTTTCAGAAGCCTCATTGCTGTTTGGTCATCTACTAGAATGGGACAGTTATGAGCTGCACAAGCTATGGTTTGACCCACGCCTTCTTCCATTATTTTGGTAGTGAGGTACTCATTCCAGCACTGTGAAGAAAAAAATGTCATTACTTGCAAAATATCTATGACATTATGACTTCAAAGGCAAAACCAAAACTCTTGAGAATGCTAAAATAGGATAGGTATCTAGTATAACTGAAAACTCAAATGACTTTATTACTAAAAAGATATAGAATTTACAGGCAACTGAGGCATACTTCTTACATAATTTGCAAAGATCACTGTCACTTTGCAACTAAACAGATATTTTGAAACAAGATCACTTTTATGTATCTTTAAACAATTAATCAATGCCATGCCACAATGAGTATAATAATTCATTAACACGTTCTACCTAAAGATATCCAACAATATACTGTATCCCAGCATTAAAAAATTGTCACCCATGAGACATTAGCATAACATTAAAATGAATTTAGAAAGAGTTATTGTTTGGCTCTGTTGATGTCTCATAAATGGTGCTGGATCTTCAGTATTTCCTTGACGCCCCTCTAATGCCTAATTCCAACTGAAAATACCCAATTAAAATAGATATTAGAGAGTCCAAGAATAGATAGAGGATCCTATCACTATTGATGAGACAATATCAGAACCAAACACTAACTCTTTTCACAGCTATTTCTAAATCATTTTTGTGTTATACTACTGTCTTATAGATGGTTCTAGTATCTTTCAGGTCGCTTTATGGATGCCAAAATACAGTCTAAGGTTAGCTCTCTTCATTAGTCAATGGGAAATCAATATATTGTATAGAACCTTATTTTAATATCAAAATAAATTGTAGATTGCAGGATCAAGGAGAGTTTTGCTATACCTTGATTTAAAATACTTATGTTTGAGGAAAGAACTGTAAAGATCTCCACTATATGATAAAAAAAAATATTGCAAATATTGCCACACTACATTAGGCCTGTATCGTCAGTCATCCCTACAATTCTCTCCTTCAAAAATGTCTAGATTACACTTGTCCCATGTCAGCGTCAGCGCTATCCTATTGTGAAGATATGTTTTCTTTTTAAATTGTAGGAAATTTCAGGCTGATAAAACATGATATAACTCAAAAGCAAGCACAATTTGATGCAAATAGATGTTTGTGACATAACCTCAAAATAGAGTTCTGACACGGAGAAGTAGAAAACTATGACAATCAAGAAGGCCATAAACGAGCCCTATAATTGTAGGGACGACTGACGATACGGGCCTAAGTCATTGTTTTTTAATACATGAATAGAGGAATAACCTAATATGTCACATACATGATAGCAAAATCTATGACCACATTCGAGCCCAGTCATCTGAGTTGGTGGGAAGAACATGAAACAGATATCACATTCCTCAGTGCCAAGCAATTTGTTTGAAATTTTCGGCTTGACTGCGTTGACTTTCTTGAAGGGATTAATGACTCGAGCTTCTTTGAAAAGTTCATCTTGGTTACCATCAAAGAACCTTTCCATCAGCTTTTCTTTGTCCCAGTTGAAGTAGTTTAGAAGGATCCTGGTGGAAGTCAATGGGATTTGTACCACCGTGTTCACCTCCTTGATGCAGTCGACCATATGTTGGACGATATCATCGGTGGATAGTACCTCGTATTGGTAGTCATCGTCGTAGCTTTGCAGTTCCTTGTTAGATGCATTATCGTCTATGACAAAATCCACATCGTCCCCGCTTGTTTCGTTTCCCGAATCATCGTAGAGAATATCATCGTCTACGTTCATCATCCTTAATTTTCCATCTAACTAATTGTTGTAATTCTTTTGTATTTCTCCGATTATGACACTGTCTAATTTAGACAAACCACATTCAAAAATATCGCTAAAGTGTTTTGTTTTCCACTTCGCGGTGTACGAATCGTCACATTCACATGTTTGGTGCATTTCGCAAAACATATACACTGGTGAATTTGGTGGAAAACCTGTCATAATGTCATTGTCAGAGTGAATGAATGAATGAAGTAGTTCAAATGACTAGTTCAGATAAATATTCTTCAATTTCGTTTATGATGGATAAAGTCTACTGCGAGATGATGAGTCCACAAACCAAGATAACAAGTATGGTCCAATATTTTTAGTAGCTAATTTTATATTGTATTCGTTCAATATTGATCAACCCTTGTATGTTGCTGCTTTAATATGGCGGCTTTTCATGTCACATTGATTATTTTATTCTAGTTCACACTCGTCTTCTTTGTTCACCTTTCAGTCTAGGGATGGGCGGTAATTGATAGAAAACCGGTTATATGTAAATGTACAGTAAGCGGCATTTATGTACAGACTTACGTGTGGATGTGGAGAAGTGGCCAATGGCAACACACCCATGGGGGCGATCACAGGACATTCGTCTTCGGTGGTGGAATGGGGGTTTAGAGTAAGACAGCCTTATTATTTAGGAACAGGTTTATAAACTATGGAGCAGTTTCCAAATACAAGTTTCCCCGTTTTGAAAATTAGACCTGAAAAACCTCGGAAAATCTATTATTAAAAACGGTTGATATTATCGAAGCAAACATGGATAAATTTCTTGGAACAACCGCAGGTGGCATAACATTTATGTAGTTGGAACAGTCAACACTACCGAGACACGTTCCAATTTATAAAAATAATATTGGCTAGTCTGTCTCTGGCGACTAGCATAACTCAAAACTGACTGATTTGTAAAAGAGCAAAACAACTGTGGATCTTTGGATTCCCTATCGAATGAACACGCATATTTTGATGGCGCCATTCTTTGAGTTACGCGATATTAAAACTCAAGCGGCGATATGTGAGCATTATTTAAGAAAAACCTATTGAAGTAGAATATATATCTTCGTGAGCTGATAGATGAAGACAGCCTGATTTATTTTTTTAAGTAGCAGACTCTGAATAATTTTTAATAGATGATTGAACAGTGACATTTTTTGGGTTTTTCAGATATTTAATCGCTCATAACTCCAAAACGACTTTTTTACAGGGAGAGGTTATCTTTTTATTCACAATGATTCAAACCTATTCCGGTTATTCATCTAACCGGTTATTTTTGCCCATCCCTAAATCGGCCATGTTCCAAGACATCTTATTATGTGTTTTGTGAAGATTTCGATATTTTGTTGGTTATGTTTTTATTTTTCTTTTTTGGATTGATCGCTTGATTTAATATACGCAATGTCTACTACATTGGATATAAGATTGAAAAGAGCAGATAAAATATACCACGAAAATGAAAATGTCTCCGGTGTTATAATTATTTCATCAAACTCTGACTTCAAACATGAAGGAATTACATTGACTATGGAAGGCTCTGTAAACTTGCAGATTAGTTCCAAAACTGTAGGGATAATAGAAGCGTTCTATAACTCGGTCAAGGTACTCTCAAATGCTTTTCTACAGTACAAACATTAAGTTCGATGTGTTGCAGCCTATACAGTTGGTCTCGGTTTCATGTGAGGTGAGTGGTCCTGGACGCTTGCCCTCAGGAGTTACACAAATCCCATTTGAGATACCTTTGAGAGCTAAACCCAATCGTGTCCTGTACGAAACCTATCATGGAGTTTATGTAAACATCAACTATGGTATAAGATGTGATATCAAAAGGTCATTCCTATCAAAAGATTTACAAAAGATGCAGCAGTTTCTAGTGCAATATAAGCCTGGATTCAATGCCACACCACAACTGCCTCTGAGAGAAAATAGAAAGCCTGTTTCTTTTGAGATAAGTCCAAGTACCTTGTCAACTGGAGCATCAGGTATAAAAAATTAGGAATTGCTTTTTAACCTGCCGTTTAAGTTCTAAATTATCAAGATGTCTGTCTTGGGGGCAGGGTATAGGTGAAGGGGGTTGAGATACACTGTCTTAAACAGTCACAGTCCAATACATGACATATTTTCTAGGTGCTCCTGATTTCCTACTTAGAGGTCATTTAGACACTGTTTGTTGTAACATCACAAAGCCTTTAAAAGGCAAAGTAATATTTTTGAAATGTGCTGTACCGATCAGGTCATTAGAATTGCAACTTGCACGAGTGGAAACTTGTGGATGTGCTGAGGGATATGCTAGGGAAGGTAATGCTGGTCTATTTGCGAGATTTTTTTTATTAATGATAGTTCATTTTACAGCCACAGAGATTCAGAATATACAAATTGGTGATGGTGATGTACCCTTAAACATTCCTATTCCCATATATATGGTATTTCCAAGACTTTTTACATGTCCTACATTGATAACAACCAATTTCAAAATAGGTAAGCTATCTAAACCATTTGTTATACAATCTAATTTGTTTTTTCTTTCAGAGTTTGAAATAAACATTGTGATTATATTTCAAGATGACCACTTGATAACAAATAATTTTCCAATTGTTCTAGTGAGAGAATAAAAAAAAGTAGATGTTCTTTACATGTATGTTTAATTGTGTAGAAATAAAGAAGAATTTTTTACAAGTATTTGTGTATTATTCTAGTATAAAAGTGAAGAATTATGCTTCAGACACAGAATATGCAATTTCAGCCAAAAGAGGTTCCAATTGCTTTTCCAAAGATAAAATACGTCCAGTATTGCAAGAATCACTAGTGATGAAAGTAACAATCAGTGGCAACTTATTCATTTGTATAACTTGATATTGAGAGTATGTTGCAATGAGAGTCTTTGTTTTTCCTAGACCCAGCTTACTTCCCTGGTCGATCGCCAGTCCAAATGTTGAGATAAAGTTTGGTCTTGTGGCATGCTCAGGAGTTTTGTCTGTACCTACTTTCATCACTGGAACACCATCCCTGTCTGTGATGAGAATGCAGTAGAGACCGTTTACCTTCGACAGTAAATCTTGTAGGAATTTTCTAGCATCGTCTGCCATTTTATATTATTAACAGATAAAATAATATATACCAAAACCTTAAGCTACCTGTTTATTGTTTTTGTTATTTTTCGATTTTCAAGTGCTAACCTTTTGACCCCAGCAACTGTCAATTGCACAGACATAGGTTGTGAACTAGATAAAGATGATATACATAATTCAAAACCGCCATCTTTGACTCTAAGAATCTATACATTTCTATGATAAATATAAATTAATTTCGCAATTCCAGAAAAAATTCAATGCATAAAAGGACAGAATTGGAACGCTGAAATGGTGAATGAAAGTCTTTTCTGACTCCTATAATTTGCTTTCCCATCTGCCATCTATCCATGGCTCAGAATGACATTTACCGACGTCTTGACTTTTTGACGTACTTTGCATTTTCATTCAAAAACATCAGGGAATTCCATTAATTTTCAAGATTTGAAGTTGTGAATATTTTGCGGTCATCACTTTGGAACGTGAAAGTGGTATTATTAGCTTTTTTCATATGTAAAAACATGGGGAAAGACAGGATGAATCAGATCCCACTTTGAATTGAAAAAACCGGTTGAAATGGCTTGTTCCCGGGATAATATAGCTATGATTCGAGAATGGGCGCCTCTTGCAGACCTGTTTGCAAAATTACCTTCAAAAACGCAATCAGGGATATTTAATCAGGAAATAAAACTCACTTGCGTCGATATCTTGCCAGAATTCATAGCTCTAGGGACCAACATAGGAATAGTATACTGGTATGATAGAAAAAAGAAAGATATGCAAAGGCTTAGGAATGAGGTGCGTATCAATATAAAGTTGTACTATTCAGCCATAGTAGGTTTTTGTCTCTTTTTATACATATTTCAGAATCCAAATGTACCACTAACATCTTTGAAAATCCTGTCTACAGTAGATTACATGGTAGCATGCGGAAATAATTTAGGAAATGTCAGTATCTTTCAAATTCCAAAATCGCACCCAGAATCCATTCCAGAAAATTTAAAACCCAAGAATAAACAAGTGGAAAGGTATACTGTAACAGAATTGCACAAAGCTCCTATAAGTGCACTAGAATGGTCAAAAAATGGTATGAAGTTATTTTCTGGGGATAAGAATGGATGTGTTGTTTTAACAGAAATTGATTTCTATATGGTGAGAGTTTGAAAAAATGGTAACAACGCAATTCATGTATTGCAATATGTTTTAGCATATTAGCAAGTCATCTGAAATATTGAATGAGACATATGAAGTGGTACAATTGAGTTACAATCAGCAAAGGCTTTTAGTGTCTACAACATATCGAAGTATAATTTGTCAACAGCTTGAAAAATGGAAGGTCTCACAGGTCGGAAAAAAGGATAGAAAAGTGTAAGAGTTTAGAAAAAATATTTATCAGCCAGCAAAAAATAATACACTACAACTTTTTGTTATTGCTATTTATATTTTATTGATAATTTTATTAAGCTTTATCTTCATCTAAATAAAATCTATAATTATAGGATAAAATTGATGCCAATTGAGGAATAATAGAAATTTTATTTTTAGTTTAGGCAAATTTGGTGGCCTCATCTTTCAACAAGGGTACAAGATTTCTGATACTTATCTATATTGTATGAGGCCAGGACTCAGAATATGGATAGCAGATGTAGAGGGAAATGTCCAAAAAACTCTTTTATTCAAGGTATCCAATAAGACTCAAATCAGACAAATTTTCATTAAAAAGCAATTTTGAGTTTATCTACCATTGTTGTTGATGGTTTCAGGAGTTATTAACTAAGGAGTGTCCAGAAGTGCCAATACTCAATCCCATATCTAAAAATGCACTGTCTATGAAGCCTCACAAAGAACCATCTTTTGGGATTATTTTGCCTTTCAGTGATAATCTATTTGTTACATACAGCAATGATGTGGTGTACATTTTAGATCCCCAAGAAATGACAGTTTTGTCTACAATTAATCATTTGAGAAGGTAGATATATTTTGAATTTTTCAAACTCTAATCACCAAGCATTCAATTACTAAATATTATATTATTTTACAGCGTTTTACATGTAGCTACTCATAAACATGAGATTTTTATTTTGGAAGAGGACAGGAGTCTAATAAGGATATCTCACACACCTGAACCAGCCAATAGTGAGTTTACAAATACAAAGTATTTTCATAACAAAAAATATTATTTTTTCAGCAAATAGTATGTCAGCCTCAGCCTTGTTGCCTAAGTCAATCAAAGAGATAACTTCTAAGCTGCATTCAGCTAACATTTTGCCAGCTATACCTCCAGTTTTGGAAAACAATTCATCTGGGAATGTGGACATTCATACTGACGAAACATTAGTCATGAATGCAGAAGAGGCCATAGAAAGTCCCGTTAGAACCCAAAGATATGATCCTGAGGTGAGGCATCAATAGAATCTTGTTTGTCACGTTGTCATTTCAGCAAGTTTTCTATTCATAATCATATTTTTCCCAGATACCTACATTTTTCATATTTATCTTCAGGTAGTCTTCAGTACTCAATACTATGAACAACTTGTAACATATTTTTGATTTTGAGTTAATCAGAAATGTGTTCTTGCAGGTCAAAACTAAAGGAAATGTGATAGACAGTGAAAATTATGATGACAAAATCCTATTCAAGAAATCAAGACGCAGGAAAAAGAAGTCGGTAATGGAGGCAAGCACAACTAGTATAAGCTCCAACAGTTCCGAGGACCGAGACGTCCACACTTATACTCAACCAACATTGATGAATTTGAGCTCAGTCGGAATACTGCCTGATTTGAGAAGCCCAGAGTCTATAAAGTATGATATTGAGTACAAAGAGAAGATTTTGGCTGATGTTTTGAGTTTGGACAAAGTGAAGATCTCCAATAGGGCCAGTGTACCTCAGGAAAGATCAGAAAGTGATTGTGAAGGCGACACAAGTGATATTCTCAAAGATAAAACAGTATTGCGACCGCCAAAATTGGAATTTGCAGAAAAAAGGAAAACAGAATCTAAGTCAAAGCATCAAGAAACGATAAAAGCATTTTCACCATCAAGTTCATCATCAGTAAAGATGACAAAAGTAGTTGAAACTCCTGGTAAGTTATATCCAGAAAACGTCTGATAGAGAGTAACTAATGTTTTCATGCCAATAACTTTTTTTTTAAGAATCATTGTTTCAGCTTTGAAAAATGTACCCACAGACTGGAAATTGGACAGTTTACAGCTGAAGGATAGACGTATGTCTGAAAATGATAATTCTTTGAGTGATTGGGAAATTGTGTAAATTTTACTGTGACTGTGTTATTATTTTTTATTTTGTCTTATAAGAATTTTTTGTATGTCTGATATAATAAGTGTATGATTGTATTAACGAAATGTCCTAATCAGATTTTAGTAAAAAATTGTATATTTTAATTGCTCAATTATATGATTATATTTTATTCATTGTTTTCTTTTACTGTAACAGTACCAACATGATAACTTCACGGATTTAAAGTATACTTTTAGCTAATAAATTGGTCAGGAAAAATAATGAACATGATAAATGTCACATATTTTGCCAATAAAATATATACCCAACAAATGATATTAATAGGAGCTTATCGACGCACCCTTGTAAAATGACCTAGAATATGGTAGCAGATTATTTATACGTCATTGGTAGTTCGGTATCTAGATCATTCATCTGTTCGAGGTCTTCTAGTCTAGGTTAGGTCATTGAAAGCTGTCAACTGCCACTTAAACGTGCATGAGAATGTTTTGTTTCTAAACTGAATCCAAATTCAAGATGAGATGTAAATAATAACAGTTAGCGCGTGATCTCTCGGTAACAGGTGGGGACAACGCCCCTTATTGGTCAATTCGACATTAAATTTCAAGGCGTCGCCTGGCGGAATAATGCGCGGGATAGGGGCAGGGCAGGCAGAGTTGCACTCAGGCCACCGTCCGTCGCGTGTATCACTGCGTGCTCGTGTTTTCGTCTTCACCTTGCTTGGTTGTTGCTGTTGTTGTTGTTAAGTGTATTTGAGTAATTTGTTAAGTTTCTGTTTTTGTTAAATACTGTCATCTTTGTTTTACAACACGTTGGTGGTAGTTCATCATTCGGAGGTAGCCCTGAATGCGGCCCTGTACGCCGTCCTTGTTTTTGGCAATCACGCATCCATTCTATCTTGGGTGTAAATACACTATAGACAGATATCCAGCAAAAAAAAGTGGTAACAATATCAAGAAACACAAAGACTCTTTAGCTGACAACAGAAAGTAACATAAAATCTGAACAAAAAATTGTACTTAAAATTCCGGCATCTGCTTTGCCAGACAACTTGACCAAAGATCAAGGAGATATTCTGTTAAAAGGCGAGAAGACCGTTAATTCCGAAGATTTTTCGCTGACGTACCATTACATGTTGCTTTCTACAGAAAACAAACAGATTTTAGTATAATGCAGTGACTTGAAGTTTTACAGTGAATAGGGTGCCTAGCAAAGCTGTCTTCACCCCTTCCAATGATATAATCGTGGCAGACAAAATTGTTAACGTCTATTTATACAAACTAGAAGGTGATGAAAAGCTCAAGCTACTGCTCGGTCACTTGAGTATAATTTTAGAAGTGCTTGTCACCAAGAACTTGTGACAGAGATGACTTTGACAACATTATGTGATTTAAACCGAATTTATAAATCGTACTATGCAATTAAACAGACTAATGAACAGGTTACTACTTTTAATATAGGGCCGGAGCACTAAAATGAACATAATAAATGTCACATATTTTGAGAATAAAATGTATACCCAACAAATGATTTTAATGTAGGAACTTATCGACGCACCCCTGTAAAGTGACCTAGAATATGGCTGCAGATTATTCGAACGCGTGATTGGTAGTTTGCTATCTAGATCATTCATTTGTCCGAGGTCTTCTAGGTTAGGTTATTCGAAGCTGTCAACTGCCACTTAAACGTGCATGAAATGTTTTGTTTATATTTCTACCCAGATTTCCAGTAATTTTGGGACTGCAAAAGCAAAAAAATGGTAATGATATCAAGAAACACAAACACACTTCTGCTGACAACAGAAAGTAAGGTACTTGTATGTGACCTAAAATCTGAACAACAAACTGTACTTGAAATTCCGGCACCTGTTTTGCCAGACAACTTGACCAAAGATCAACGAAATATTCTGTTAAAACACGAGAAGACCGTTAATTCCGTAGACTTTTCGCTGACGGACCAGTACATGTTGCTTTCTACAGAAAACAAACAGATTTTAGTCTACAGCAGTGACTTGAAGTTAATAAAAAACTTTACAGTAAATAGGGTGCCTAGCAAAGCTGTCTTCACCCCTTCCAATGATATAATCGTGGCAGACAAAACTGGTGACGTCTATTTATACGAACTGGAAGGTGATGAAAAGCCCACGCTACTGCTCGGTCACTTGAGTATCATTTTAGACGTGCTTGTCACAAAGGATGGAAAATATATAATAACCTGTGATAGAGATGAGAAAATCAGAGTTTCGCATTTCCCAAACTGTTACAACATCGCTACGTTCTGTCTGGGACATACAGAGTTTGTTACGTGCATAAAGGTTGAGGGCAAGATCCTCATCTCAGCTTCAGGAGATGGTACTGTGCAGTTTTGGGATTTTCTCAGAGGAAAGCAGCTCAATATAGTGAATACAAACGCTCATGTTGAAGAGAGTAATACACTGCTAGAGTTTAGTGAAACCATGGACAAAGAAAAAGTAGATGTTTCTGCTCTACCTGTGATCAATGTGCAAATATCCGAGAATTTTATGGCAGTGCAGTTACATAAATGTAGTACATTGCAACTGTATAGTGTAGACTTTAGTAAAAATAAGTGTGAAGTTCAACTTATTTTTAAGTTATGCATAGCACCTATTTTCAGTTTTTGTTTTAGTAAATTAGAACTCATTGTTTTTAGTGATAGATTAAGAACTTTTAAATTAGAGAACAATCAATTTGTAGAAATAGAATCGGTGTTTTTAAGGAAACTGTGTGATAACTATAAGGCTAATTTCAAACACTTGGATGAGGAGTGCCTTACGGTACTATATAAAAGAAAATTTGATAATATGCAGGAGTATTATGAAAGAAAAAAGCAGAGGATTGAATCCTTAAAATAAATATATAGGTTTTATTAATGTTTTATTTATTCAATCATAATGTGTCGTCCTATGGTAGAAATGTGGTGCTAGCTCTGTTAACCACTCACTGTTGATCACTGTAATGTCTTTCATGTAGAGTTTACTTGTATGGACTACTTCACAGAAAATCACCCTGGAAAAAAATGATTTAGAAACACACATCAGATAAAAAATAAAAACTTACCATTGGGGCTGTGGAATAGTGTACAAGATACTGTCTGGGTGCACAAATAGCTCAATGTCCCCTCTTATAGTCTTGTATACCCCACTATGATGCAGGTATGCTGCATTTGGAAATAGTCCTTTTACCAGACACTTCAATATTGGCTCTGTGGATCCTGAAAATAACGGATTCATTCACTACTCATTGCCAGGCTGCTATTTTTAAGTCCACACATACTATCCAGCAAATATGGCAGTCTCTGTAATCCTTTATATATTCTGTTTAACAAGTATCCATCACGGTACAATGACAGCTGATTATCTAGTAACATTTCAAAAATTCCCAATATCGTCACAGGACACATAATTCTGACGGATCCGTCAATGCCAGGTAGTCAGAGCCAAATTTTGTTTGTTCATTTGCATACAAAAATAAAACGCTATAAACAAGTTTTACTAGATTTACACCCGATTCATTATTGCCAATGTTGTAGACTAACACAAAAAAGTCACTTGTTGATCACCTCGGTAGACGTCAAAGCGTGATGCATACTCGTGAAACAGGGTATAGCTTATTTGACAGTGACCTCCAATTTGACCTTGACCTTCAAGATCGACTAACCAATCATTTGTTTTTGGAATCCATATGTTTCAAGATAGTCTTATGCATATCATACTTTACAAATTCCATGTTGAATAGAATAGTTTCCAAGTTTACAAAAATCTTTCCATTTCGGTATAAAAATCAAAACATTTGATAAAACCGATTGACCTTGAAACAATTAAACCTCAAGGGGTCATAATGAATAGGAAACAGAATTTCCCACATTCCTTTGCCATAATTCTAAGACATCGACAGGGGTATCATGTAAAAAGTCGGTATAGTGTTAACTAATGCTACCCCATTCCGCGCCTACTCGCTGTGAGCGCCACCTATGGAGGAATGGCTCAACGACCATGTCGCCTAAGATACTGCAACTACAGTATATTCAGATAAGAGATAGACCGGATGTAAACAAAAGGTTCGGGTGATTTTCACGCTAACGCCGCCGTCTCGACGTAAAACAGGAGCCCTCATTGGTCAATTCGCAATTAAATGCCTATGCCGAGCGGCAGAGCAGTCGTATCAAGGCAGAGTCACATTCAGGTTCAGACGTGTTACGTATGTCGTGTGCATCATTGCAATTTGATATTTCTTTGGACGTTTTCGTTTGTTATCTTATTAAGTTGTTGAGTTTGTCGTTGTTATTGTTATACCTTGTTATTGATTGTTATTGTTATCAACTGCTTGCGCAAAATGCCCAGTAGTACAGATACTGCCGATGAAGTTGTAAACTCCTATAGTCCACCTAGGAAACGCTCTAAAAAAGGACACCTGAGTGCAGAAATGAAAGAGGTCATTTTGAATATATATAAGATCGAGCGCGAGGAGAACGAGGCATCAACCATCAAAGAAATTGTTGTGAAGGTTTCTCACAAAGTTGGGGTGTGTCGCGCATCAGTGTTTAATGTGTTAAGACAATACAAAAAAAATCACACCTTTTCTGAGCCAATGACCAGTAAACATCGCAAAAGTATTGTTAAATCATTGGATGAAGCTGATAAGCATGCGATTAGGAGGAAAGTGCATGAATTCTTCTTTAGGAATGAAATACCTACTATAGATAAAGTACTGCAGGAGGTAAATGGAGATACAACGTTGCCAAATTTCAAACGATCAACTTTCCATGCGTTACTGAAGCATTTAAATTTCAAATGGAAAAAACGGGGTCGTAATAGTTTACTACTGGATAGAGAAGAAATTGTGCTATGGAGGAGGGATTATTTAACAAAAATTGGGAAATATAGAAATCAAAACAGGAAGATTTATTACCTTGATGAAACGTGGGTAAACGCAGGACACACTACAAGTAAAGTATCGGTTGATGATTCTGTAACTTCATCCAGGAGGGCCTTTCTAGATGGACTGTCCACCGGATTAAAAAATCCAGCAGGTAAATACGAGTAATAGACAACAATCGGATGTTTTTCAAACCTTGGGAACAAGGTTCTAAACATTAATTCCAGGGGGCAGATAAAACATATTACAAGTAACAAAACTTTTATAACTTTCGATAAAATGCGTGGATGTTTTATTGTCATTTTCATTTGTTAGAACTTTTTTAAGCCATGTTTTTATGTGTTTTCGATATTTCAATAATTTTTTAATATAATCTTAAAATATGTCGAATATTATAAATTAAAAAAAAGTTACTAAGTTTTATATTGTGTACCGTTCCTAATATTTCTAATCATTTTAATTCATACTTTAAGCTTTATAAAGTTATAATTTGGTAATATTAATATTTGCGCGTATTTCAGGTTCCTGATCATTCATTTTTTAAAGGTTTATAACTTTAAATTAAATTGTGAAGCGCTGAGTAATCATACGACGTTCAATATTCTTTCTTTCAATATGACTAAATAATCCCAATTATAGCAATCTGATACTCATGTCTCAATGTTTTTTCGCTGAATGTGATGAAAACATTTGAAAAAGGTTCGCTTATTGAAATAAATCTACATCAGTTAGTACTTCGATTTCCAGGTAAAGGGAAAAGGCTCATTATCTGCCATATTGGCAGTGAGGATGGATTTGTTGTTGACGGTCTGTGGTGCTTTGAGTCTAAGAAAACTGGAGATTACCACGAGGAAATGAATGGCGAATCGTTTGAACAGTGGTTTTCAAAAATTTTACCGAACTTAGAGGCATCCGAAGCTGGAAATCGAAGCGAAAATTTTGAAACCCTTATGTATATTTACATTATATATTTCTTACCCCACCCCCACATGATCCTATATCCATCACCAATCGTATACACATCGAATTGTGCTAATTTACTACAAAGTTACGCAAAGCAGCATCTACTATCTAAAATATGTACTGCGTGACTCTTAATACGTCCCTGCCGAATGTTACAGCGTTCGATGATCACGTGGTCTTGTTTATGTCCGGTCTATCTCTTATCTGAATATACTGTAACATTTTACCCGTACGCTTGCGGTTGCAAGCTGTCGGCGCAGTCTAGAGAGTGAACAAGATGTGACGAAGAAAATATAGTCGAGTATTAAGATCGCATATCGATGCTTGTGTGCATTGGTCTACAAGTTCGTAGCATCAGCGATATTTGATTGTTGATACCAATGCTATGTGAGGAAATTATTACTGACTATACTGCCCATAAAATATATCTATTAGCTGGAAAGGGTTTGATGTTAGTTAATCTACAACTACCATGAACGTTAAGAGCATCAGGGGAGAGACAAATTATTGACATTGCTGTGCGACAAGGAGCATTATCGAGTGGTGTGAGTCAAATTTATTTCTTTCCTGATTATTCTGACTGTCAGCCGACAATTTGAAGGCACAAGTTCCCGGATCCTGTCAATATTTTCATCGGTTTTTGAAGATGAAGGCTTTCCGCTTCGTGGACTTACTCCCTTCTGAAAATGCGTTAAACCACCGAAAATACTGGGCTCTTGATAAAACACTATCTCCGTATTCCTGCTGAAGTTTACCAACAGTTTCTGTCACTCATTTTTAGAACAAAACAGGAAAAACTGTTTCACAAACGATATGCACCCCTGTTCGTCTCCAGTGTTGCCAGATCGAACGCCACGTTGCCAGTCTCACTATTTAATTTACACAGCTGCTACAAGTGAACATGAAGTGAATGACGGCTAGTTTCAAGGTGATATTTTCTTCGGAAAAACCTACATAATGTCATTGAAAAATCGATATGTCACTTTAAAAATTACGTAATACGGGTGCGGTACTTATCACAAAATCACTTACTCAAACAACTAGCTATGGGCACATCATAGTTCTGAAGCATCCTCTTTAGTCCCTCTCTAATTTGCACCACCCTTTGCAAACTTTTGTAATTGAGGAAATTCTTTTGACAGAACCCCTGGGACGTTTCACTTTGCACAAAGCCGTTGAATATGTTGAGGTAAGTGATAAGATCGCCTTCTTCAACTTCAAATAGGCGTTTTTGTATCCTTGCCTTGATCGAGTTGCTACCGCTAGATGGCTTAGCGAATATCGTTTCCACTTGCAGCATCGATATTATCGTGAGGATTTCTTCCGAGCACCCAAAATTACCTGAAAAAATGGTTTTTTCAAAATCGTTGAGCTCTATCTCAAACTTCATTTAAACACAAGGACGGATTTAGATTGCCTGATTAGACGCGGTCGTACGTGGTCAGGAGAAAGAAAAACCAATAAATACGTATTATCTAGGAACGATTCTGCACGGAAATATTTGCAGGCGGACGCTGTCAAGACCAGATTTTTTACTAGAGATGTGTGGAATATTTTTCACGGATTGTGGAAACCTTATAAATGGTGATTTTTTTGCTAGTATCTTTTTGGCAACACTGTTTTTGACAGATGACGCGTGAATCGTGTCTTGTGTCATTGTCGAACTCGTTCAGTTTGGTCTATAATTTAACCATGAATCGACTTACGAACGAACAACGCTTGCAAATTATTGAATTTTACTATCAAAATTCATGCTCGGTTAAGAGAGTGCAACGAGCACTGCTTCCAATTTATGGGCAATTTGGTCGGCCTACTGAGGGAACTATTCGGAAGCTTGTGACTAAATGTCGAACCCAGTTTACATTATTGGATATTAAACCACCAACACGCAGACGTAGAGTGAGGACTGAAGAAAATATTGCGGCTGTATCCGCCAGTGTTAGTGATGACCGTGAAATGTCGATTGCCGCCGTTCGCAGCAATTGGGCCTCTGTCACTCCACTACGTGGAAAATTTTGCGACAGGATTTGGGTGTAAAACCTTATAAGATACAGCTGGTGCAAGAATTGAAGCCACACGACCTCCCACAACGTATCCAATTTGGTGAGTGGGCGCTGGCAAAGTTGGAGGAAGATCCACATTTTATCGAAAAATTGTGTTCAGCGACGAAGCTCATTTCTGGTTGAATGGGTACGTTAACAAGCAAAATTGCCGCATCTGGAGTGAAGACCAGCCAGAAGCATTGCCAGAGCTACCAATGCATCCCGAAAAAATCACTGTTTGGTGTGGATTATGGGCCGGTGGCATCATCGAGCCGTACTTCTTCAAAGACGACAATGGCCGGAACGTAACTGTGAATGGCAAGGGCTATCGTGCGATGATAACAAACTTTTTTTTACCCAAAATGGAAGAACTGGACTTGGCTGACATGTGGTTTCAACAAGACGGTGCCATATGCCACACCGCATACGAAACAATGGCCCTATTGAGAGGCGAGTTAGGTGAACAGTTTATCTCACGTTTGGGGTCCGTCAATTGGCCGCCTAGATCGTGTGATTTAACGCCGTTGGACTATTTCTTGTGGGGCCATGTTAAGGCTAATGTCTACAGGGATAAACCAGCAACGATTGACGCACTGGAAGCCAATATTGAAGCATTTATTCGTGAGATACCGGCCGATATGTTGAAGAGAGTGTGCCAAAATTGGACCTTGCGCATGGGCCATCTAAAGCGGAGCCGCGGCCAACATTTACATGAAATAATCTTTAAACATTAAATTATGTCGACCGTTCTATCGACTCAAATAAAGATTCAATCGTTTTTTCAACTTTTTTGTGTTTTTTTGAAAATCACTTAATATACCTCTTAAAAAATCACCCGTTAGGTTTAATTAATTTTTTTTTCGTCTACGCACGTACCTGAGCTCAGCAGAACCTTTGTATACAAAGGGTTCATTGCAAACTCGGCCATGTTAAAGCCAAGCGGTTTAGTCAGCTCTCCCTGTATATCTATGCATTCTAGGGCATACAGAATCTCCAAGGCACTTTTTAGATTCTTCATAGGCGGCGGACTGGGAAAGTCGAATTTCAGTATATTGGCGATGCCAAACGCTTTGATTTGCAAAATTGGATACGTTAGGTCGCTACGAACAATTTCTGGTGGTGTTTCGTCCGGCAATTTTGAAGCATCTTCTTCTGTGTACAATCTGGAAGAACATTTTAGAACAAACTAGAAATATAGCTTTTGCTCGTTTGACCTCAGATGACCAACCATGGGCAGCTGTTTTGTGCTATTTGGCAACTCTTCAGTATGGTCTCCGTGGACAACGAACGAAAGCTGAGCAACATTACAATTACAAAAAGGTATACACATTTCAACAATATAAGTTTTTGTGTCAAAATATAGCAGTACGAGGATAAAATAATGCAGATTTTATTGGATAAAAAAACGGATACTTTTTTCCCGATCGAAATAAGTCCACACAAAATGATTTGAATATTTTTATTCTTTTATGAGTTAGTTGTGAAATCATGCATTATGTATTGATACAAACCTGTAAACTTTACCGGGTCTTTCTCTACCGGCTCGGCCAGCTCGTTGATCTGCCGAAGATTTGCTTATAGGAACTACTATAAGACTGTTCGTATGCGTGTCATCATTGAACCATTTCAACTTGACAAATCCACAATCAACAACTGAAACAGCGAAAAAAGTATTTATCATAACTATGGACAGCCGTAGAACGTAAAAGTTAAACTACTCGCTGCCATCCGGCTGTGAGACTCCAGGTATTATAATTCCTCCTATCATCTATAACGAACTTTATGGTGTTTCCTGATGATGGTTAAACCCTGAATTTCGAAATGTCTGCGACAATATTCTTACCATGCACAATCCCAGGTATAGTAACGGACGTTTCAGCTATATTTGTAGCGACAACAACCTTCCTGTGACCACTTGGAGCCGATTTAAACACCTTCAACTGTTCGTGGTATGGTAACGCTCCGTACATTGGCAACACGCACATTTTCTCTTTCTTTTTCGATTCTTCTATGAGACTGGCGTGTTCGTTCAGGAGCCGTACAGCTCTGTCGACTTCTTCCTGACCTGTTAGAAACACCAGGATATCGCCCGAGTCTTTCGACGAGTTTATCTTTAATACTGTTTCAACTGACGCCTGAACATAGCAAGGAACCGGCTCTAGAAAAAGAATACGATAATATTCAAATGGAAGAAAAGATATTGTTCCAAATAGCAACATTGCAATGTGCTACCTGAAGGTAGCCAGCCATATAGGTCCTAACTCCATCTATGAGGCGGTAGCAGTATCAACAAGTAGACTTCTAAATTCATTTTTTGTTCTGCCACTGCCTTGCAGATGGCGCTGAAATATTTCAGATTTTTTTGGACGTCAATGCTACTGTCACTGTTGCAGATATACTTACCAGCAACATAATAAACGTCAACCGGATATTGCCTTCCTTCTACTGACATAATAATCGCGGTATCTTTTTTCCTATCTCCAGTAGAATTGTTGTTGAAAAATTTCTGTAACATTTCCGCGTCTAGCGTGGCTGAAGCGACTATAAGTCTAAGATCACTGCGTTTCTGAAATATACGAGAAATATAACTATTTGTCGCAAAGGTATGCTAAAAATTCGTTACCTTTAGTATTTTTTTCACGAGACCCATTAAAATATCCGTATATACGGTACGTTCGTGTACCTCATCTAACATTATGGCAGAGTAGCTTTTCAGCAATGGATCGCTCATAAGTTCCCGCAAAAGTATTCCTTCTGTCATGTACTAGAAAAAAACAACAAATTCACTGCTATAAAGACGCAAATCGAAAAAAATCTATTTATCGCGTTTTAATTTTGAGCATCTACAGATACGTAATTTATGATTGTGATTTAAACTTCGCTGCCAAAATAATTTATGCTTTGGTGAGTAGCAAGACTTTCTAAAGGTTCGAAATTTACATTCTAATAGTTTACCTTAATCTTCGGTTTGTTCTTACACGCGTCAAATCTGACAGCATATCCCACCATATCACCCTGGACTAAGGTCCCAGTTTCGTCCGCAACCCTGTTTGCTAACGAAATCGCAGCTACTCGTCTCGGTTCGCAGATTCCTATTTGCCCAGGCCATTCTGCTTCTATCATGTACTATTGACGACCAAAAAATATTTGTTAATAATTCATAATATTTTATATACTAACTGGTAATATAGCTTTCGTTTGTACTTCCACAGACCGCCAACCGCGGACAGCTGTTTCGTGCTTTTTAGCGACTCATTAGCATGGTCTAGGCTTGGTTTCAGGTAGGATAATGAACGAAAGCTGAAGTATGCTCTATCCACGATATGAAGTCTATCGAAATAAGAGAGAGAGACTATTCGAGACCAAATATTAAAAAAAGGCTAACACTCATAAAATCTAAATTGTATTCCTAGAACTAAAGCCTAAAGTCGAATCTAATGTATGTGAATTGATGCGTTATAATTCTTTATATTCCCTATTTTTTTTACTTTGTCCAAAGAAACTAACAAAAGCACGTTTAAAATCCGAGCGGTCATCCGATTTTTGCCCGCAAAAAAGTTACCACCTATAGAAATTCATCGTCAGTGGAGTGAAGTATATTGGAAACGTGTATAAGCATTCAAAAATATTTTTGGAACACCCCTCGTATACATTTGATGGTAAAAATTTCTCCACGATGAGTCCAGCAAGCATCTTCGCATCTGTACAGAAAAATATTGTGACTGCATAATCTTATTCAAAAAGGCATATGCACGTTGCTCGACATTGGGTTAACATTGTTTAAGCAAATCTCGAAAATTGGGACATTCTGAACAAAAAAGGTTCTTATGAACATTTCCTTGGATTTTCGTTTTTTCATAGTGTTTTTGGGATCGAAAATGTCGCATTTACTACCTTTTCCGATATTAATGTGCAGATGTATCAACTTTTTATCAACTTTTGGATAAAGTTTGGGCATTGCGACATGAATATTCCTTAAAAAGGGTCCTAATTGATTATGTAAAAAAACAGAGTCAGAATATTTTTCCAACCAAGTGCGATGGTATTTCCTGGACTTATCAATTGTAGATTATTTTGATATCCATGGTATAACATTCTAGCCGTATCAATGATCAGTCAAGATCGTAATGCTTTTTTCATGTTCATGCTACTCTCATTGCCGATGCAGTAATTAATTTTATGGTTCCAAAGGTAGCAAGCAACTGAACTTCTATTTTTTAACCATCTTTTATCGATGGTGTAATTTTCAGATAAGGTGGTTTTGAAATGAAAACACGAACACATGTCCGAAGCTGATTTATTACTCTCTAAATGCCATTCAGAATTTAAAAAAAGAACGAGTAGTATACATGTATTATAAAAATAATATTTTGAAAACTGGCAACAATAGTATAATATATCTATTACATATAAAGATAAAAAAATTATTTTGCACTTATGTCCAGCTAAAACCGCGAATATTTCACAAAGTAGATTTGTGAAGTATTTGCATTTAATATTCTCCTACCAACTAAACTACAAAGAACACAGCAACTTGGCAAATAAAATATATAGTGATATAAAACATCGAATTAAGTACATATGTTAAATATGGGTTAAAATAACAAAGTAAGATAATGATAATTATGAATCAAATTTGAAAAAGATCGAATTGACCTAAATTTGACGTAAAATCTTGGTATTAAAACAAAAACCGGATTTAAATAAAGTCAACTCAGTAAGCATTTCTCAAATCAAATTTCAGCTTTATTTTGCTGATTTAATCTAAAACACTACAATGACTAGCAAAAGTGTGTGTATAACAAGAATTATATTTCCTTGCATTTGGTTTTGGCATTTTATGGCAAGTTGAAAAAAGGCGAATATGGTACCTATGATCAAAGAAACAGTTTTTGATATACTGATGAAATTCAAATCATGATTCAGTTCCCCTAATTTCACCTGGACTGTTTGGGAATCAGAAACTGTTTTTCTGATTATCAAAATATGCATATTTTTGCCTCAGAATTAAATTTCAACAATCTTGGTATCCCAGTATGGGAAATATCGAACAATTCTACTTAGCTGACATTTTTGTAAAGCGTATCTTTAGGCGTTGGCATTCCTGAACTGACTATCTGCTATAATTTGCTGGAATGCGATATTTTATCACAGCCTGATAACACCTACGCGGGTGACATCGAAAACGCAAGATTGGCATAAGCGTGGGATCCGTTACCGGGCTTCTTATCGCCCACAAACTAGGTTAAATTTAGATGCAATGCTACGTACGTTTAAATTATTACTTGGACGGAATTAACACCGTTTTTACATTGCAATATAACCGAGGAAACTTCTTGGACGTGAACAAAAATTTCGAACACGATACCGTAAAAAAATTGTATCTGTTATACATTTTGTTCCAACATCCTGGTTTGGTGTTCAAGAAAAATCGTATCAGCTAATTCTCGGATTCTCGCATGCAAAGGTCTGGTGGCCAAAACATCAGAGTTTTTTACTTTGGTATGGGTCAAAGGAATGTGCTAGTTATAAACAATAAAATATCTAGTGTCCCATTTTAATCTCTCCGCCTGAATATTTCAAAAACTACGCATCCTAGAAAAAAGTTCCAAACAAAACCACTAGAGTTCCTAGTGGGCAAAATGAAGGTGAACTTAGCAATGACCTTGATCACGAACTTCAAGGTCATTCCAATGTCAAGAGGACAGATTCAAACAGAACCCTATTTTTTACTTAGGTATTCAAAAGAGGAAGACATTTTATGACCTTGACGATCATTTCAAGACGTTGCAAACTATTTGCCCTAGCAAAAATGTTCGACAGTACAGTTGTGAGATTTGTGGGAATCACCCAAATATGACATTGAAGAAAATATCTCATTTTTACACTGGTAATTGAAAAAGCAGAAGTTTTCATCCAAATCAAGGTCTGTCAAGCTTGAATGTTATCCTAGGTCAAGGTCACTTTACCTTGATTTTGAAGGTAATGGTCAAGGTCACTTTTGGGTGATCCCCAAAACTGTGCTGACGAACGTTTTCTTGACTTGACCTTAAAGGCCAAGGTGACATTAGGACATAAGATTCCCTCGTCTTCTCAATGCTGATGTGAAAAAACGGGGCTCCATTTGAGAATGTTTACTTGACCTTAAATGTCGTACTCAAGGTTATTGCCAAGGTCACCGTCATTTTGAACCCTCGAAATCCTGTTACTTTTGTATAAAACTTTTTTTCTAAAATGCGCGGTTTTCGAAGTATTTAGATGGGGAGATTAAAATGTACAGTTAAGACTAGCTTTTGTAAAAGTTATGATGGTCGAAGAGAGAAACTTTAAAACGGAAAATGTAACCTAAATTAAGAGCATAGTAAGCGTATTGTCTATTTAGAATACTTTAAAACGGAAAATGTAACCTAAATTAAGAGCATAGTAAGCGTATTGTCTATTTAGAATACTTTAAAATGTACAATGGTTACTGGCACTTGAATCTACTTTTTATAAGGAATCCATAATATTATCTAAGCACAGCACTAGTTGGTACAATGCTATTGCCTGTTTATCATTTTTTTATTAAACAATCGGGAATCATTCGTCGATCCTAAGTAGTTATAGGTACTTTGGGAATCGAACTTGAATCTAAATATGAGTGAACGTCCCCCTAGAAATAAAAATTGACGTGTTCGAGCGTTTTTTCCAAAAATATACCAGGAGAGTCATACATGTTGGTCTGACCTTTTCGTTGGGACACTATGTATAATTATTATAAAACATAACTAAGTTAACTATTAATAAGAATGTGCGTATTAGAAATGCTTCTAACGCGTTTAATTTAGGGATAAAGCTTTAATACTAACGACAATTACAGGCTCATACATACTCAACTACTCCCAGTAAAAAAACTTAGAATTAGAATACATCTTTTCTCCCTGCTAGGAATACTTTATTTCCAGGTTATTTAAACATTAATTAATCAACAACCTCCGAAGTAGGTTATCAGAATATCACAGGCAATTTTTCACATGATTCTCAACAATGGCTGTGTAGATGACTGAATGTTAAAACCATCTTCGAGAAGAAAGCTTTAAAAAATACTTTTGTATCTAGCTAACATCTTTCTGACGTGACAGAAAGGCCTTGACATCCATAAGATTCAGTTCAGTGATGCACATTACAGACAACAAAATGCAATACCCTAAATAACGAATACCCCTCAAAAATTCCCAAAGTTTATCACAAAATATGGATATCAACAGTACGTGCGTCAAATTGTGCACGTTGACGACTCTCCATAAAAACGCGACTGTGTAAAAAAATATACTCCTAAAAACGATTTCTTGCTTCGTCGATAGCAAGGGACTAGACTCCGTCTCTAAAAGGTCTTGATATACTGCTATGTATCTATTCCAAGCCGCTGAACTTAAGATAAGCAGCGTTGTAAGGGTCAGTACGATCTTAACTACTTTTTTTAATGTTACATTTTGGTAGGAGGCTGTGCCGTCTTTGGAATCCAACACAGTCGGGATTTGAATATATCCCCTTCTGGGCGGGTTATTCTTCAGAAACACAAAAATACCGACTACCAACGCGGTAGTGCCGATCGCATCGCAAATACCGTCTATATAGTACCCTGACGATCCAACATCACTGTGTTCACCTTCAATGTGTTTTCTCGCTCTTGCAACATGTCCGTCTAAGTCGTCTAACCATGTTCTCATCTCAAATAGGCATGTCCCTATTCTTCTATAAGCCAAGTTGTCGCTTGCCACGAATTTCGCACTCGCTAAGGCTACAAATATGTGGAACACGCTGATCGAATTCGGGGTTATCCAGGTGACGTTACTTATACCAACGATTCTGTCGAATATTTTAACGAGCGGCCCAAACAAGTAGTAATTCGTGTGATCTAAAAGCAAAGCTTTGACAGTCACTTCACATAGAGGGTTGATTTCACAGCTGACCCAAGTTACGTCTTTGTATAATACTGAAGCGTTTGCGCTATTTGACACTGGATAATTGTGGATTCTAATGTAAAGATTGCAGTCCATGTACGCATAGTAGTAAAGTAAAACGATCAGCGAGAATAGAAGAAGTCTGCTGATTTGGCAGGGAGGCCCAATCATCCTTGGGTTGGCGTCGTACTAGCTGAACGTAGATGCCATTTCACTATTTGTTGTTATACCTAGAACAACCGAGATTCAATACATTAGAATTATATGCAAGAACTAGTCTGCATTCAGAACACAAGGTACTGCAAATACAATTCGAAGAGCGGTGGGTTGCTATGTTTATACGAGGCCTGTTCAATCGAAATCCATCTTTGGTCAGGTTAGCCTTGGAAACAATTCTAATCACTTAACTGACGTTTTCAATGTTAGATGGGTCTGTAAACGTCAAACTGATCAGTTCCTGTCATTTGTATTTGACTGCGATTTTAAGTATTGTGACATAAAAATGGCGTTTGTTGTTTAGCGCTTTTACGAAATTTAGAAAAAAACTTCGGGCGCTAAATATCTCCTCCGCTCTCGACACATTGTCACGCTTCGTTTCGCGTCGATATTTCTCTCTTAGTTCACGACTATTTACGCACTGAACCTATTTTTTTCAACAATTTTCGGATCGTACGAGATACACATTTTTTTTACTTTCGTATTGTCAAATTCAAGCATGTGATAAATTCTTTGCGCACCTGCGTCGATAAATTTGCAAATATGTTTACACCAGTTGACGAATAGATAACGATAGGTACGATAATTACTCTGACTCAATTCGTTTAGAAATTGCCGTTGAATAACTGCTAAAATTATCAGAAAAATGGAATAATAATAATTAATTACATGTACAACAAAGGAATTAAATGGATCAAGTCAGTTAAAACCATATGAATTAGTCTCCACCTATATGACAACGCTGCAATCTACAAGTTTGTCTTCTCGCTATCGCAACAGGTTTAAAATCTGTTTTCGTTGCATCCCGCACAAATATAAATGAGAAAATATCGATGTTTGTTACAAAATCACGTCAAAATGGCTGAACGACTATGGATGAAATTTGGTGCAGAGATTATAGTCTGGAATAGCACATAGCTTACTTTTTACACCCAAAAGAGAGAGAAATAACTTTGAAATAAATATTTCATGGGGCAAACGGCTAAAGGGAACTTGACATGATGTGTCTGGTGTTTTAGGAAGTATCGATACTGTAAGATATCGGAATAAAAATATCGATACTACAAGTATCGAAACCTTTCGATACGGAACATACACGAAGTTTTTTTTTAAAACCCTCAAAATAATATTTACGTTTTCAACTACATGACTAGATTATATACAAAAATAGGTAAAAAACCTGTTGCATAAGTTACATCTCCCACATAAACTCGATTTTACAAAATAGGTCCACAAATCACTTCTTACACGACGAATCACTATAACAAAAATGTTTGGTTTTAAACTATGTTGCTTAATCAACCAATACTAAAAACACTGTGTGTCATGTGTGTGTAATTCCCCGAAACCGAATCCAACAGGGTTGTCAGCTCGTTTAGCTCAGTTTCCCCCGTTGAAATATAAATATCCCCTAAGTTCAGGACTTTTCAAAAATAATCTCCAAAAAATACCATTTATTTTTTGTTACCACAGGTTTACGATTTGTTAAATATTCTTGGATCTTAAAATATTTTTTGAACGACATATTTTTCGTATGTCGTTAAATACCCCAAAAGGTATGTAAGTATGTGTTTTCAATTGAAAGACAAATAAATAACAAGTAAATTTTGTAATGTCATTAATAAAATTTAACATAACATCTCCCAGTAAAATGTTTCCCCAAAAGAAATCCCCAGAAAAAAGTATCCACATTGAAATGAAAATTCCCTAATTTCTCGGGCAAACTCCCTAATATGGCAACGGTGGAATCCAAAATAAATTATGTGAGGTCGTGAAGTGAGTAGCACCAGCGGAAGGTAACAAAGAAGAAAAGTAATACGAAGTTAGTCACTCTTTCGGAATGTGTTGATACACCCAAGTATCCAATATTAAAATATCGATTGAAAATATCGGGCATCGGATGCAAAAGTATCGATACTTCTAAATATCGGATCAGCATCGAACATCACTACTTCACGTACTATTTATTATGATTACATGTTAATTAAGAATTCATTCATAGTTGCATTAATATGTTGAATAAATAATACCCAATTGCCAATACTTCTTCGTCAACTAGGGTCGGAAATGATAAGACACATATAAAAAAGTATTTTTTGGCTTATTTTTAATTTCTAATATGTCCCCATATCATAAAATAAACATATCATCCTCCATCATGAATAACTTTTTTTAAATTTGAATTTGAACGAAGATATTATTAAAATTATAAAAATAAGGGACATAGATGTATTACTTTGAGAAACCTTGTGTCGTAATTACAAATATAAAATGACGAAAATAACTCCAACTACATATTGATGAATAATATGTGATACATACGGCAATGCTTTTCAACTTTGATTCATGGCGGCAAACCGTTGTTTATCTTTTTGTCACGAACAACGATTTTGAACTGTCTGGATATTACGACGTATCCTATGACTCATATGTGTAAATATGAAATCAGTGGAGCATATTGAGCCAATAATCGGAACGAAGATATTAATAATTAAAATTCTAGTTAGAGTCTTCTTATCGACGATAAGATTTTTATCGAAGGTATATAATGGGTAAACACTGATAGGCAACACGATAAGTGATAAACTAAAAAATGTTGATTGATATACAAGCATCGGTTGTCTTTTCACCGTATGTTGTATACGGTGAGCTTTAGATAAGAATGATTATTTGAAAGTTAAGGTAGGGGAATTCCTTTTGTTAAGCTGTTCTTGTCATAAATGATTTCAGAGGTTTATGCGGTAACACTGTCATTTTTTGTCGTTTTATGGAGACACGAGGATCATTCTCTCTTCCTACGCCTACTGGCGGGAAAGTATTGTTATCGCGTAATATTTTGAAAATGAGATGTTTTTTGAATGTGCCAATAGTCTAATCATACCAACAAATTTCCTCGAAATAATTGTAAAGTTGGGAGTAGATTGGTGAAGTGGTTTTTGAGAATTTCTATTGTTTATCCCAAAACAACCGTTTTACTGCCATCACTACTAGTTTATAAGCAATATGCAGAGTTTGTTCAAAGGGTATTTTATAGCAAAATACACCAGTTTACCTTGCCGATATTAATCACAAACCATTCTGGAAATGTTATTTTTATGCGAAAAACAAAGGGTTACGTTTTTTCTTCTAAACAAATTCGAACATTTCGTATTTGTGAGTAATTGAACAGACGCGCTGCGATATTCGAAAAACATACTTTATTATACACATTTTAATACAAAGCGGATGTTCCTATCACCTTTTGTTGCAAAGACAAAAAGTTTTTTCAAGATTTATTCATACTCTTATGTATACATATTCAGAGCTGAAATTTTTACATGGTCACAGAATGAGCCTCAATCTTTATATAAAAAAATATTTCATACTGGAATGCGCAGAACTGTTCATAAAGTTAGCATGTAAAAGGAACACACAATTACCCTAGTTAGTATGTAGCATGTGCTGAATAGCTACATTATTGATGACTGCATGACTTTGTCAAATAAGTAATTCACCTCAATCACAGCAAAAAACGTAATATCCCATTATGAATCCAGGCGTTTAAACTCCAAAAAAACAAATCAAAGTAGATCCAAATGCAGAGTAAGGTAGGATTATATTTTACACTAAATTTTCTTTATGAAGTAATATTTGAAGTGTGAACAATACAAGTTGGAAACAAAAAACACTTATGTTTGACATATTGACCTCTATAATTAAGCTGTACTTACCTACATAATTGTTTATGATCTTTAAATAAGGTTTCCTAAGCAAACATCTCACCTTATGATTAACTGATTTCTACTCTATAGTCTATTTTCCTTGAATATGCTGAACAAGGTATTACCTTAATAGTCACTATTGTTTGTTTAAATATTTCAACATTGATGTCATCTCCACTACTGTGAGAATTTCATTGCAAATTGTGTGCATGGTTTAGCATACCCTTATTAAGCACATGCACAACAGTATACAGGGTGTTCAAAAAATAGACTGAGATATTTTACAGGGTGATACCTTGTTAAAGAATATGATTTTTTTTTTCTATAAGCATTGGTCCGGAAATGCAGAGTTTTCAAGATACAGGGTGATAAATAAAAGAAAATCAATATCTTGAAAAATATTTATTCGATTCTGTTGTATTAAGAGGCTTATTTAGCCCTAAATACATTAAAATTATTAGGTCCAGTGGCGTCCTGGGGGGCACTTTAGGGAATTTATTGGCAACAAATCTATGCCACTGCCTTTTTAACTTTAATATTTGTTGTTTGATCAAGCATCTAAAAATACAACTTCTTTGCCTTCATTTTCGAGAAGACAAGTAAAAACCATTTGATTGCATATCACTGCACAAACTGGGTTTGTTAATTTTTGCGAAAAAAATCGCAAGTGCCATCTAAAATATCTCCGTCTATTTTTCGATACACCCTGTATATTCTATAAATGCAGTTGCATTGCAATAAAACTATATAGGTATACAAATAGGAAGATTACTTGTGTAAATAATATATTACAAAATACTCATTCAAAACTGGAGTTTAGATGCACTGCTATTTATTTTTTCAGTACAGTTGGACCCTGAGCAACCAATACAACATTTTTGACATCTTTAAGGGGAGTGATGTATAGAGATTGGTGCAAATGTATAACCTTGCCCAAAAGTGCTCTGAAAGCTTTGGGATATATTTTGCATCAATTACTGTAGCTTTAGAGTTTTCTTTTTTCAGTAAATAAATAGTTGTAAGATGTAAGAACTTTTCTTATAAACTTTGTGAATAATTCAAAAGTATAAATGATTTAAGGTTATCTACATAAACTAACTTATACCCTATTTCATCATGCTTTGATATCTACTAAGGTGAACAGCTGATCAACAAGTGTTAGTCTGTAATCTTGGCTATAATGAATCGGGTGTAAATCTAGCAAAAATTTGTTTGTAGCATTTTGTTTTTTGTATGCAAATGAAGTTTTATAAATAAAATAACTCATAGCAAGAACAAAATGAATCTGTAGCATATAAAAAACAAAAAAAAATATGGCTCTGTCCATCTGACATTAACAGATCTGTCAGAATTATGTCTCCTTTACCTATATGGGGAATTTTGAAATATTACTAGATAACCAGCTGTCATTCTACTGTGATGGACACTCGTGAAATAGGGTATATTGACTCAACCATTCCCTGAAAGATTGGAACAAATAGTAATATGTTTACGGCTAATTTTTTTAATAGTATTACTTTTTTCATAAGGCCAACTACCAGCTACTTTTGCTCTGGGTTATTTCACTACTATTAGTGAAACTGATAACATATATGCCTTTTGAGAGGTCCCCTTAATCCTAAAATTAATTTACTTTTCGAAGAACTTGACAAACGTTTCTAATATACTTCCTCCTATAAGAAAAAAACACATACAAACTGACTGCTCAGTGCAGCCCTAGTAAGAATTCCCTTAAAAATGATGAATTGCTAGAAAAAAACAAACTTTTTACCTGAGGAATCTGTGTGCTTTTTCCACACCCAGTTTCACCTACAAGCACGAGCGTTTGGTATTTTTCCAAGGCATAAAGTATGTGGTTTCTACTATTAAAAATAGGCAATCGTTGCCTTTGCGTCTGAACAGACTGGGAAATGTATCTGTTGTATATGAAGCTTGTTGTTTCTATTCCAACAGATTCATTTTTGTCCAAATAGCTTGTTGTGTCGGAAGGTCTAATAAACTTTGGTCTGAAATCACTCATCACGTCTGTTTCTCTGAAAAATTATAAATATCTTCAGTAGAAGATCACAACAATTAGTTTTGGTCTTACCGTCTTTTTTCAAATATTTATGAACATAGTCAAGTTAAATATACTTTTCAGGTTTATATTATTTCAAATCCATACCGGAAGCGTAAAGGTGCGTCGCGATAGTAGGTTTTCAGCTCAACTTCTGCGTTAGCTTATGAGTTATCTAGTAACACAAACCTCCAAGATAAATGGAAATGATAATAAAAACATATCCCTACTTTTGTGCTTTTATTTACAATTTATCTGCGTAAAATTGGCAACGTTGGCGACGATAATACTTGCAACGCTGCATACTAGTTCACAATCGAGATAGAGATGTCAAGAATTACTTTGGCATGATCAGCCGTGTTGGTGTATGTTATTACAAATCATCAGTTAGCTACGACGTCGTCTTTCTGGTTCACTTGTGATCCAGATGTGCGTTTCAAAAGAGAGTACTATTTCCGCCATTTTCGTTCCCATGCGAGCGCCATCACTAGGACAATAGGTCAACTATCATTAATGAATTAATTGGACAGGAGGTGGCGCCACCGTCATCTACTTAGGTTATGCAGCTAGCATCTCGCTGATGTGATTTGTGGGTTGCCAGCATTTCACAAGGGACATGCCAGATGAGATTAGCATGGTGCTTTTGGATTTGGGATTACTCAATCATAATTTTTCTTTTTCGATTCGCCTGATACAGTAACTACAATGTTTTATAGATAGAAGTGACTTCATTTGATCAAATGGTTATTGTTTAATTGTTTTGTATCACACTTGTTGTAGGTAATAGGCAGGTAAAGGTAATCTTTCACAGAAATAAATTGAAAACTTAAACTATTTTATTTCATCACGTACATCTTGACGTTACAGGATACGCTTCTACAATGTCTACCCTATGACTGATCTTGCCGCTTCTTTAATGCCTGATAGGGGTCCCTTATTCTTCTCTTTTTCATCCTGCCTGTTCCCATTCCTACTGCTGTCTTTGTCTGTACCTTTATCCGCATTCTTTTCAACTTCTTTTCCAGCTTTTTTCTTTTCCTCTTCTTCGATTTTGAAGAATGGTCTGTCCTTGCCGGTTTTCAGATAGAACTTTCCGCGATTTCTCGAATTCAAGTCACCCATGGCTACTTTTTCACCGTTTTGGCATTTGTCTGCTTCAAAGTCATCCCAACTGCCACATTTTTGAGCGATGTATTCTCGTGGATATGCTAAAGCTTCAGCAAACAGGAATGGTGCCCGTCGGTGGTCACATGATACTGTAAAATAAAAAATATATCTATATATAAACTAAAATGGTACAAAAACTGGGATATTTTTATAGTGTTTCAAAGTTTTCGACTTGCTGTTGCAGTTGTAATCTGGAAGGTGAAAAATCGGAATCTTGTTACTGTAACCTAGCTAATTGTGGATAAGATTTTATGAATATTGTACGTAGTGTATTTAATTAATCCATCCTAGCATTATTAGAACAAGATTCATATACTGCTTTATTAAGGGCCGTCTCGTTAGTTGTTCCTACAAGAGTAGGACGTCTTTATGGCCTTCTTGATTTTCATAGTTCTTTCCTCTCCTTCAGAAAGGCTGTGGTATTTCTTGATTTCTACTAGTCCGTGTCAGCGTCAGCGCTCTCCTATTGTGAGGCTATGTTTTCTTTTGAATTGTAGGAAATTTCAGCCTGATATAAAAGATTATATAAATTAAAAGCATGAACAATTTGATGCAAATAAATGTTTGTAACATAACCTCAAAATAAATCGCTAACACGGAACAACAGTAGAAAACTATGAAAATCAAGGAGGCCATGAAGGCGTCCTACAAGGAACGACCGACGGTACGGCCCTTAGTACCCGAGAATTTCCATTTTTTTTAAATTACACTGTATATAAAGCTTTGTCAGCTCAAAAATTACATTTTGCGTCAATTCAGTTTCGCAAAAATATGGGCATTCCATCAAAAAATCAACTAAAATCATAAAATTAAGCCAACAAGAACAATAATGTTGAACTTACATGGTTCCGTGATTGTCGTTAAATCTGCTAAATCGACCCTTTTGCATCCAGGTTGTGAACTACCTCCATTTACGAAGAAGTCCAAGGTACCAATTGTGTCCTTGTAGCCAAAAGTACCACCATCTGTATGGATAACCTGGAATTGAATCATTTAAAACATTTATAACGCGAAATCGAATCAACTAAAACATTTGTTATATAAATTGTAGAAGACATGGGCGCCCGTAGTAATTTTTCTTAGGAGCGGCCAAGGGCCAACTTTTTGTGAAAGTTCAGTTGTATCCTTTTGAAGCGCGGGGGGCAACTTTTCTCGGGAGAGAATTGTGCACAAAATCAAGCTAAATATGAAAATTCCAAGGCGCAGCCAGATTTCAAGGGAGTGGTGCACGGCCCCCCTGGCACCTCATGCGGGCGCCCATGGTAGATGTCTTAGGGTAAGCGCCCATCGTGGGGCAACAGAGGACAACTTAGGGAGAAGTTTCCTTCTGATCACGATTTTCTGAAACAACCAAATACCCTGTATATTGATGTACTTACGTGAACAACTTCAGCACTGCTACTATTCAACCTCTTGTCGGCAGGCCTGACGTCAAACAAAGGTCCTGCAGGATCGAGGGCAACTATCCTCGGCAGTTTTTGACCGGATTTTTCATAAACCTTTTGACCTATGAATCCCACGATGTGCCCTCCTAGAGAGTGACCAATAGGCAACATATTCTTCAAAGGAACACCTTTCTTCTGGCTGAGCTCCAACATTGTGTCGGCTATAATTTTTGCTGAAAATATGACGTTTTATAGAAAAATATCGCCAGTCCGACCAAAGACAGCTAACTATCTTCTATCCCGGAGATACGTTCTATCGAAATAAGATAGCGCAAAGCGCCATCTGTTACCAGAATCGAGCACTGCGAACAGTATATAGAAACTCCTCTGAATAAATACGCATAGCTGGAACTTTGAGCGGTGAGGAGTCGCCTTGCAGAGTTGACGCTTAGGCAACCAGTTAACGAGACAGTGTGTGACCGCTTGCGGCGCTGTCCAAAAAGGACTAGGACGAGATTCAAGATTAATCGAGGTCCACCTAGAGGCACCTGCTGTCATCGGTATTGCTCACGACATGACCTGGACAACGCGGGAACATTTCTCGATGCGTCGATATGGGGTTAAATACACAGCCAGATAGCGGAAACGGTTAGTCCCGGTTGAGAAAGTTAAACAACGCGAAATGTCGTAGTTGGTTAAAAATCGTCATAATTTAGTATGTTATAAATGAATAATAAAAGTAATAAAATAATCTATGGACAGTAGAAACCGAGACACTTGTTCAATCGGTGCGTGAGCATCATTATATATATCCATGTTATGATTTATGTACAATATCACATGAGAGAATCGGAAATGGGCACGAAACAAATGACTGATTTGATAATTTCAAGGCCTACTTGGGAAATACTGTTCTTTTTTAATAAATAATTACAGCATGACATATGTATGACATATTATACATTTTTGAACCAGAATTACACTCGATCCAACTGTGCAAATATTCATAATAATAATAATAATAATAATAATAATAATGTTTATTGTCCAAACTATAAGCAGATAACTAGAAATAACATATTTTAGAACAATAAACATGGTAGAAAACCCGCAGAAGGTCAGCCTTGTACGCGGGTATGCATTAGTTTATGAATAATTACGTACTACTAACTAGAAATAAAAAAAAAACACGTGATTTTCTAAGAAAAGAACAATAACAACATTAAATAGGATTTTAAAATACATTATCAGACAAAGTGGGAGTATGGATGGATTCATTTAATTATAGATCCTTTTTAAGGCGAAATGTCTCATTTAGGGCACAAAGCCTATCTTAGGTTATTAGGGTTTTTGTTTTCTGTTCTCTCTTTGGGGGATATATTGAGTATGTTGTCAAAATCGGTAAATAAGTGTAGCAGGGGTATATTGTCTAATTCGGTAGTGTTGGGTATAGGGTATTTTGTCTAATTCGGTAACTTTATTCTAGTTACTGGTTTTCATTTTAAGTGTAATCTTTTTAAGTCAACGATTTCGTAAATTCTCTGTCTGGGCATAGATGTTATCCAGCCTTTCACTTTTCTTTTAAATGTGTGTTTGGAATCAGGTCTTGTGGAAGAAGATTGTAACATCTTGGTCCTAGGTAAGAATACGATCTGAGCATTATATTTTTATCTGGTTTTGACACCTTTAAATAAATCCTGTTTCTTGTTTGGTAAGAATGTATCGGCTCTTGGTTGGGAGGACTGGATACGTGTTGCGCTATCAAAACTTTTAGTAGGTATAATTGCCTTATGTCTAATATATCAGTTTCTTTATAGAGATGGTCAGTTGGATACAGTCGGGGTTTACGAGATATTGTCTTATGGCGTTCATAATCAAAAACAGTTGACGATTAAAGACAAGACATGAAACGCCATATTGAAATTCTAATTATGTTACATTGTAGAGGAAAAAATTGGCAAGAATAATGTGCCATTCAAGTCCTACCTCAGATAAAGTCAGAATTTTTTTTTGTGAAAGTTCATTTTTTTTTCATATATCCCCGGAAATACTCTAACTTGTCAAACCTTCTAGGCGCCATCATCTTAGTTACCTAAATACGCAACTTAGTCCCAACTCAAACGACTTCGTTGGTCCCAATATATATGTTATACTTGAAGAGAATGTAAACAAATTCAGGAAACGTTTTATATAATTACCGAGCAAAAAATTATTGTAGCCTGACCACAAAAATAACTGCGAATGTAGCAATAATTCTACATATTTATAATGTTAATATTTTGTTTGACATTTTCTACGCACACTATTTTCCGAGGCATTTATCTTTTTTAGTGATTAATTGATGTCGCAGACTATTACGCATCGTTTCTAATAACATCCATCAAGAGTTATGTTTGAATAAATTAGATCTTAAAATCCTTGCAGAGCAAAGCTCGAACGCACTGGGGTATTACGTATCGTGGAAGGTAACATTATGTTGTTTTTTTGACATTATATAGATTTTTTGTGACATTATGTAGGTTTTTATACAAGATGTCAACCTAGCCAACTAACAATTATTACTCCTATTAGAGTTGCAAGAATGATTATACAGTATTCCTTAAACAGCATTGTATACTGTAAGAACATTGGCAAAACCCTCTTAGAACAGCTATATAAGCGGAACGGGCACACCTAATAGGACACTTCAGTCATTTAAGAGGTTGTATAAGGGCTGCAGGTAACAATTATAAAACAAAAGCGTAAGCCTCTTGCAGCCGCTATAGGACATTTGCTTCAGTGCAAGATTCAGTTTTTGTGCAAGAGTCTAGTAATTAAACTTGTCGCAACGAGAGTTCAAATTTAAAGTATACATTTTTTCTTTGTGAGAAGCAATATGGAATCGGTTCTCTATTTTGTTAATGATTGATGTTTCCTAGTTGAATTTCATGGACTTACCAACATCATAGGTATTGATAGAAGAAATGTAGTAGTACTCGTTAGCAGGTTCTTTCCAATCTATCTCGACCACACCGTAGTTTTTGTTCAAAAGATTGTCTTTAATTTCCGTATACCAATCTGCTTCCCTTGAAAAAAAAAATCAAAGGATTCATCAACATTTTCCAATAGCTTCAACGCATTAACATATTCTCATCCACATCTTCAAATTACAGACAGTCATTACCTATTTTTTCTATGAACAAGCGAAACAACAAAGAATATGAGATACCGAGTAGAAATTTTAGGCTTAAAACAAAAGCATTTTGCTTGTCTTGGGCATGTGACTTGGGTTTACCCATGTCGATCTGCGATACAAAACATACTAGTGCCTGAAGATACAACTACAATATTGACAGTCTATGTCTGAAGTATCTTCAGAACGTCAGTGAAAACAACGGTGTGTGCAAGAGCGAGTAGCTGATGCACTATGGATTTGCAATATCAAAAGTTAGGCTATGGAATAATCTAATTCAGACTAGGCAGGAGAAGCCTTTCAAGGATTTGCTTGTCTTCTAATTCTCTTGGTCTGTACTGACAAAGTGACTAGACATAAGTTAATTCTTAGACAGTTTTGTCACTAAAATCATATGTTAGGGTTATTTTTGAATGTGCGAGTGTTTGCAGAGAATTCTGGCGCTAGACAATTTCAAGACATGGTACTACTTACATAATTTGCAAAGAGCAGAATAAGCCTAATGAAAGTAGGTATTATTCTTACTTGCACAGTAGGAGGACAAATGCCATTCTGGCATGGGGTCATTCTTCACACATGCCTAGAGTTTTTGGCTTACAGAGAAGGTGTGCTAAATATACTAAGTGACATATAAATCCGAACACCCAGTTTAAATGGTTTTATTTTAATAAAATTTTGTATAAGTACCCTAATGAAGCATAATAAGTAAATGATAAAAATTTCAAAATGATTGCACTGCTTTAAAGCCCTTTGACCTTTAATAATGTGTGGATGCACCCTGATGAGCTACGCATTCTCCAACGCGCCTAGGCATGCTTCTGATCAGGTGGTCAATGTCCTCCTGTGGTATCTCATTCCAGGCAACCACCAACACTCCTCTCGAAGTGCTTCTAGAGTCTGAGGAGGACGTTGCAAATTGAGCAATCTCCTACCCATCATATCCCACACGTGCTCAATTGGGGATAAGTCGGGAGATCTTGGTGGCCATGGTAACAATGTGACATCATTATGTTGAAAGAAGTCTATTGTGACTCTTGCAACATGTGGTCGGGCATTATCTTGTTGGAAAGTTGGATCTGTCACGGTGTCAAGATAGGGTAAAAGATGGGGTTCTAGAACTTCGTGGATATAACGCTGCGCGTTCATGTTACCTCTGATGAAGATTAAAGGTGACCTGGAACCATAAGCTATAGCACCCCAAACCATAACTCCAACAGTGTTATGAACATGTCTTTCAACAAAAAACTGTAGATTCCTCCTTTCACCCCGTCGCCTTCTAACCCTGGCACAACCATCGTGCATGCCTAAACAAAATCGAGACTCGTCACTAAAGACAATACTGTTCCATTCCTGATCCCAGAGTGACCGTTGTCTGCACCACTCAAGGCGATTACGTCGGTGTTCTCGAGTTAAAGGGAGGACCCAGTGTGGCCGGTATGAAAACAAGCCAAAACTTCTCATTCGTCGGTAAACACTTCGCATGCCAATAGGTCTTCCGTGTTCTGCAAACCATTCATTTGCAATGGACCTGGTAGTGGAGAAACGGTCCCTTAAGGTCAATAATCTTAGGCGGCGATCTTCACGGTCTGTTGTTCTACGGCGGCGTCCAGTGCCCCTTGCCCTTTCCGTACGGCCTTCTCGAAGCCATGCCTGACAACACCTAACCACAGTGTCTACACTTCTTTGCACTCTGACTGCAATTGCCCGAAAAGAAAGTCCAGCTTCACGAAGTCCCACTATACGGCCCCTATCAAACTCACTAAGGTCTCCGTACTCTAGGCATCGTAACCGATCATAAAGGATGTCAAGAACCAAAATCCGCCAACGTTGATTCTTTACTGCGGCTGAAATATTCATTTTTAGAGCGTTAGTGAATTAAAAAAAGCAGTATAAAAACCGGAATGTCCAACTGATAAGGCTGACAATTTTTTCACTTGTCATTTACAGTAAGATAAATACATTCACCAACTTTTATTAAAATGAAACCATTTAAACTGGGTGTTCGGATTTATATGTCACTTAGTATACATATCAAATTTGAGCTGCAGAGATCCTTGCAGGAATTCACTATCGAAATTATACAACACATAATTACAACACCAGAAACAAAATTATCCAAATGGTCATCGCCTTTCCAGAACTAGAAATGCTGTTAACCACCACGGGCTAAAATTATACAACATATTGCCAAATAAAATATCTCTTTTTTGAACAATTTGGCATAACTGTGAACGGTTTTCCACTATCCGGAACTTTTTTTGTCATCGAAGACTTCCTTAACTTTGATTTTTCAGCCCCGAGTAGTTTCTATTGTACACAATCTCTTTTTTATAATTTTGTATTATTCGTCAAAATTTTAACTTGGCTTTTATTAACTTTTTTACTTTTCATTCCCACTTTGTGCTTTATGTTTGTCTTATTTTAAGTAATCTTTGGTCTTTTTAGTTACTGTTTTATGTTCTACTCTGACTGACCTGTGCAAGCACATTTATGTGTAATAGCACCAACAAATTATTATTATTTTTATTATTATTATTGTACCCGCAGTCACCTTGGGAGGCATTGGTGGTCTAATAAGCCAAAAGTGCACATTAAGACTACGCAATTTTGCCGCAAAAAGTATAAAATGGACGAAACCCAAACCACAAGCCAACTCAGCTATCGTACTGATGCCAAATTAGTACCCTAGCTCCTATTATTGGATAAAAGCTTGGTTTGATGCTAGTGAATTACTCGGAAATTCCGTTTTCGGTCCATACACTAATCTAATGCCCGGAAATGACTAGTTATGTTATTTTTTAAC